TGGGCAGCCCGTGACACGGTTGGCCACTCCCTCCTTAGAATGTTCCCCACTCATTGCTGGTGATCCCACGCTCTTCTCTTTTTCTTTGTTCCCCTGAAGCCTCTCCTGGGACTCCTTTGCCACCTCATCTTCTTCAACCTCACCTTGGCATGTTGGGGTTCCTCAGTGTTCAGTCCTTCTGCCCCTGTTGGGCAGCTTGTGCTGCCATAACCAGTTCCCACAGGCTGCCAGGCTGAAATGACACAGGTTTATCCTCTCACAGTTCTGGAGGCTGGAAGTCCAAGGTCAAGGTGTTGAGATGTTGTTTTTTCTGAAGCCTCTCGCCTTGGTTTGCAGGAGGCCCCCTTCCTGCTTTGGCCTCACACGGTCACCCCCGGTCTGTGTGTCATCTGTGACACAGTCTTTTCTTATAAGGACACCAGTCATATTAGATCAGGACCTACCATGTGACCTCATTTGACCTTGATCACCTGCTTAAAGGGCGTCTCCAAATCCGATCACATGCAGAGGTACTAGGGTTTGGGACTTCAGCGTGTGGCTTTCGGGGAGGGAGGGACACAGTTCAGTCCGTAACAGGCCCCTTTCTCTCTCCCTTCTGTCCTCTCCCTCGGTGATCACTTCTGTGTGTTCATTGCCTCCAAATCCCGATCTCTAGGTCCAGGACCCCTCCTTTGAACTCCGTTACCATCAACCCAACTACTTCATGCCTCAGGACTTTAGCAGGTACACTCTTCTCTTTAGTGGGTTATTTCTTACTCAGAACCCACGTTTGGAACGTGTAACCCTTGTGCATCTAGACCTGGCTCTTCTCCTGTGTCTTCTCCAAGAGTATCGCCCCTCATCCACCCCCTTGCAGAGACAGGAGGCCTGAAAGTCACCCTTGATGCCTCCTTCCCTTTACACCCCATACAAAATTCGTGGAGAAGCCCCGCCAGGTTTCCCTTGAGGAAACCTCCTTGTCTGCATCCCATTGCCACCACCCGAGTCATAGCTACTGTCATCACTTCCATGGACATCGACCATTGCTTCCTGACTGGTTTCCTGTTTCTTTTCCTTCTCCCTCATGTACTCTTCTCCATGCTGTAGCATGAAGGAGCTTTTATAAATGCCTCCCTGATTTCCGTCCCACTCCTTCCTTGCCAAAAACATGTCAATGATTTCTGTTTATAATCAGGAAAAAGATACAAATTCTTCACTTGGCCTGCAAGCCTCAGGGAGACTTGTCCCTTGTGTGTCTCTGTAAGCTCGTCTCACACCAGATTCCCCCGCACTTGAAGACTTCAGGCATGTGTCTCCTACCCCTGGGCCTTTGCACATGCTGCTCTCACTCCCTCTCACTCATTTCTCCAATATTCGCTCAAAGGAAAGAGTCCCCACACCCTCCAAACAAGATCGGGACTTAGTGTTTTGTTTTCGCCGAGCCTGGCTTTCCCCTTCATTTGTAACAATGCTTCTCATCCTGTGATTCTCTGATAGTGCTTCCCTCGCCCACCAGACTGTAGCTGTGTGGGAACGTGGCTGCTGCACGGCTCACCGTCCCCCAAACACCTAACGCGGTGCTTGGTACACAGCCGGTGCTCAGTCCAGTTTCCAAAGAGTAAATGAATATTATTTCATCTTATTGTGCCATCATTTATTCAACCACCTGTTTCTGTGACTGGAAATTGAAGATGCTTCCAAGTTTTCTTTTTCACAAACAACACTACAGTGAATATCCTCGTGGATAAAGCATCACTCACATATTTTTTATGGCAGTGTAGTTGACATAAAATATGTTCTAGGGGGAGGGGATATCTCAACTGGTAGAGCACATGCTTAGCATGCCGAGGTCCTGGGTTCAATCCCCAGTACCTCCTCTAAGAACAAATAAATAAACCTAATTACCTCCTCCCTGAAAAAAAAAAAAAAAAAGAAAATTAAAAAATGTAAGTTTCAGATATGCACAAAGCGATTCACACTTCTTAAAGGTTATACTCTATCTATAGTTATACAATACTGGCTGTATTCTCAGTGTTGTATAACATATTCTTGTCGCTTATTCATTGTATACGTAATAGTTCCACTTACTCCCCTCCCCTTATCTTGCTCCTCCCCCCTGCCCTCTCCCCATTGGTAACCACTAGTTTGTTCTCTTTATCTGTGACTCAGTTTCGTTTTGGTTATATTGACTGGTTTGTTTCATTTTTTAGATTCCCCATGCCAGTGGTATCAGTATTTGTCTTTCTCTGTCTGATATATTTCACTTGGCCTGACACCCTACAAGTCTATCCATGTTGTTGCAAATGGCAGAATTTCATTCTTCTTTATGGCTGAGTAGTATTCCTTTGTGTATGTATACATACCACATCCTCTTTATCCATTCATCTCCTGATGGACCACTAAACCATACTTCAAAGACATGTACAGAAGGGTAGAATGAGGTGAGCTAAAGGGAACAGTACACATAAAAACCTCTGCTATATGAGTAGTTTTATTACAAAGACAGAGCATTTCATATTTTACTTATACTTTATATGTTACATCCTGAAAGTTAAAAATGACTCCTCTCAGCACTGCTTACAGGATGGCTGGCTTGTCATGTTGCAGGAGACGTTCGCAATGATATTTATGTCACCCTGATCCATGGGGAGTTTGACAAAGGGAAAAAGAAGACGCCTAAGAACGTGGAGGTGACCATGTCTGTGTATGATGAGGAGGGCAGGCTCCTGGAGGTAGGTGGCACCCCCGGCAATCCCGCATCCCTCCCACACTCCCTTCCAGTAATGAACACTTTGGGCCCGATGTTGAATGTTCTCCTCTGTGGCGTGCATTTGATGTTTCATAAGGAAAAAATAGGAAACCTGTTGAATTTGTGATTAGCAATGACCAGTTTTGCTAATAAATTCACTTACACCCTTATTTTAGACTCTTAGTTCTCCAGTACTGAGAAGCACCTCAGGCCACCAGGGATGTCATGTGTACGCTTCTGATGCAGTGGTTTCTTATCATCTTCAAGTTACTTAGTCACTTTCAAGCCTCATAAGTTCCTCTGAGGCTTGTGCAAAGTGGCATTCCCGCCCCAGGAGATGTGGGGGCCACGTCCTCCGGCGGGGTGAGCGGAGATGTGCCCACTGGAGCTGTGAAACTGGAAGGGCTCCTGGTTTGAGGTCAGATGCCACACTCTTTAGTTTCAGTGATCAGGAAACTGCAGCCCAGAGAGGAGAAGCTGTTTTCTCAAGGAAGCACAGGACTTAGCGGTGATGGTAGGAATGGACACAGATGTCCAGGCTCCCAGTGCACTGTTGCTCCAACAGAAGTGAGTCTTGATTCTGACATCAAAGAAAAAACATTTTTTGAAAAGAGAGAGAGAAAGAAAGAGAAGGATAGGCCAGGGGTGGCTACGGGATGCTTTCACTGGCTCAGCTGACTCTGGTCCCTCCTGGATGAGCCACAGTTACCTGCTTTGAAATCCACTCTAGTCAGTGGGACACACCCCATCACTTCCCCATGGGTATGATCAACTTTGAAGGAATCAGCTGACCAAGTCAAGTTGTATTCTGCGTAGGGGCGTAAGCAGACCGTGTCGCCACGGGATGGGAGAGGTTTGCTCGTGCCGCTGGGGAGAGCCCTTGGGTCTGGGAGCTGAAGTGCACGTCTCCATGGCTCTGCTCACCGGCTTGGAAGTGCCCCCCTGGAGACCTGGCTCTGCTGAACCAGGTGGTTCATTTCTAGGAAGAGACACAGCCCTAAGTTCTAGTGAACATGCCGTACCTACACACCAGGTCCTCAAAGCAGAGTGTAGACAGGACCTCACACGGTGGTGCATCTGCCCACAGCTCCCAGACACCCTCACTCGACTTCTGTTCCCTGAGGAAAGAAGAAAGAAAGAGGAGAATGGCTGGGATGGAAGAGAGAATAAAAGTGATAGCACAGAGGATGTGGGGTGCTGGGAGCCTTGCCGACCACTGCATTTATACACGTTGACCCTCAAAGTGCTTCGAAACTCAGTCTTTCTGTGCTCCTCACCCCCAGATGGAATCAGCCTATGTTTGCCAGTGTAAGGGGTGTGCTGGCCACATGGAGAACCCAGATTGTTCTAGATAATACTGTCCCCTCCTAACTCGTTCTTTCCATCCAAAGAAAGCGATTCATCCCGGAGCTGGATATGAAGGCATTTCCGAGTACAAGTCAGTGGTCTATTACCAAGTCAAGCAGCCCTGTTGGTATGAGACTGTCAAGGTGAGACTGTGCTATTTGTAAACCCGGTCATGTAATAAACCTCTTTGAGATTCCTTCTTTTTACCCCCAAATCATTCCTCCTTTATCCTGACGTTGTAGATGGGCTGTCTGTGGTGTGCAGTAAGAACTGAACTGACCATCGTAATTCTGCATAAGAGCATTTAATCCTTCATAGGCTTCAGAAATCTTAAATAACATTCTCGTTCGCGAATGTGTTGAAATTTGAAGGGAGAAACTCGTGGCGGTGATGATGTAACGGGCTGCCAAGCTGGTCCAAAACCAAATGGAGATTTTCACACTCTGCAAGCAGTTTCCTAACTTCTTTTTTTTTCCCCCCTTCTTGGCCTCTCACCAAGGTTTCTGGGCCTCTTTTCAGTTTACATATATGTCTTACAAACTCCAAAGTGCTTTTCAGATCAGTCGTCTCATGGGAACCTCTCAGCAGCCCTGCAACTCAAACAGACAGAGTTGCCTTTTCGCTGTCGAGGTAACTGACTCTCAGAGAAGTTCAGTGATTCCCAGAGACCCTCTGGGTACTTAGAGTCACAGCCTAAACTGGGGCCCACTTCTTCTGAACCCCAGGCTCCATCAGATCTTTCTGATCTTCAAAGTCTTGTGAGCTCCTTAGAAAACTTAAAAAAAAAAATTCACTAATGTCTCAATTCAGAAGAAAGCATTTACCCCAACTTTATATACTTTATAGGTTTTGAATCATGTTATTCATACAAATGTATATGGTGCCTTTTTCAAACTGCTTAAGGCATTAAAAATTCTTTAGATATCTGTTTTTAGAAACTTGCATAATATTCCAGTCTATAATCCTGCCATAATTATAAAATGGAATATTTTAACTATTTGCCGCAAATTCTCTGCTCTTTTCACTGCCCCATGAATCTGTTTCCCCTGCCCCTTCTATATAGGTAAGCAGCAAAAAAAAAAAAAAAAAGCTTTCTTGTTCCCAGTATTTTATCTTTTCCTTCTATTATGGGTCCTAATTACTACCATATCAGTGTACATCTTGCTGGTCCCATATAGACCTGAAAGGACTTGTGTTTTCCCTCTGAAATAATTCCTATTTCATACGTGAGAAAGAACTAGGAATGCGTAATGTCTCCATTTTCAGAATCTATGATAAACTGTAAGGGTGATCTTCTCTTGAGATTCTTTCATTTTTGAAAATAGCTCAGACTCCTTTGAATGAAACCCTACCCCAAATCTCATTCTATAGGAATTACTCAAAAATGAGCCTCCTTTTATAAAATGAGCTAGGAGGGCAAAGTACTGTATTTATATAAACCCTTAATTCCTTATTATTGTGCAGGTGTCCATTGCTATAGAAGAGGTCACTCACTGTCATATAAGATTTACCTTCCGACACCGGTCATCTCAGGAATGTAAGTATTAGGAGGTTGACGAAATAATTTCCATCAAAAAAACATTTACTCGTGCTTGACAGCACTTCGTAGGTCTGGAGAACGAAATATTTGGCATTTTTATTTCAAGATTCATAGCTACTAAAGAAATTTTTTTAATGAAGTTTTCTGGGCTTCCAAGATCGGTGTTTATCATTCTATATCAGAATTTCCCCAAAAATGTGTTCTGTGAATTCTAAGGTTCTACACCCGCTAGTAGGTGCTCTCTGACATCTCTGAGAGGGTTTCCCACTTGAATAGGGGTAAGAAATGCTGTGTGTTATGGCTCCCTCCTTAGACAACGTCTGTTGCCATGTTGCTGAGAAGTCCTGGAGCGAGAGAACTGTTTCCAAAATTATTATAATTTTTTTTCATGAAAGTACTGTGCCAAGCCTTAGGTCACAGGTCATGAATTGACTTTTCTAAGGTGTGAACAGGGAGGAATGTTGGTTATTTTCAGATGGTTCCCCAAATTTCTGGAAGTGTCACTCTCGCTGAGCACTGCAGAAAAGTGCAGCCCTTCGTTCCAGACTGAATGTTCTGAGCACCACCTGCATACCAGACCGCAGGCCAGGCCCTGGGGGGTGTGACAGCAAATGGGACCCAGCCACTGCTCCGAAGAGTCTCTGTGGTCTCGTTAGGATGATGAGCAGGAAAACAGGCGATGAAGTGCAGTCCGGCGTGATGCGTGCTGTAGCAGCAAACACAGGCTGTAAGGCGGCACGTAGCGCGGCACCTTGCCCCATCTGGGGGTTTATGTGCAAGATTTCCTGCGTCCTAGCTGAGCCTGGAAGGTGAGCAGGAGTCCATCCAGCAAAGACTGTTGGTGGAGAAACGTGTCTGAAAAGCAAAGTGAGCTTGGTAGGGCTGAAGTGGAGCAGTCATAACGTTAGATTGAGGGGGAGGGTGTAGCTCAAGTGGTAGAGTGCGAGCTTAGCATGCACGAGGCCCTGGGTTCAATCCCCAGTGCCTCCTCTAAACATAAGTAAATAAATAAACCTAATCCCCCCCCCAAAAAAAAACCTGGAAAAAGAAATACTAGATTGACCATCTGAAATCACCTTTTTAATCAATCAGTGTCAAGTGTCAGCAAGTCACCAGCAATTTCATTCAGTTACACTAAGCTAGCATTTGTCAAGCTCTTAGTTTGTACCCAATACGATGTGAAGCTCTGTATGTACACGACTTTGTTTCGGGTCTACCGTAGTCTGATACGGTGCACACTACTTTTATCCATATTCATACATAAAGAAACTGAGGCACGGAGACGTTAAATACTTGCCCAAGGTCACAGGACTAGTAAGTACCTGGATTGATGGCTGAGCAGTCTGTTTCCAGGCCGGAGACGGATCATGAAGGATGAAGTTGCTTTTGAACCATGTTATGGAGGAGCTAGTTAAGAGCGTTATGTGGGTGATGGTGGTGGTGGTGGTTTGGTACATACTTACAACAGCTTAGTCATCGTGCCCCTGAGTGGGACGTAGCTCATACGGCCATCAACAGGAGAAGAGGTAAAGTATTATATAATCCTACGGCAGATTCCTGCTCAGCCCACCTGGGGACACTGAGTCACAGCAGACCTGGGGGCTGTCCTTGTGGTAAGAGCAGGTTATGAGTCACCGCAGCCAAGACGTCTAAGGAGGGGACACAGTGAGCTCGGAGGCCCGCACCTGGAGACCAGGAGGGAGGTCCTTGGCTTCCCTAGGAGCTGGACCCCCCTCCCCAAATGCCACGAAGCACCCATACCCACTTATCCTGGCACCTGGGCTACCGTCTTGGAAAGGAGAGTAGAAACCTTAGGTGGCACCATGAACCTTAGAATATAATCAATAAAATACATACTGAGTTGTCTTAAGAGAGCAATAGTGAGATATCTCATGAGAGGGCTTGGGACCAGGGCAGGTGACCTAATTAGGTTTGATTTTGGAAATCCCAGAATTGTGGAGAGAGTGCTGCGTGGAGAAGGGCTGGAGACGGAGAGACCTGTGACGAAGATGCTGTGGGGGTACAGGGAGGAGGTGAGGGTGGCCTGGACTTAGGTGGGAACAGCAGGGGTGGGGAGAAAGGGCAGAGCAACCAGAGGTGCTCAGGACTCGGAGTTGGCATCGGAGTGGGTGGCATCGGAGTGGGGTCAGTGTCAACCCTGAAGTTCTGACGGGGCCGACTGAATGGATGCTGGTCTCGTTTATTCACAAACGCAGAACGAGGAGTTGATTTGAGGGCACCAGAAGATTTCAGTGAGGGGAATATTGCCTTTAAGGAGCCTGTGGCGTGTGCGGTACTGATGGTTCATTGGATCTGGCCGAACTGTGTTTGAACACCCAACCCCAGAGCCAAATGTCAGATCAGCTCTCGTGGACATCACCTCCTGGTATCTTTCTGCGCCACTCAGACGTGTGTTCCTGTCTTTTCAGCCAGAGATAAATCGGAGCGAGCTTTTGGGGTGGCCTTCGTGAAACTGATGAACCCGGATGGCACCACTCTGCAGGATGGGAGGCACGACCTGGTGGTTTATAAGGTGGTACTAACAAACGAGGCTCAGCAAACTGCTGAGGAGATGTTTCCTCTGCCTGAAATTGGTTCTGAAAGCTCCTTTCAGACTGATGTATATAAACATCAGAAACTTGCCTAGCGCTGTACGGGTTTGCCTCTTCAAGTCTAGATCCCTGGAGGGCTGTGGTCACACCAGCTGCTTGGTCTCCCATCCCCTTTCTGGAAAGAGCAAGTTGCATTTAGCAGGTAGTCTTCTGAGGGATGGTGCCTCCATCTCCTGCGTGTCCTCCGGGGAGATGAGCAGCCCAGGGCTTCCCTTCTGCTTTTGCGCCACCCTTTGTGGGGCACTGACAGTTGCACTGTTGGGCTTGGGGTAGCGTGTGGTGCGTGTGGTAGGATGTGGGTTTCATATCAGCGTGAGCCAGGCGCCCTTTCTCTGCTGTGGGACCTCCTTTCCTTCCCTAACTGTCTGGTCCTTATTCTTCCCCTCTAACTGCTGCAGATCTGTTGCTTCCCTGAGATTGTAGGTTAGAAAGTAGACGCTGGGAGATCTCATTGGTCCAGCAGGATTCGGAAGGCTTTCCACACAGTGGGTAGCTTTTTTGAGATGAGTCTCCCTGCTGTGAATTTCCCTTCATACCTGATGTGTAATTTCTCCTTAGCTCGTAAATAGTGTTGGAAGCCATGGCAAGCTGTTTCTCCTCAGTGGACCCAAATAAGTAATTATGACCATTTGTATGTTCAAGAAAATGAAATCCAACCTTATTTATTTACATATTTATTGTATTTATTTACATGTCAAGGGAGACAAGGCTACTGATTTCTAGTGCATAACTTACTCTGTTTTCATTCAGTGCTGAGATGGTTTCTGGGCTCCAGCTCTGGAAAGGTATCACATCGTCTCAGAGTTGGAAGGGACCTAATTAGATAAGAGTTGTTTCTCATGCTCCCGGAAGGGCACCGTGCCCGTGAGAGATGCTGTTTCATTTGCATGTAAGGGATTTTGTCCATCATCGGGTGTCTCTCACATGCATCCTTTGCAGGGCGACAACAAGAAAATGGAAGATGCCAAATTCTACCTGACCCTGCCTGGAACCAAGGTAGAGATGGAAGAAAAGGAGCTGCAAGCATCCAAAACCCTCGCCAACTTCACGCCAGCCAAGGACAGCACCAAAGACAGCTTTCAGATTGCCACCCTCATCTGCTCCACGAAGCTCACGCAGAACGGTAGGTGTGGTGACCTGCGGGGCACCAGAATGAGTTTTCTGTTTGATCTGCCTGGGCTCCTTTGTCAGCCTCAGGGGACTGGACCACATGGGGCCGTGTCTTCTGAGCTGGGATCCTGGGCTCTCTGGCTTCCGTTCTCTGCTCTGCACATGACGTCCTGGGTAGAACTGATCAGATGGCTGAAGCTCTTTCTGGGGCTTCTTCGTCTTTCAACCAGGATGAGAAGCACGTTGGTGTTTTTTAAACACCATGGTAAAACCATTGTGTTAAACACCATTGATGGTAAAAACTTATCAATGCATCCATTAGCAGAGGCTGTAAAATTCAGAAGGCAGCAGAGAACTCGAATATTGTGCTCTGTGTGACGTGGATAGCAAAAGATGCCAAGGGGAGGGTACAGCTCAAGCAGTAGAAAGGTCCTGGGTTCAATCCCCAGTCCCTCCATTTAAACAAACAAACAAATGAAGAAACCTAATTATCCACCCCCAAAACAAAAACAAAACCAGAGTGGAGTGGCCTGCTGTCAGCCTGGCTGGGGATAGGAAAGGGGCAGAGACGTGCGAAGATGGGTCGCCATCATGCACATCAGAGGAGACAGGGCATTCCCAGCCATAGACCATGAGCGTGGCTGTTCCTGTGTTTGCTTCCTTCTGATTTGATGGGAAGGATAAAGAACCAGTTCGACGCGTCGTGAGAAGCAGGATGCTGAGGAGCGTGTTTGCTGATCGAGAGGGTAGCGTTTCTCCTTTCACACGGAGACCGTGACGAAAGGCAGGAAGTAGCCTGTGGAGGGCTATTCAGTCCCGAAAGGTTAAAAGCCCCTGGGTTTGGATACAAACAGAGCCTGTGGCTCCTCCGTTATTTTATGAATTTTTTCGAAACCAGAACAGACCGATTTATATGGGATCATTTTGTTGTTGGGCTCATATGGAGGGTGAGAATAGATTTGTTGTCCCAGGAGAGGGAGAGGGGAGTTCGAGGGTCTGCAGGTGTGGGGCCCGTGCCTGCACCCGAGCACGCGCAGGCACCCATGTCGCTGCTACTAACCTCGGCTGGCTGAGCGGAAAGCCGAGTTCAAGTGCGAGAATACTTTGCCTAAACTTACAAGTGATGGACTTGGGTCTAAAAATAGATATTTGTAACCCAAAAACTTAGGATTTTTTTGTTGTCATTCTTTTCCTTTTGAAATGTCCCTAATCCTCTCCCAGAGAGGTACTCACTACCCTAAATTTGGGGATTATCATTCAGAGGACCATGAATTCTTACCTGCCTCTGATGGGAATGTAAACTGCGACCAGTGTGGCTGACATTTAGGTGGCATCTAGCATGGATGGAGTGGTCTTTCCTGATAGTCTAGAATCTAATCTGCTCTCGTTTTGTATGTCAGAGAAGCCGCTGCACTTGGACACCAGAAGGCGTATGAGAATGTTCTCAGCAGGGTTGTTTGTGATGGCTGAAAACTGGGAGCAGCCCACCTGGCTGTTTACTGACAGTAGCATGGATAAACAAAGTGCGATACATCCGTGCAACGGGCTGGATCTTGTGCGGCAGGAAACTGAATTCACTCGAGCTAGAGGCATTGAGCTGTGTGAATCCCAGAGACGTGGGGAGTCCGGGGCTGTTTCTGTAACACTGTGACACCCCTGAGACCTGAGGATTCACCAGGTGCCAGATATATTCCTAGCATGAGCAGTGGTGTGGCGTGCTAGTATCTCCAGGGAGTAAACCTCTAGGCTGATCAGTGGGTTCTTTGCAGACACTTGAATCAGATGAGCGACTCTCCATCCCTGGTGGAGTATCGAAATCCTTTTCCTCAGGCAGCAGTGCGTGAAGTAACAAGTGTAATGGTACCGTTGACTAACCTGTGGCAGAGATGGGAGACGGGGAGATGGAAGCGGACAGTGCCTAGTGGACTGGTGCTGAATGAATGAATGAATGAATGCATTGAAGCATTGTACTGAGCACACTGCCGGCTTCCTTGGAGCAACTGGTTCTGTTTCCAGCCGTCTATTCAACCTGTGGTCAAACATGTGTAGAACACCTAACAGGTGCCTAGCACTCGGATGAGCCAGAAGAATGAGTGCAGTATGATCCCTTCCCGTAAGCGTCTCAGATCTATGGGAAGAGCCGAGAGATGCCAAGTGTGATGGTAATTACTTGTTCTAATGCATATGTACAAGGAGGAGGGCGTGCAGATAACAGAATGAGCAAGTCCTCCCAGAGGAAATAAAGTTGGAGATGGGTCTTGAAGTATAAGTAGGAGCTGACCAAACACGTAGTATTACGATCTTTCTAGGCATTTCAGACAATAGGAAGATACGTGCAAAGACATGGAGCCATTCCGGAGCTTCTCATAGTTTGGAGAGTATGGAGTTGATTTGTCTGACTGCGATGGGGCTGATAGGAGGGTCGTGGCTGGGGCCTTACTGCCCTCTGTGAGTGGTGTTGGAACCCTGTTCTGTTGACAGTGGGACGTTTCTAGGCGTTGGAGGCGTCCCAGGGACTAAACAGGTTGTAAGCCAATAAAACAGACAGACTGTGAAGCACATTGACTTTTCTAATGAACAGAATACATTTTCAACTATATATACACACGCACACGCACACACACACAATATGCTGCATATATATTTGTATATATATTTGTATATACATACAAATCCATTGATTAAAAAGTATATTGCCACTTCTACTAGGTGATGCTTTGTAAATGCTAGCAGTAGTGATGCACTAAACAAAATGGTAAGAGGGACAGTCCAGATGCCTCCTCTGTTTCCCAGTTACGCTTTTAGAATCTAGACGTTCATTAAAGCTGTAAGTGGCTTAGAGATCCGAGAGCCTGCGTTTTATTTTATTTATTAATTTTAATTGAAGTCTAGTTGATTTACAGCGTTTCAGGTGTACAGCTGAGTGATTCAGTTGTACATGTTATCTGTCTGTTCTTTTTCAGATTCTTTTCCATTGTAGGTTATTACAAGATATTGAATATAGTTCCCTGTGCTAGACAGTAGGCGCAGAATTCTGCAATTTAAATCCAAAAACATGTCAAGGTTTTTGTCTCAGACTTACCCTAAGGACCATTCATCGAATGCTCTGCCTGCCTTCAAGATAGCAACCTATCTGATTTGCTCATCTGTTTATTTCTTTGAAGAACTCCAAGAAACTTCAAGTATGACAGGGTAGCAAGGACATGGTTTTTTGGAATCAGAGTAATCTATAATTAAATTCCATTCATACCAACTCCCTGGCAGTTGTGAGACCTAAGGCAAGTAATTTAATGTCACAAAGTATCAGTTTCCTCATCTCAGAAATGGAAAAAGTAAAATCTGTAGCGTGGATGTGATGTTTAAATGAATTAATGCGTGCATGTAAGTCCGCGCCACTGCCCCAGAATCCAGCACAGCACACATAGCAGAGAGGGAGATGTTAAGCAATGCATTAGATGAAAGGTGGAACGTTGAGTGTTCCATCTGTAGGTCTGTGATGTGGTTATCTGAGAGAGGTGAATTCTATTCAGGCATCCTTTTCTGTCCTTGCCCATTAGTGGTTAGGTTTTTTTTCCTCTGTGAGGAAGGAAAGAAAACCACAGGGTTTTCTCTGATTTAGGTAGGGGATAGTAAATTAAAAGACTGCATAAGGTATTAGCCACCATTAGGAGCCGTGGTCTTTCTAGAGAGCTCTGTAGCTGTGTCCTGAAACGGTGTGGGTTGCTCTGCTGATCCGTGTCTCACGTTTATGGTTTGTGGTTGTTCTTCCTAGTTGACCTGTTAGGCTTGCTAAATTGGCGTTCGAACTCTCAGAACATTAAACACAACTTAAAGAAGTTGATGGAGGTGGACGGAGGAGAGATTGTTAAGGTATGTTTATATATGCATGGTTAGAGACACAGCCACCGAATCATTAGTTTAGTATTTTAAATTAAACCAATTACCGTAAACATAAAACTTGTTATCTACCTGGCGAAGCAAGCGTGCCAATTTTTAAGAAAACGCTATGCTTAAACTTGTTCTACTGAAAGCTAACTATCCCTCAATTTCTGTAGTATGGAGCTGAACCGAAAGCACCAAACCTACGCTCTGTTTTTCTCATCTTCAGTTTCTGCAAGATACGCTAGATGCACTGTTTAACATAATGATGGAGATGTCGGACAATGAAACCTATGACTTCCTTGTGTTTGATGCACTGGTAAGCAGTTAAACGTCTTCACGGGTGTTCGTGCTCGCAAATGTGTAGTTTGGGATGTTTCACTATTATGAATAATTGCGATGCAAATCGTTCCGCGTAAATATTTGTCTCCATCATCTCTGATGACTTCTTCAGGCTAAATTCCCAGAAGTAGCTGACTTACAGTCAAGACCTCTAAGTCTTTGTTTCCTGTTAGATCTGACTTTTTGATAGACTTTCTCTTTCTCATTAGGGAAATGAGATGTTTTATTACATTTGAAATCAGGAGTCACTTTAACTCATTTGAAAAGCGTCTCGTCCTAAACCGGGAGATGCCGTTCACGAAGGCAATTGTGGCTTGTTGTGTATGTGTGCACTGGTGTGTTCCTGCAAGGGAGACTGGATTTGCAAGTCAGAGATGAGCCTTAGTGTCCTTCTGTACAGTAGGTGGCCCAGCAGACAATTACATTTGCCACACAAAGTACTAAAACACGCAGCCAATTCCGAGAACTGAAACCCCAGTGAGGGGAAGGGATGTCGGACTCTGGGAAGGCCAGAGGTGGCGGTGGAGTGGACAAAGCCAGCACATCCAAACTAGACATCGTTTTCTGATGGTCGGGGTTAAAGTTCAGTGCAGACTTTGACCTGAACGTTGCAGCAAAGGAGGGGAAGGTACATGGCAGCTTTAGGTCATTCATCAGCTTGGAGAGACTGGGAGATTCAAGAAGAGGCTGAGGGGGAGGGTATAGCTCAGTGGTAGGGCATGTGCCTAGCATGCCCGAGGTCCTGGGTTCGATCCCCAGCACCTCCACTTAAAAAAAAAATCTAAAAAAAAAGAGGTTAGGATAGTGAAGCTGAAGATATACGATGAAGAGAGAAGGGCCCCCAGCTGCGGAAACTTCTGGTCAGGTTTACAGGCAAGAGAGATGATGGTGATGAGTTGCTGGGACAAGGTCTGGAGTCAGATTCCTGGGGGACGGGGTGGCTGGCCAGCATTGGGCATGTGTGCAAGTCCCGGGGGCCCCTTCTTTTGTCCTCTTCTGTCACAAGTAGGTGCAAAGTGGTTATTTGTAGATGGCGTGTCCGGTGGTGATAAGAGTGAACATGGGAGGGGAAAGCTGAGAGGAAGGTCTGGTGAGGTTCAGCTCCTGGGGGCCCGCCCACTGCACCGAGGAGGCCCGTGTCCCGGGGGGATGTCATGAGCTGCATCCTGGGGTTCATGTTTATTTTTCCCACAGGAGAGCCCTCCCCACACCCTCCTCCCTCCCGTCCCGTCATCGTCCCTTACTTGGTCCCTCGTGTACTGTCCCCTCTCCCCGGCAGCCAGGGTGCTGGCCCGGGTTGGTTCCCTCAGAGCATCTAGCCCAGTGCCTGGCCCTTAAGAGTCTCTGCTCACGTTCAATTCAAAAGCAGCCCCGAGACTGGCCTTCAGCTCTGGAAGGATTGTGTGGGGATGCTGCCACAGTGAGCGGGAAGGAAAGGAGGCCCCGGGCGCTCGGACCCGGCTCGTGGCCGGAAGAGCCTGGGGAGGTGCTGTGCTATTTATAGCTGCCACCTTTGGCAGGTGTTCATTATCTCACTGATAGGAGACATCAAGTTCCAGCATTTTAACCCCGTCCTGGAGACCTACATTTACAAGCACTTCAGCGCCACCCTGGCCTATGTGTAAGTACGAGGCCCGCGAGGGACCCGCTGTTGGGTTGTGGGGTACGTGTGCTCTTGGGGACACCAGAGGGGACGGGAGCTGAGCACCTGTGGCTCTAAGCGCAGGACCTTGTTCTGAGCTTCCTGGTGGCAGGTGGAAACCATCTCAGTGTCCTCACCCTGGAAAAGGGATAGTGTTCATTCGCTGCCTTCTGGGAAGTTAAAGGGGAGAGAAGGCTGTGTGTACTTCTTTAAGAATCCAGAGCATCTGCAGGTGAGGAGTTGAAGCCATTAGGAGCAGGGCCAAGGCAGAGGACGCTACCCAGGATCTTAGGAGGTGGATGTCAGTGGGATCAGCATGAGGCCACAAGGGCATCAGATGGTGGTTTAATCAGGACCACATGTGATGGAACTGAGGCTCGTGCCCTCAGCCCTGCCCCACAGGTGCTTTGTAGCAGTGATTACTTAGAGGATATAAGATGTCCTTTTCTTTTTTCTTTTCTCTTCTCTTCTCTTCTCTTTCTCCTTTCCTTTCCTTTCCTTTCCTTTTTCTTTCCTTTTTCTTTCTTTCTTCCTTTCTTTCTTCCTTTCTTCCTTTCTTTCTTTCTTTTTCTTTCCTTCCTTCCTCCTTTCCTTCTTCCCTCCTTTCTCTTTCTCTCTTTCTCTCTTTCTTCCTCTCTCTCTCTTTCTTTTTTTCTTTCTTCCTTCCTTCCTTCCTTCCTTTCTTTTCACATAAGAAAGAGTGGTCTCTCCCTTTCCATGGTATAGCCTTCTTTCTGTCTTTGGTTCATGAGCCCCTGACTAAAGAAAGCACCTAATGTTCAACACACTGAGCCTCTCCCTGGAGCGATCAGCTCACCACGGTGTTAGATGTGGCCTGTCACCCCCTCCTTTGTGCAGAGCAACGTGACAGTGACAGGAATGTAGCTGACACGGGCAGAGATCTTTCTGACAGTGGCTTGTGCCAGTTCGTGCCAGTTGCTGCCGGCTGATCTATCAGGCTGGCTGCTGACCTGGCCTGTCAGGTCAGATCATCCAGCCCTTCTGTCCGTGTCTGAACCAAACGAGAAAGTTCTTGGTTTTATTTGCAGGGAAGTCCAGAAATATAATAAGATGTAAGTGACATAAAAGAGGTGTCATCACCATGACCCCTAACACGATGGATATCATGCCCCCTGGATGGGGGGCAGCGGCAGACACTCCATTGAAAGGGTTCTTCCCCCCAGTAGCCCCACTTTCCAAGCAAGCGGTAGCTACAAGTGACGAAACCCTATCACTGGGTCTTTATCCCACAGAGCCTAGTGCAGCAGTCCAGGTGGTGTGTGTCTGGTGATCTGGGTGTATTTGCAAGAACTGACCACTTCTACATGACTCCTCTGGGTTTTCCTTAAAACTAGGAGAACTCAGAGATTCCCAGAAGGAAAATTCAAAACATCAGTGCCTTCAGAAGTGTGAATTAGCCCAAGATTAAGACAGTGCCCAGTCCAAAGCCTCCGGAAGGGCACAAAGAGCAACCTCAAATCCCAGAGCGGAGGGTAGGGTATAGGTCAGTGGTGGAGGGTGTGCTTAGCATGCGTGAGGTCCTGGGTTCAATCCCCAGTGCCTCTCTCACAGTAAAAAAATAGATAAACGTAATGACCTCCCCTCCCCAACAAAAAAACAAACAAATAAAATCCCAGAGCAGTTTTATTTGTTCAGATGCTCATAACCATGGGATCCTCTTATTCCCACACTCAGTGAAGTGTCCATCTGGCTCCAGTTTATGGGCCCCAAAAAGTTTGGGCAGGTTGGACGGAATTAGACTTCTTTGAAGATGACTGCGTTAGGGAGACAATCCCTTCCTTTCAGGAACATCTGAAGATGCCTGTCTAACACGTAAGAGATTAAAACATGCTCATGGTACGAGTCCTTTCAACTTTCATTTCTTGATCCTTTTAAAAAATCCTGCAAAGGGGAAGAAACCATCCTCTATTTCTAAGTTCTTCTGTGTGTGTGTGTGTGTGTGTGTGTTTTTAAGTTTCTTTTGAGGGGGTAATTAAGTTTATTCATTTTTTTTAGAGGAGGTACTGGGGATTGAACCCAGGACCTCATGCATACTAAGCATGCGCTCTACCATTTGAGCTATACCCTCCCCCCATCCTCCATTTCTAAACAGAAGGGAAGCTCTAAACTTAGACAGCAGTGAGGAAACTAAACTGCAAAGGAGTTAATTTCCTTGTTCAGGGCATGTTCTAGAAGACACAGTTACTGTGGTTGTGACTTCTGCTTCCCCAGGAGGCCATGTTCTCTTCTATATAGGGTACCCTAACCCTCCAAGTAGCACTTGGCCCCATTGACATTTTCCTTTCTCATCCTTTTAAGGAAACTCTCCAAGGTACTGAACTTTTACGTGGCAAATGCAGAAGACTCCAGCAAGACGGAACTGCTTTTCGCTGCTTTGAAAGCCTTAAAGTACTTGTTTAGGTTCATCATCCAGTCTAGAGTGCTCTACTTGAGGTAATGGTGACTCATGAAGTGTCGATACCCTCCATCCTCTCTTCACGTAGTTCTCCTAAATCCTCATTGTCATGTTCGGCCCCATCAGCTTTTGGGGTGTGAATCTGCCAAATTTCAGAACTTCAGGGCTGAAATTGAAAATGAAGTTGAAGATGAGGGTGGACTGTGAAGCCATCAGAGAAGGTCCATGCAGAGTCCTTTTGGATCAGTAGAATTTCTCGGGCAGTCATAACAGCAGAACTTAGGGTTGCTGGAGCTTCGGTGCAACCTACTGAAAGCCCTTGTTGGTGACAGTGATTTTCAGAAGTCAGGTGTCTGTGGCAAGATTGTATTTAATACCGCAGGGGGCTTGGTGATGATATTGGGTGTACAATCCGGGATCATGAGCTGTTGTTGGTAATAGGTGGAAGAGTGGCAGGTGTTTAGGGGGAGATGTTGCCTGAGACGTGTGTTTCTTTGCTGATACCCTGCTTAGGGACTTGGTGAGGCCAAGCCCTAGAGATATGATAGTTCCCAGTTTGGATTCCTAGAATAACAGCTCTATCAAAAACAGCAGAAATCAAGAATGAGTAAATAATCTTTCTGGGAATGCCCACAACCCCAGTGCCATCTCTACCCTTCAGTAATGGTTGAATTTCCAAATCGTTCAAATATATTTCTAAGGTAGGGTTAGAAACTGAATAGATAACATGCTAAAATGTTAATGGAAGTAAAACTTTAGGTCAGAGGGTTTCCAGCCTGTGATTTGAACATGTGTATTTTTTTAACTTTGTATACTTAAAAACCATAAACAAAATTAAAGGCACTTAATTAACATGGGAAAAAAGCTTGCCACATATAGTATAGATCAGAGGTCAATAGATTTACTGTTTAAAGGCTCTAATTAATCCCATGATAAATATCCATAAACAGTAGAAAACAAAAACATAATGTACAAAAGAAAAATTCAGATGGTCAGATAAATTTTAAAACAAAGATGTATTTATACTATTAAAGTGCAGTGCACGCACACCATCTTTACTTATACATTCGATAAAGGTGAAAAATCTTGATCCTTTGCTGAGGTCGGGCAAAAAGTGGCCCTGTGTTTTAAAGCTGATAAGAATATAAATTCTTAAAGACAGAAGTCGGCACTATGAGTTAAAAGCAAACACACACACAAAGCAAAAGAAAATACCACATTTGTCCAGTAATTCCCTGTCTGAAAATTTATCTAATGGAAAAAAACCAATTAGGTATGAACAGAGGTGAAAGTTAAAATGTGTATATTCAGCCCTTTCAGTTGTGGGGTATGTTAGTGAGGCAAGATAACTGTGATAGGTTCTTAAATAATAAAACCAGGTCTTCGAAGACATCAGTGTGATACGATGCTATAGGTCTGGAAGCTGGTAGATAAGATGCTAAAATTTTAATAGGAGTAAAACTGTAAGTAAGAGTTTTACGTAGGTTTTCACTTTATTCTTCCTGCATTTTTTTAAGTTTCTACAATGAATTTGTACATTGTTATAGGTTTTCAACATGCTTAATGACTTAACATTTGAGCTGGTTGAACAACAACTCCTTCCCTAGTAGAAACAAGCAGTGTTCGCCCAGCACAGTTCATATGCAGTGTCTGTAGTCTCTCCTCTTCAAATGGTCTCCTGTAGTGAGTTCCTCGTATTCTGTAGTATGTTGAATTTCTGCATATTCAGTTAGAATGTCCTAACATTCTCTTAACCTAGAAGTTTGTATAGCAAGCCCTGATGTCCAGCAATAAAAATCCTCATAAAAACATAAACAGAAAACCTTAATTGATGACATTTTACAATATTTTCCATTAATGATTCACTAGCTCTTTGACGCTTCGTAATGTTGCATTGCATCTGGGCCACTATTTTCAGCGTCAGGTTACATGGTAACAAGGGAAGAGCCAGGTTAATTAACCCATGAAATTCACTAGAAGAGCTTGATCTGGGAAAGAGAGTCTGGCAATCTGCATTCTCCGATTGCTTGGATTTGATAGACACAGTAGAACATCAAGAACCTTGATCTTAATCCCTCAGTGTCACACTAGTCCTTTTTTTTTTTAAAGTCACAGACATAGGGTACCTGGTAGGGCTCTGGGTGCTGGGAACCTAGCCGCCAATGAGAGCAGGTTCCTGCTCTGACGGTGCTTGTGGGTTACATCGAGGCCAAGGAGGCAGATGATAAAGAAAGAAACCCATAGGACCATTTCAGATGGATGAGGGCTGGGAGGGGAGGCGCTGATGTGACAGTGACCAGGGGAGACGGTGGGAGAGACCTCTCTGGGAGCTGGCCCTGAAGTAGAGACTGAAAGACAAGGACGTGGCCTCTGAAGGTCTCGGAAGAGAAATACGGGGAGGAGAAATTGCTAAGGCAAGGGTCCTGTAGGGGCACTGAGTGCATTTGGGAGGAATTAAGAGAAGCTGGTGTTGCTGGAGGCATGGTGACCAGGAATGGGAGGACAGAGCCTGGGAGGCCATGGCGCGTGATGGGGGCCCTTCTAGGCCATAGTACGGAGTCCGGGTTTCAATCCGGGTGTAATGGGAAGCCACTGAAGGACTTCAGTTAGAGAAGCAATGCTGTCTGGCTTACAGCTTACGTGATCATCTCATCTTTTGGGTGGAAAATGAGTTATCAGGGGTTAAGAGTGAAACCTGGGTGATCACTTAATAGGCTGTTATAGTTCAAATGTGAGATGCAGTGACTCTGTCTCCACTGAGGTGCAGAGTGGACTGATGCAGGGGGAAGAGGTCATAGGACTTGCTGTTAGATTTGGTGGGGGAACGAGAGAAAGGGAAGGTAACTTCTAGGCTTGGGGTGCTGCTTGCCGAGACTTGGACGATTTAAAGATGAACAAGAGATCAAGTGAGTTCTGTTTGGGGTATGTTAATTTTGATGCACTTTGTGGACAGAATTGGGAATGAAGTTCTTTTATGGTTCTGCAGGGTGCTTGAGTTGAGAATTACCTGTAACTCTGATTGAATCATCATCTCAGAGGAGCTCAGAGTCCCTGAGTACCACATAAGGTGTAGGTGAAAAGAGGAGCCTAATATAAATATGTACATGCCTGTATGTATGCATTTGAATGTGTGTATAAAGTTCTAAGTTCAAACCATCATTACTTCTGACCAATTGGTGGTGAGGTTGCCACCAGTGTAAGTGCATTTAAATTACTATTTGGGGACTTCTGTGTTTCTGAGAAATGGGACAAAGACCTGATTTCTGCTTCTGAGAAAGAACCAGCTTTCCAGCTGAGGGATAGGTCTTCAAGGCAAGCAGAGCACTTGAATCAAACAAGCAGGAACCAGTGAAGACCACGGTGGCCTGTGTCCCGGGGGGTCAGCACCAGTGCGGCCAGCTCAGTGGATACCATGACGCTAACTGGGCTTGCAGACTGGGTTGGGTTCAGGTCGTTCCTGGTTTGAGGAGTTTCTCTACCCATTGTCGGAAACTTAAGCTCAAGTGATCAGGGCTGGATCAGAGGAGGCAGAATGGTTCCAGTGCCAGAGTGATTAGACGGAATGATTAGAAGAGAATGAGGGAGGCTGGGAGGGGAAGGTGTGGCCAGAGTGGGGTGTCAGGCAGGTTAGCTGGGGAGGGGGCCCCTGCTGATTGGACATTCTGCTAATGAGCTGAGGAGGGTGGGGCTCACCTGCTACTTGAAGCAAAGCAGCTTCCTATTGTCCCCTCTTCTGTGTCAGAACCTCCCACTCGCCACGGGGCTGGAGGACATCCCCAGGGCTGGCCTTCAGATGGCTTCTGGGGGCCAGTGGGAGCGCTCTGTTGTAGGACTTTACTTATGAATCACTCCCTTCCTTTTGCCCAGGTGGTGACAGCGTCCTAGCCACCGGGCTCCCCCCGAGCCACCTTAGAGCCTCCTGGGACTCCTCCGTGCGCAGCGTGAAGTGGTGGTCGTGGGCCTCCAGCATCGTTTCAGCAACAAATCTATTTGAAATTTTTTTTTTAAAGATGGAAAATCTGACTGCTTTTCTCCTTTTCCTGTTAAGATTTTATGGCCAAAGCGAAGATGGAGATGAATTTAGTAATTCAATCCGCCAGTTATTTATCGCTTTCAATACGCTGATGGACAGGCCCCTGGAGGAAGCTGTCAAGATCAAGGTCAGCTTGGGTAGCTCCTATGCTGGTGGGGAGGCTGTTCTGGGACAACGGAGAACTGGCCATGGTGGGAGATAAAAAAAAATGAAAGTTAGTTCCCAGAAAGCTTGTTAATGTTAGAATGACTTATAGAAAGGAAATCCTTGCGTTTAAACTTTTATGTGCATTTATATTTGCAAATGTCGATTTGCCAAAGACAAGCTACCCTTTCAGACGTCCCTTGGATGCTTTTGTGGCCCCTGTGAATTCAGCCAAGCGATACTGATGATGCTTCAGGGAACAGGTTTTATCCTTAAGTCTCCCATTCTTCCCAGCTGCCCAGAGTCACCATCATCTTCATCATCATCAGTTTTTTGAAGTGTAAATCTGTTATCCCTAAAGGCTCAAATCTGAACTTTATTTTTTTGCTCACGATGGCAACTTTGTGAGGGAAATGTCAAGTTTTCAATTACCTCCTTGGATAGAAAAATGAATTCCAAATGGACAGTGATTGTTCGTAGTAAAGACAGAAAGCCTTGACTCCTGACTTTTCAGGGAAATGATCTTGGGGGATCGTGTTTAGCAGTATTAGCTTTCTTCTTCATCGCGAGAGCGTCTGTGTCCAGTTTACTGTTTAAGATCCCAGCATCTTTCGTTTCTTTGGGATCGAGCAGTGGATTCTTCCCTGAGCTTGCCTTTGGTGTTTTTCTTACAGGGGGCAGCCCTGAAGTACCTTCCGAGCATAATAAATGATGTCAAACTTGTGTTCGATCCTGTTGAGCTCAGGTAAAGAGCTCCAAACCCTTGTTTCCTGACTTGAACAGAGAAGCGGCTCCCCTGCTGGGCTCGGGCCGCAGCCCGTGCTGTGGTTCTTACACGTGGTGACCGCTTACATGTTTGTACTCAGTTCTGGGGAAAGATGTCAAAGACACAAAGCCGGCCCCTGAGAGAGGTCTGCACTGTCTCCAGGGAAACAAAACACACAGACGTACAATTACCTACAGAAAAATGTGCATAATGATGTGCTTCCAGCCCTGTACCTAAGTACCCCAGGAATGCAAAGTCAGATGGTGATTGACACAGGGTGGAGTGAGCTGGAAAAGGATTGTGCAGAAATTGAGTGTGAGAGCAGGGTCTGCAAAGCAGTGATGGAACTGACTGTACTGTAGCAACTTAAGCCCACTCTGCTGCCAGGCTGAGCCCTGGAGTGAGCAGGGAACACAGCCTTCCCCTTCCCCTCCCTTCCCCTTCCCCTCCCTTCCCTTCCCTTCTCCTTCTTCCTTCCCCTTCCCTCCCCTTCCCTAGACAGACTTTCAGGTCGTTGGGGAGCAAACTCCAGGTAAACCTCTCGACGCCCAAATCAACTTCAGAGCAGAGGGGAGGCGTGCAATGCTGCCTTCGACTGGGCAGCATGAAAACACTAACCCCCGGGGTTTCTCTTCCAGCATGCTCTTCTGCAAGTTCATTCAGAGCATCCCTGACAACCAGTTAGTTCGCCAGAAACTGAACTGCATGACCAAGATAGTAGAGAGCAGTCTTTTTCGGCAGTCGGGTGAGTCTCCACCAAACACTGCGGAAATTCCAGTCTTGCATCTTTTTCAGCCAGTGCTCCCATTTTTTTCTAATGTCAGTAATGTCCTTGCCAGTTATTTATTGGTACTTAAGGACCTCCTGGAAAGCCAGTTTTAAGGAGAAGGCAAAATCAGTTCAGTATTGCCCATAGTTCCTCAAATAGCAAAATCTGTGTTCTTTAATCTTTAATTCAAAGAATCAAGTGTTTTCATTCATTAGAGAACTTTGTCCTCAAAATAGGAACCCTGGAGAGTAACAGGCAAGCAGGAAAGATGGTCCTTTTAAACAAATGCATCTCTTTTGACTTATTCTTATTGCATAACCTCAAAAATAGGGGCTGGGGGATAGAGACAGGGATACAGCGGGGCAGCAATGCAGACATGCAGTGGGGCAGCGGTGTGCGCAGCGCCACTGGTGCTGGGTCAGCAGATCTGCTGTGCGCCTCTCTCCTCGACTCCGTCATGGTCAAGTCACATTAGTAGCTGAAAATTGCTCATGGTGGAAATCCTTACACCACAGAAACTGGCAATCGCTATGAATCAGGTTTTTGCGGGGTCTGGTCGGGGAGCCGGATTACCAGCCTACCGCTGGGAGGGGAGGGAGGAATGGAGGGGAGAAAACTCGACCCTGATAAAATACTTTTCATTTTGTAACTAGAGTCAAGCGCGTAGCCACCAAGTGTAAATCTCTGTTCCTGTCCCAAAGTTGGCATGGGGAAGGAGGTCCAGTACCTGGTCTTTCCCTAGTCAACCCCAGGCTCGCTTGGGTGGGGCAGCTGCGGGAGCTTCCTTTGAAGCCACCACCAGTTCTGGGGATCCTGGAGGATGACTCATGCTGCATGTAGTGGCTGGCGGGTCTGAGGACCAGCAGGACTCCCCAGAAATAGGAAAGGCTGTGTGGGTGGTTGGTGGGAGAACCCTCCTGACCTTGCCCTTGGCTAGTTACGTAACTTTAGACAAATGAGAGATTTTTCTCTAAGTCTCAGCTCCTGTCTCCATGGAAGGACAGACTTGAACTAGACCAAACCAGCAGCCTCTTTCGGTGCTGGTGTTTTCTGATCCTGTGCGTTTCAGCTGGCACAAGGACACGGATGGAGGCAGTGCAGAAAGCTCGTGGGTGCTCTTAAGTAGAAAACCTAATGTTAGCACATCTCTTAATGTGCTGCGATCATCTCTGCCTCTGAGGATGCAGAAGGCATACCTGAAGATTAAAATAAAGATGAGGTGTCAGAGCAGAAGAGCAAGCCTGCACTGGATGTTTCCAGTAGAGGAAGTACTGTCACCATTCTGAAACAGTCATTTCTGTTAGTGCCCAGAATACCCAGACTCATTGGAATAATGTTTTATATTCGTGAAGATGCCGGGAGGAAGACAGAGCAGAAAGGCGGTGACTTACTTTATGAAGCCCTCGTGCCTGCGAAGACTGGAACAGGGTGTGAAACACACTGCGATGTGCTGATAAAGCTCAGGATTTATAGGAATTTTAGAGTAGCTTTTCTCCCTTAGGTGGAAAATTTCAAAAAAACTACAGCAATTTAACTTCCTTAGTTTATTAGTTTCATATGACTTAGCTTGCAAAGATCAAGTTGGCATTTTTTTTTAAAGCTAAAGGAATTGTTAAATACTTTCGACCTTTGGCTGCACATACCTGTGATAGGTGTAATTTTTGGAGTTTTTTGTTTGTTTGTTTTTAAGATCAGGGTGCAGGGCTGAGGTTCCTGGCCTGAACCCACATGCTCCTCGGTGGCCGGGGGAGCCCCTGGGGGGGGCTGCGGGAACAGGCAGAGGGAGGGCAGCAGGAAGAAGCCAGGCCGTTCGGGGGGTGAGCTGGCCGCGTTTTCTCCCCCAGAGTGCAGAGACGTGCTGTTGCCACTGCTGACAGACCAGCTCAGCGGCCAGTTAGACGACAAATCCAGCAGGCCTGACCACGAGGCCAGCTCGCAGCTTCTGAGCTGCATCCTGGAAGTGCTGGACAGGAAGGATGTGGTGAGTCGCGGTGTCGCTGCTGCAGAGCACGGCATACGCTGGTCCCACGGCCGCGGACGGGAGAGACCCCGGGCAGCGTGGTCCCGGGGCACTGGGGCCGGCTGCCCCCGCTTCAGAGGTGGTTAGAGGGGCTTCTCCTGGCTCGAGCCCGTCTTGCGGATCTGGGTCCTGGGAGGTCCACCTGCGGCTGGGGCTGCTCCCGGCTAGTGTTTCCAGTTTGCCCATCACTAAAAACCGCAATGAGACTTTTCAGAACCAGAGCCCTGTTTGGACTTGTTTCATAGAAACCTCTGTCCTCTTCTACCTTTGGCACCTGACAGTACTCTTGTAGATCTTCTGAACTTCTGAGAGGGTCTCAGTTTTTTACTCTCTGTGACACTGATTCTTCCTTCTGGAGCCTAGTGGAAATGATGTGTTATTTTTGTGGGTGGTTGGTTGGTTGGTTTGTTAATTTTATCTCATCTCCTCCCCCTCTAAGAACCTGGGGCCCCACTGCCTGGATTTGCCGTGTTCTAGAGATTGCACAGCTCCCAGGCCTGTCAGAGCCTGCCCCCGAGTCTGGGTTCAGTTGAAGACAGACTGGAGTTGCCAGCCCCCATGACGGCCACTTGGCACCCATGTTCCCACAGAGCCCGGAAACCTCCCCTGGTTTTGCCTGAGCCCTTTCTCTGGCCAGTATCTTTAGATTCAGTTCTGCTGAAGGCTCTGGAGAGCACTGGCCTTTTTCCTGTAGCTAAGTCCTTAGCCCCCCGTCCGGGATCCGCCCCAGCTTGGCCCCAGCCTGGCTCACCTCCTGCTGTTTGTCACACAGGCAGGTCGGCAGCCCTGCTGGTCCCCGCCTCAGCGGTGGAAGGACAGGACACCCCTGCTTTCTCTACCTCCCCCCGCCTCTCCCCTTCCCTGAGCTCCTGCAGCCCCTCTGTATTATTTGTGCGATTTATTTGCTATTTATTCATTAGAAGTCACTCCCCCTCCCTTTTTTCTTCTTGGCTTACATGTGTTCCTAGAAACCACACTGTCAAGTGGAATCAATTTTCCCAAGGAATTTTGTGATTGGAATTTGATTTCTAACCAGGTGCTCTGCAGCAAATAAGTACATGTGACCAAACATGTCACAATGACAGTATTTTTTAAAAGTAACTCTTCGAACTCAGTAATTAAAATGGTAAAATGGAGCTCCAAGCCCTATAGATTGAAAAAAAGGGGGTGGACACTCTGGTCTAGGCAGGGCTCCACGGTGTCCTTACATGGCCTTGCCTCCTCTGTGTTCTCTGGTGTCTCTTCTTATAAGGACACTAACTCATCAGTCCAGGCCTTGTCTTCACGCCCTGACTGCCTCCTAAAGCCCCATCTCCAAGTACCGTCCCATTTGGTGTCAGAGCTTCAACGTAGGAATTTTGAACACAAACGTTTGGTCCATAACAATCTCCTTGACTTGAATTTCTTGGTTTCTTTCCATCTACCCAGAAGGTGGCAAGAACTTTATATTTTTGCCTTTCATTCCCACACATGTACCTAGTTGTCCAGGGCGACCTACTCAGCGTCAGGACTGGGTACCTCGTGCTAACGGGGAGCCCCCTAAAACTGTTTGTCCAGTCGGTGGCCACGGTGAGCTCTCAGGGAGACCAGATGATCTGGGTCATCAGGGATGCATTCCTTCCCCACATCTGCACGTTCCTCTTTTAAATGTTAGGACCAATTATTTTCAACAGATTCCTTGATAACATTATATGTCATGCTATGAAAGCATTTCCCCCTTTGGACAAGCAGTTGCTTTGTGGGGAAGAACCAGAATAAGAGTTAAAGGTGCAACTCCTCAGTCCAAGGTTTCCTTAAGAAAGGTGAAGCTGAGTCTGAAGACGTGGGGTGCATTCCTGTGTCCCCCCCCCCCAGGGCCCCACGGACGCGCACATACAGCGGATAATGGAACGGCTGCTGCGGAGGATCAACCGGACCGTGATCGGGATGAGCCGACAGTCTCCCCACATCGTGAGTGTTGCTCAGGGGCCACGCTGCCACTGCTGTGTCCCGGTGCCCCATCGCGCCTGCCTACTGGGAGGCTTCGGGGCCCAGCATCTTGAGACCAGACTCACGTAGGCCTCGCCACCGCCCACCTCCAGTTCCTAGTCTGCACTGTGTGCTGGGGTGCATAGCTCCCTTGAGAAATGAGGGGAGTCCAGAACTTCACAGCCTCCCCGGATACATGACCCCTGGTCACTACTGCGAGCGGAAATCTGACGCTGATTTTCCCTTGTGGGAAAATGATGCAAAATGAGGGAGGGTTAAGGACCCTTTCTTAAGGAGCCTTGCTTATTTGAAAGGTGAAACAAATGACCCTTAAAATACATAAAAGCAGAGACCCGCTGAGATATATGAGCGCCCTAGGCGGACTGAGAACTCGAGACCCACTCCACCTCACGCTCTTTAAATGTTTAACATTTTATTTAATGAAAATATGAGCCTTTGGGAGTAGAAAATTCGAGGTTTAGCTGACCACACTCAGCATTTCCTCTGTTACCTCAAGCAGTTGGGCTGTGATTCTCAGAGTGTGCGTGCTGTCTGATCCACCTTCGTTAGAATGGTAACAGTAAACACATCAGTACGTCCGGCCACGTGATGAAAACCATGGTGGTCACTGTTAGCGCACTCCTGTGTGTGTGCCCGAAACCCTTTTAAGCATCTTCTGTCTCATTGAAAGCTCCCACCAGCCTCCATTTTTCAAATGTGGAAATGTGCAGAAGCCTGCCCTAGGTTGCACAAGCACCAGGGGACCGAGGTGGCCTCGGCCCCAGGCAGCCGGTCTGGATGGAGAGCTCTGCACGTGTGGCTGTGCCCGGCCCTCGGCAGCTCAGCAGGTTATGCTCCATAGTCACCGTGAGAGGAGTTCTGCTAAATCCAGTTTTTCCCCTCGCATCACGTTTCCCCTGATATTTGGTGTGCTCTTAGATCAGTGCCCTGTTACCATCCAGCCTTTTTGATGCAAAGAAAAAAACATTGAAAGAACTTGGGGTTTGCGCGCTTTTAGGAACGCCAGTGTTGCCCTGGCCTCTTGCTCTCCACCCACTGTGTCTGGGAAATGTCAGATAAAAAGTGTGATTGAGCCCAGAGGTAACTGTCGAAAGGCCAAGTTGTATCATGTTAAAATGAAGTGTCTTTTACTTGGGATTACTAAAAGCTATGATTAGATTTTAATTAGAAGACTCAGAACTATCCCAAATTGCTATAGTAAGTAAAAACCATTCATTTATTCAAAAGTATGTATTGAGAAACTGCAGTGAGTCAGGCACTGTTCTGGACCCTGGAGATAAATCAGGAAACAAAGAAGGACAGAAAAAAGTCACTACCTTGAAAAAGCCTATGTTCTAGCAATAACAATAACAAAAAATGAACTGCATGGTATTAGGAGATGAGTGCTGCGGAGAAAACATGAGTGGGGTAAGCGGGGTCAGGGTAGAAGAGTTATAAATTTAAGTAAGGTGGTTAAGAATGGCTTTCCTGAGAAGGTAAAATTTGGACAAAGACTTGACGAAGCGAAGGAGAGGGCCACGTGGATGTATGGGGAAGGGCCTTCCAGGCAGAGGCAGGAGCCAGAGTTAGAAACCCTAAGGTGTGTCTTAGAAGATTCACACATGAGTGAGAGAGCAGACCCAAAGAAGAACACAGAGAAATGACTGCAAGTAAGGGGGTGTCTCTCTGCTAGATTACAACTCAGGGTGATCCAGAACACGTTACAAGAGGATTCAGACCTTGTATTCAAGGTATAGACCTCAGTGTACCATTAATTGCTTTTGCCAGGCCATTTCTGCCATGGATTTAAGAATTTTTATAGAGAAAGGCAGATTGGTAACTCTGTTGTTTAGGAAATGACATATTGGTTTACAGGTGACAGTACACTATCTTAATTTAAATGTACCCATTCAGCTTCTTTTCGTAGTGAAATCATCCTTTCTCTCCCTTGTTTAAGCTAACTCAGGAACCTTGGCTCAGTATGTTCCAAGAGAAGGGTTAGGGTTTGAATGTTTGAATGTAAAACTGGCAGCATCTCCGTCACATTTCTGTTAAAATAAGAGGAAGGGAGAGGACATGGCTGAGGTGCCTGGAGTCAAGTGAGCATGCTAGAGAAAGAGAAGCACAAGAAGGGGAAAAGCAAGGGGCAGACATACAGAGGGACAAGGGACAGACAGTCCCAAAGAGAAATTATGCCATATGTGTATAAAGTAATAATATACTTTTTACATTTTATGAATATAAATTTAGTAAATTTTTCTTGATATTCAAGAATAATTAAATATTAGAGGATCCAGTAATAAAATGTATCAGTTTAATAAAAGGAAAAAGGCTCTCACCTTGGATGCCAAAATATATTTGAAAGATATAACATCTATTTCAAATTAAGAATAGGAGATGTTCTGGACATACAGTTACCAGGTAACACATTATATGATGGTCGTAAAAAGGAGAGTCAAGACGTCAAATCTCAACACTGTTTAGCATTTTTCTATAAATTCTAGCCCATGTAGTAAGACAAACAAAAATACAGTGCATATAGATATGAAAAAAAATAATAATGATCATAATTGTCATTATTTTTACCTGAGATGACTACCATATCTGAGAAGTCCAAGAGAGTTAATTGGAATTTTAATAAAACTAATGAGCAGTGTATTAAACTAACCAGTCTCAAACAAATAATATTCAGTGGCTTTTCTGTATAACAGCCGTACCTATTTAGAGATTGTAAAAAAAAAAAATTCCATATAATTTACTCACAAAAGTGGGAGAGCAAAAAGAAATTAAAAAATACACATAAATGAATAGCTAAACAGAAGTCAAAATGGAGGGCTTGCCTATCAGATTTTAAAACATTACAATGAATGTTACTCTAATTAACATAGTGTTAGACTCGTGAATGGAGGATATGTATCAGTAGAACGAAATGAAGAGACTTTAAAAAGAGACTTTAGATTATATGAAAATTTTGGTACCTTTCAGTAGGGAAAGTTGAAGGTATTTAATAAATGTGATTTGGAAAATATATGAACAATGTGGAAAAATTTTGTCTGACATTTTATTTCATGCTGTACCCACAAAATTTTCAGATGGAATCAAGAGTTCAAGGTAAAAAAAAAAATTAAACCATAAGCAGCTAGAAACACATACCAAAAAAAAAAGTACATACCTATTTGTAAGAGAAAAGAGATTCCTGATTTTTTTTAAATTGAAAGGCTACTATAAAAGAAAAAACTAGATTGTACTAAGTAAAAAATTTAAACCCCAGTATGTGATAAATATATGTAAAATAAATGTCAAGCACCAAACTATAAACGTTGTAAAATGGCTAATAGCCTTAATATACAAAGAGCTATTACAAACCACTAAAAACAGATATTTTAATTTTAAAAATGGGTAAAGAATATAAGCAAAAAGCAAAATTAAAAAACACAAATGGCCATATGGATAATAAACATGGACAGAATGTATCATTCAGAACAAAGGGAATGCAAATTAACCAAGAATGAGATTAAATAAAACTCCAGTGCCCAGAATAGCAAATGCCTGGAGAAACGGCCAGTGTTAGGTGCTGATGGTGATGCAAGCTATACGCTGGTTTGGCAATAGATATCAAGCCTTAGTGCAATAAGTTTACATTACTCTATAATTAGAAGAATAAACTTTTCTAAACGAAAGAGGCTAATTCAGACATTCATTCAGAGAGGTGTATGTGGATAGTCTTTTCACTGCTTTCGCAATTAGGAAGTTATTCTCTCCACCCCAAGAGCAGCTGTGTTTTCATCTCCTTTGTGCCAAATTCATTGAAATGTGTGTTGTTTTCATAACTGTATGAATACAGGAAGATACTAGGTCTAAATCTGTGATTCAGATATGGTTGGACTAGGGGAAAGCAGGTTGAATATGTAATTCCTGACCTCAGAAATAGAAATGATGGTAATCATCCAACTATCCAACCCCTTTCTTCAGACCAGGTCCCTGTCTTCATACCAGTGATGCTGGGCATTCTGGAGCTGGAGAAATGACACTGAAATTTCCAGTAGGGAGCTCTCCATTCCTGCCCTCTTCTCTGCTCCTCCACTCTTAGTGTGATTACCTCTCTGTTTCCTCTTTGCTTTCCTCTAAGCTCAGATTTCTTTAAAAGCTCTAAATATTTCAGACATTTCTCTGTGGACTTCTCTGCTACGCCTCTGTCTCAGCGTGAAACTCAATGTCTACAAGTTGTTCTAGCTTAACTAGTAATGTGGCTGAGACCTTAAGAGTCCGTATCCCCTGACCTGTAGGATTTCGCAGATCACAGCTGTTAACAGGATGGATGAAGCCCTCCACGTTCCTTAACTCAGACCTGGAAGGAGCTTGTTTTAAGCACAAACAGCCAAGCACGTGCCTTTGGACCTTTAGAATGCAGTGTGTTTGCAGCGTGGAGGGGTCCCTGCGTGGGTTATTGGATGGGGGAGACCACAGCACATTCACCTACATCTTCTTTTGTCGGTGATCTGAGGAGCTTGGACGTGTGTTCTGTGTCTCTTTCCAGGGGAGTTTTGTCGCCTGCATGATTGCCATCCTGCGGCAGATGGACGACAGCCACTACAGCCATTACATCAGCACTTTCAAAACCAGACAGGACATCATTGTAAGTTGACTTCACTGGGTCCTTGTAACTTTAAGACTTCCTGTATTTGGTAAAAGACACTTGACCAAAACTGAGCATCATCAGTCCAAGGTTCTCTCCCCACACACCTCCAGGGCTGTGTGGTTTCCACAGAGATCACAAAAAGGAGCGTGTTGATTCTTACTGTTTCTCTGCAGTAGGATTTGAAGAAGACGACCCCGCATGGACCAGGAGGTCCTCACGCAGCCCCACGAAGGATCTTGGATTTAGAGCGAGCCCGTATTTAGAAACATTTGGGAGGCCTCTTTTGCCCTCATTTTCGAGGACAGTAGGTACTCATGCCGTGGCCAGGATTTTAGGAGGCAGAGGCGTGTGTGGGCTTCCAAGATATGCTTGGTGTCATCGTTTTCCGTATTCCCTGGAAAGGGAGACGGAGGTAATGCTTGCCCTTTGGAACGTTTGTAAGTTATCTTCAGTGGAACACATTCCATTCTCTTTTGTTTTTAACAAGAAAGTTGTTCTGATAGTTACCATTAAGCACACAACCCAAGGCGGCCTCAGAGTCTAAGTGAGGCCTCTGGCTGCTTCCCCAGGATCCTTCTCTTCAGGGAATTGTTACCGGCTGTTAAAACATCCCTGAAGGTACCGTCGTGTCTGGTGAAGCGGTGGGCTGGACATGGTACTGGATTAACAGTCTGATGTCTCATTGCACTGGTCTTTGCTCCAGAGAACTTCCCGTCATTCGTGCATATTCAAGTCTTCTTTATGCTCTAGATTTTCCACTTTCTGCCTATGTTATGCTGATAGCATGTAACCAGTACAGCCAAGGATATCCAGCTCCTTCCTTGCCAATCACCCTCCTTTCTGTGAGGTCCACATGATGGAAAAACACACAAGGAATGGCAGAGGAAGTACTGTTTATTATTACTGGTTGTCATTGACCCAGTGATGAACTCTCAGAATGCTGTCCTTGGACTGTGTGGCTTAATCTGCAGGGCTAGGTGGGCCTCCATTCAGGCCATGCTCTGTGGGTGGCGTGGATACAGGAACGCACAGCATTATGTAGCTGTACTTACAGAGATCTAGGCAAGAGAATTAGGAGGTGGGGAGAGGTGGAAAGAGGTGGGAGCTGAGGGTGGCAGGGTTTCTCCTCCATGGGAAGATGGTGGTGTTGGTTTAAGAACACAGGCTTCAGAAACCCCAGATCTGGGTTTGAATTCTGGGTGGTTCACTTTCCTCTACGGAAATTTTGGGAGAGCTGTTGCACCTCACTAAACCTCAGTTTTCTCATCTGTAAGATAGCCCCTCCCTGGGGACTAATGTCAATTTTGATTGAATTGACACTTGGAAAATATGTAGCTTTGTGCTTGGCATGTAGTTAATACTTAAGAGGGCCAGCTACTGCTAATGATAATTTTATTATTTTTAAAATTATTTTTTTATTTTTGCATAGCAGATTAATATAAAAATGGTTCAGTGACTTTTTTTTTTCTCCCCACATTTCCTTCTGAAAGCAGGTAGAATAGGAAAGTTATACTAAATCCAAAGTCTTGACAATTGGGCTCCATTTAGTAGGCAGGAAAACCCAGGTTTAACTCCTGTTTTCCAGGACAGTGGTGAGCTCTTCCTCCTGTACCACCTAATTAAAAGGGGATTGTTGTCCCCGTGAAGGACTGCGGTCACCAGTGGCGGAGCTGGGCCTCCTGACTTCTGATAGACTGTCCTTTCTCTCTCTCCTGCTGCTTTCTGAATAAATCACTTGAAAGATTTGGGGAAGTGGCAGATAAAATGATCCCTGCATTATCTGTGAACTGCCTCTATTAACCCCTCCCTGTTTACAGTTAACTTAAAGCATCAAGCATTGCATGTTGGGTTGGCATCAGAAGTAGATAACCGGCATCCACATTTCATCCTTGCTTCACAAACCATGAACCTCGACTTGACAGGACAAGTTAATAGAATACTTAATAAATAATGGGTGCATGTGAAATGTATGATGAAAAGTGGAAAAACTTGTGAACTCTTGTCTGTGATTTCAGGATGGAGGGTAGAAAAGTTTGACTCTCCCCTGAAGCAGAGGGAAGACTCAAGGGTGGTGCAGACTTCAGAGCCAGAATCGCTCCCATTCCTGGGCCGTTTGGCATCCAAAGTGCCCGGGTTAACCAACCTGACCAGTGTCTCGGGGGGATATTGTTAGAAACAGAAACCAGGCCCCCTGCCTCCCAAGCACCGTGTTCTTTCTGTACGTGATGTAACCCGTAAGCTAGAACGGCACGCTTTAGTGCCTGAGAAATTGGACTGGATTTTCATTTCAGGAATCTAAGTGGAAAATGTCTAAATTTAACGAATAAATTTTAAAAGTTTTGATTTTTAGTCCGATTGTTCCATTTCTGAGTTCCTTGTTCGCTACAGCCCCCTTTCAAGTAGCGCAGCTGTTTTCCTGTTGCTGGACTTTCCTTATTTGTTATTACAGCCATCACGGTCCACTGCCGTAAGCTTCTTTTAAGGGCCATTTAGGAGCCTTCTCCCAGGCTACATGTGGTAACATTCCTGGAATAGGAAGAATCATGGCTTTGTTTCTCATTTTATAGCATTTTTGTTTTGTTCTAAAAATAATAGAGGAGGATTGGACTCAGAGTTGTTAGAAGTATCCGTTTTCGCAGACTCAAACACTGGCGGTTGCCAAAGGGAAGGAGGGTAGAGAGCCAGATGAAGGAGGTGAAGGAGATTAAGAGGTCCTAACTTCCAGCCAAAAGTTAATAAATTGGGGGGAATGTCATGTACAGCATAGTGAGTACAGTCAATAATACTGTAACCACTTGGTGTGGTGACAGATGGTAACCATTACAGAAAACAACTAGACTTATTGCAGTGATCATTTCATAGTGTATAAAATTATCAAATCACTGTTGTACACCAGAAATTTATTAATATAATATTGTATATTAATTATAACTCAATTTTTTAAAGATTTTTTTTAAGTCTCTGTTTTTTTTATCAATAGTTATTGGTGGATTCGCTGTAAGTGCAGTAGATCTTTTCAGACAACACATGGCAGCAGAGAACTACAGATATGATGGCTCTAAACTTGGGATCCAGAGCCCCACGGTCTCTTCCCAGCTCCCCTGCTGCTTGGTTTCCATGACCTCAGACAAGTCATTTAATTTCTCACATCCTCAGTTTTACCATTTGTGTGATGTAGACAGTTTTTTCATCCTTGTCTTCTCTATCGGGTTATCTGGTGTAAAAGTCAAATCAGGTGATGGCTGTAAGAATGCTCTGTCAACCTTCCTCAAAAGGCCGGCTGTCATGAGGGACAGGGGACCACGTGTTCTGACGCAGCCAGCATTCCTTCATGCCCACGTGTGGAGGGGACTCATGTAACCCCAGCTTTCCCCCAACCATTCCTCCTCTGCTCTCTGCAGGACTTCCTCATGGAAACTTTTATCATGTTTAAGGATCTGATTGGCAAGAATGTCTACGCCAAAGACTGGATGGTCATGAACATGACGCAGAGCAGGTGAGACTGCCCGTGGCGGGTCCTGAGGCACTTGTGTACTTGGGTCTGGTAATGACCTTTCCGACCCTTGTGAATCTCTTCAGCTCAAGTCCGTCGTCTGGAAAGCAAGGGTCCTCCCGCTTTCGTGATCCTGGTTTGTGGGCTCTTGTTGATTTCACCCTGGCTGCTGCCGTTGCTCTGACTTGGACTCAGCTTTCTTCTTCCTACTATAACCTCCTCATCACTCCCATGCTGATTATCAGTGTCAGCTCCACGTGGCATCTTGCAGTGGCTCCATGCAGCCGTCATTATCCTGACATCCCAACGTTCAAGCTCCGCTCACCCTGCTTCTCTAACCTTATATGCCACTGTTTCCCTGTGTATACTCCATGCCCTCCAGCCAAACTGGCCTCTCTCTGTCCCTGAGCATGTTCTGTACTTCCCCTCAAGCTGCCGTTTCCATCTGAAGTGTCTGCCCCATCGTCTCTGGCCATCAATACGCCCCATTCCTTGGGGTCCTTCTCAAATGCCATCTCCAAAAGAAGCCTTTGTGACCTGGATGTCATCTTCTCTTCTTTTAATTCCCCATATCTCTTTGAGACCCCCGCATAGAATTTTCCATATCCTTTTTGGGTCGTGGTTAGATGTACAGGTTGTAAATGACCCTCACCAAGTTGTGGACTTCTTGAGACCGAGAACCACCTCTTTCAAGGCAAAACCTGAGCCAGTGCTTTGCAGTTGCTGGTATGCCACAAAGCTGTGTTGAATGAAAGGAAAGTGAACTGAATACAGATACTCTATTAAAAGAGATTTGGGATTTTTAAAGAGCTAAATAGAGGAGATCATTACGATAGCATTATTAAGTCTACATGGTCCTGATCCTTGATTGGAAGAACCCTTCCCATCTATGTACAGATCAGAGGAACAATTGCATCCAAAGTCCTAGACTTCTAAGCACAAGCAATCATGACGGAGGGAGAGACTTACGGAGGGAGAGATCTGAGGACCAGGTGCCCCCTGGCTTGTCCCTCAGCTGTACCCTGCACTGGCTACATCATGGTGCAGCCTTGAGTGGTGCTAGTAGTCAGTTCTAGAAGCTGACCTTCTGTGTCGACTGTGCTGTTGTTGGTCTTAAGGACCTTGATAGACCTACGGGTCTTCTGTTGCCAGGTCCAGGTGTGGCTGGCTTCAGTTTTTAACGTGTATGGAAAATGTTTCAAAGAGCATGAAGTTGCCTTCTCCATCTGGTGTGTTTTTCCTCCCCCAGGGTTTTCCTCCGTGCCATAAACCAGTTTGCTGAGGTTCTCACAAGGTTCTTCATGGATCAGGCAAGCTTTGAACTTCAGGTAGGCGTGCGACTCACCTGCGGGTTCCTTGAGTTCTCAGCCAAAGCAAGAGAACTGCTTCATTTTGGAAAACATCACCCCAGATTTTATCATAACAGAATCACACAAATACACACGTGCTTTCACGTAAGCACTCAGGCATCCCTCTGCCTGCAAACGGTTTAGTGTCCAAAGAGCGGTTCGTATACACACCTGTTTCAAAGTCCAGGTGATAGCAAACCAGGTGACAACTTGCGCCATCTTCCTTCCTTCCTTCCTTCCTTCCTTCCTTCCTTCCTTCCTTCCTTCATCCAACAAATATTACAGAGTTCTATGTACAGGGCACCAGTCTAGGCCCTGGTGAAGGCGGACAAGGTCCAGTTCTCGTGAAGCTTCTGTTCCAGCGTATATTTTGTTGGTGACATGCTTTTGCTGTGTCATGGCCTGTGTTTGTATTTATGGATCTTTTAAAGTGGAGAGTCACAAGCAGAGATTATATATACATACTGCATACACATGTGTGTTTGTACGTGTATGTATGTGTGTATGTATGTCAAAATGGTATACATATGTGTGTGTCTATACACACACAGACACTGAAACAGAATGAAGCTATACAATTCTTTGGTTACCTATTGATCTGCTTTTATTTACTTTTTCTGTAATCTTTTCAATGATCATAAATACATTCGCAACATTTTTAATGGCTGAATACAGTCCATTATATGGCTGGACCATGATTTATTTAACCAAATTCTTCTTATGAACATTTTGTTTGCTTGTTTTTTAGGGGGGGAAGGGGGAGGTAATTAGACTTATTTATTTTGTTTTAATGGAGGTGCTGGGGACTGAACCCAGGACCACAAGCATGCTAGGCATGCACTCTGCCACTGAGCTCTACCCTCCCTCCTTCTTATGAACATTTAGATTGTTCCCATTTTCTGTTATGTTAAATAGCACTGTGATGGCCTTCCTTGTTTTAAACAGATTTTTGAATACCCATTTTTATTTTGCCAGGAGAAAGCCCTGAAGTATTTACTGGTTCAAAAGTTTGGCAGAACAAGTTAGGGCTTTTGATACGTATGGCCAAACTACCTACAAAAATAGGTACACTTCTTGGCAGCAGCTTTTCTTTATCCCAGGAATAAAGACAAATATCATAGTTTGAATTTAAAAAAAAAACCTTAATATTAATAAAGTGTTAAAACTTCCAGTGCTCAATAATTGAAACACTAGAGAGGAAAAGAAGTCTTGCGGATTTTATTTTGTTTTTCTGTAATTTCTGGCAAGTGAATCTACCATGTGGCACTGTTTCATTATGACCCTTATTAATGTGATTTTCCATTTCTTTTCACCCACACAATTAATTTTGAACAGCTCTGGAACAATTACTTCCATTTGGCAGTGGCATTTCTCACCCATGAGTCCCTTCAGCTGGAAACCTTCTCTCAAGCCAAGCGCAACAAAATTGTGAAAAAGTAAGTGTCCTTTTAAACTTGCTTGATTCTGCCATTTCTGTTTAGAGCAGGATTTTTGATGTCACAGAAATTACTGTTCACTGGCTATTCAGGTAATTAGTGATGTAGGTCTTAAAACAGTCATTTAACAGACCTCAGATTTCCCAGATTCACACCTCTTTTCTCAAGGCCCCATTTATTTTCCCATCAACCATCGCATTCTTTCGTGGAATCTCTACATGAGGAGGCACTGAGGCCAGCCAGTCCTCCTTTCTCCGAGAATAGCTGCCCTCTGCTGGCAGCTTTTCTGAATTGCAGGCATAGTGCCTCTTTCTCACTCATTGCTTCACAAAGCAGGCTCCTCTGGCACCGTTGATCTACCTCTCAGTCTTAACAGAGAAGCCAAAACTAACACGTAACGTAAAAATGCCCTCCAGATTCCTGGCTCAGAATTCAAAACGGGCTTGTGTGTAAGAGTGATGAGAGATGTAGGGAAATTTTTCATTGCTTTCATCTCACGTCTGTTTCAGAGTTCATTGAGAGTCTGGAAACTCAAAGACTGTGTAGTTCAAAAGAACTTGAGAAAATTCATCCTTTAAGGGCTGGGAAATTTTAGTTCTGTTCCCTTGCCAGCATGTCTGGAATTCTAGGCACATTATTTAGGACCCCTCTGGTTCCTAAAACGCTAAATTTGGTGGCCCAGAGATTGAGATTTAGTGATTGCACTTTAAAAGATAAAAGTAAAACCTGTTTTGTAGACTTCCCTGTGGGGTGGGCATCAAGAGATATTTGATTTTTAAGATGAATACCTTAATTTCATTCTTTGGAATGCCTTAAATGACATAACTTCATTCAAGGATGGATTTGATCTTGGTTCAATGACCGTAAGTGAAATGAGTTGACACCAAGTCTGATAAATAAAGTAGCTAGTTGTGATTAATGATTCTGGTTTTGGTTAAAGGGAAGTGTGACTGTAAGTACAATCCTTGTTAAAATATGCATCTGGGCAAAGATAAACCTTGGGAAATAACATTTATATTAAGGTCATAGGAATGTGAGTGAATTTTCTCTCAGGACTTCTCTTATTTTTATTAAAAGTAGCATCAACAGTACTATTAATAAAGAATAAGAATAGTTATCATTTAATATGTGTTCTAAGGCAGATGTGGACCACATAGTGTTTCTAATATTAATTATAAAATTAGGTACTTTTGTTAAATTGAAGTAGTAAGAGAACTTTTAAAATAGAATTTTTGTTATTTTCTAATTTTTAAAAATTCTAAATATGGTTTTTATACTAGCTTCTGAAGGCATTTCCAAAGCAGGAATTTGAAAAAAATGTTTGGTACAATAATAGCATGAGTAGAAGATGTGGAACCATGCTGGTAGGTTGGGTCATAGGTCCATATTCAAATTCCCTGGGAAACATTTTCAGTATCCACTTTTGACCCACCCTCATGCAATTTTTCAAGCCCCCAGCCTCTGATACAGTACGTGGTCCAGGGCAGCCCCAGGCATATGCATTCCTTGAGAGATTTCCAGGGGACTCTGATTCACCTCCACCCAAGGACCGTTGTCTAGATCTCTACTTGTTTTTCCTTCGTTATCGACTCCTGTAAAGAACCTTTTCAGAAATTGTTTTTCTAATCACATCCTCGCCCTGAAACATGAATACCACAGATAGACTGTTTATCCCTTTATGTACCAAATGTATTTTTGTACTTGATATGGAAAAACAGTAAGCTTTTTTGCCCCCTCCAAAACCAATTTTCACCCCTTTGGGGACACTGTCGCTCCCACTGAGAATGTGTATCTAGTGTGTTCCAATGTGAGCACTTTGAAGAGTGAACTGGTGTGGATAAGGGTTACTTAATATATATGTATATTTAAAGGCAGCATGTTTGTTAGACATCAGCCACATTACTCTGTAAATCACACCTCATTCATCTTTGTCTTCTTGTGTGTTCATGTTTTTATTTCGTTGTGGGTATAGCTCTGTGGTGGAGCGTGTGCTTAGCAAGCACGAGATTCCAGGTTCAATCCCCAGCACCTCCACCAAAAGTACTAGGTAAATAGATAAGGCTAATTGCCTACCCCTCCAAAAAATTAAAATTAAATTAAAAATTTGAGAAAGAAAAGAGCAACCAGGGTATTTCTCTTCTCCCTTCAGTAAGCCTGTCGGTCTCCCCCTCTGAGTCATTTTCAGCACTTCCTTAGGTCCTCTTCCTGCTGTGAAAGTTCCCCCCACTTCTCTGTGGCTCAGTTCTTTGGGGGCTTGTTTAGGTGGAACCAAATCTTTCAACGTGACTTTGCCTCAAAACCTGCCTTATTTGTGACCGCGAGGAATGCAGGCTCTTTTTTGCTCCCTTCGTCACTGTGTTACGTGTACTCATTTCCTCTGTAATCTTTCTCGTGGTGTGTGATCTTCTTCCTAGATACGGGGACATGAGAAAGGAGATTGGCTTTAGGATCCGGGACATGTGGTATAACCTGGGTGAGTGAATGACCCGAACTCCTGTGAGACATGCATCCCGCGATGAATTCTTTTTCGTTGTAATTCCCAGAACCCTGAGATTTATTTAGTCTGTGTGTGTCTGGAAGGGAAAGTTGACTCGTGAGTCTCCTATGACATCCATATGTTAAATCAGAATACAATCTTTAGTCGCTCACTTCTGAATTGAGTTGATTTACCCACATAAGCTTTTTCTTTTCTTACGGGCCCTGTGGAGGGAGATTTTAATACTTTACTTCCAGTGAATTTTTTTTTAATACCCTTTCTTAACTTTCATTCCAGGTCCCCACAAAATCAAATTCATCCCGTCCATGGTGGGTCCCATTCTGGAGGTCACATTGACACCCGAAGTTGAGCTCCGGAAAGCTACCATCCCCATTTTCTTTGATATGATGCAGTGTGAGTTCAATTTCAGTGGAAATGGCAATTTCCATATGGTAAGGAGCAGTAGACCTGTAATCTTACTTATTTATTTTCTTTTACATAGAGAAGCAGTCGCCTAAATAATGTAAATCCAAGTTGATCTACTTTTATTTTGCATTTTGGTTCGTAAAGCAACTAGACGTAGAATCAGATATTCCACCTCAGTCCCTAGAAGCAGTCTTTTTGCTGCTTGTGTTTCCTAAACCATCACTCTTACCTCTGGATAATTAAAATTTGACTTCTTGCATTTTAATCCTATCTCTTGCAAATATTCAGTGGATTAAGGGAATGGTGCAGAGATTTCTAGTTTTGAGACCAAAGTTTGTCTGATATATTTTGTCGATGCTTCAGTTTCCTTATCTCTGCAGTATATTCGTGTTGAAGGGAAGATTTTACAGCCACCAAGTTCTGCACAAATAATCCTGTGGTCGAGACATCGACAAGAACCAAAAATAAAATAAGAAATTAGAATCATTAAGCTGTTTTTATGTTCATAGTTGTGACAGGAAATGAATGTTTAGGGGAATTTTTTTTTTCTGCAAACATAAAGCAGAGGACAAAGTAGCAGAATGTACTGCTTCAGGAAGTTTGGCTAGGGCCTTGGTGCACCGTTAACGGACGATGTGAAGTGCAGTCTTCCTCTGTGCATGTTGGAAATAGTTCACAATTCAGTAAAGGGGTCAGTCCAAACCTAGAAAGGTCGGCTGGATGTCTTTCATGTCCTCTTCTAAGAGTATGGCGTTCTCCTGTGGAATTCTGACTCTCCTTTCAGTTTGAGAATGAGTTGATCACAAGGCTGGACCAAGAGGTAGAAGGAGGCAGAGGAGATGAACAATACAAGGTCCTTCTGGAGAAACTGTGAGTATTTCAGAAACACACACACACAAATCTCAAGTTGATTGCATCAACTGCTGCACTTAACAGACCAGTTGAGTAATCTCAGCATCGCTGGGGCCACCACCACAAGTGGTGCTCGGTGGGGTTCATGGAGTTTACACCATCCACTGCTGACATGTGTTTATCTGATGTGAGTCACGTGTTCGTGTTTCCCCGGCCAGCCCGGCCCTGGAGAACAGAGCAGATGGAGGAGAGGGGGGGGATGGACAGAGTGGTGGCATCGAGCCCAGTGTCTGAATTGCTGAACTTTAACAAAAGTGCTAGCGCCTCTAATTATGGCTTCAAAACAATAATTTAAAGGAGAAAGGAAAAGCATTTCAAGGTCCACTTACATTTAAAAATACCTCATGCCCAGTAAAGGACATCTCCAGCCAGGTGGCCCTTTCCCCGCTCCCCCGTCCCCCACCCTCTGCTCAACCCAACATACTCATTCCTTCCCTATGCTCACATCATCCGCACTGCTCCACCCTGCACCCCCACACACCTTCACCCATCACCTTCCAGTCCTCTTACTCCCCTTTGCACACAAGGACTTATAACATAAAAAGAGTGGTTAAAAACCCTTGGATGTTGGTGTTAGAGACTGTGCTTCAAATCTCATTTCTCCACATACTAGGATTTTGACGTTGGACAGACGATTTATCCTGACGCCTTTTTAAATGTTTTCATCTGTGATAGTCGAATCTGTGTTTTAGTGGGGATTAAGTGAGATGATGCATAAACACAGCGTCTGCCACGGAGCTCAGGCTGGTGTCAGCGTCAGCTGCTCTGGTGTCTGTTACTGCCATTATCTGAGGATCCTCACATCTTCCTGGGTCGTAACTACCCTAGACTGTCCATTTCCTGTGTTCTCTGAACTCTTACGATATCAGGCAACCTGCTGAGTGGGTAGGTACCTAGGTTGCCCTAGGACTTACCTGCTTTGTGGGTTGGTGGGCACTAGACTGAGTCTGAGGACAGGGACTCTCAGCTCTGTTTTTCTTTTTTAAATGTTTTTTTAAGAAACCAGCATGCTGGATACTCAGAAACGCAACTGATGACTCATCTGTATTTTAAAGAACTAGGAGTCCTTCTTACTTTGTTTGCAGTGGATGATAGATCTTTCCTCCTGTTTGCACTAGGTCTGCCTTTCAGCTTCAAACCTTTTAACTTATCCCTTCTCCAAGGCTGATCTTGTACAGAAATTAAATGCAGAAGTTATGCACACATACAAACACACACACACGACATTTACAAATGATAAAACTACACTTTTGAAAAAACCCTGCAGTTGAATTTTCACCCGGAGATCTTATTTTTTCTTCATTCTTCTTGGATCACACATGCAGAAAAATGTGACTCCACAAATCTCCAGTGCTCAAGGACAAGAATAATTCTGAGAGTCTGGACTAATGCTTTGAACTCTTTTTTTTCCCCTCTTTTTTTCTTCTATTCTGCAAGATTTCTTCTAACTGCTTAATCTAGGAAGCTTCTATAGAAGCTTTGCTCTATTTGGGTCCAAAGGGAGAGGATTTAGACCAAAAGCTTAACCTCAGTCTATTTGTTTACATCTGTGCATTTTTTTTTTCCTGAAAAATAACACTTTTATCTGAAGTGCCGTATGTCTGGATGTGTACTGGGTTCCTAGGCTCCTCTAGGCTGGGCAGCAATCCGAGGCTCTCCAGAGTGCCCTCAGGATGCCCTGAGGTACTCGACTTTAGAAAGAATAAAGACAGAGAAAAGATGGCCTCTTAAATGAATAGAAGGATCAGATAGTACACACAGATCTTTTGGGCAAAGGTTCTCATTTCTGTGGTATTGACAGAAGATGAAAACAAAAAACAGATACGCATAGGAGTTCAAAGAAGGTCATCACGGGCTGGGATTCTCACTGATGGTGGGATTTGAGCTATAGACCTAAAGAAAACATAGAACCAGAGAGGAGCCCTGTGCGTGAAGGCCTCGGGGTAGGATAGGATGGAGTTACCGAAGGGTGTGTGTCTCCTCGCCCGGTGCCACCTGCTGCTAGGACCTTGGACAGCTCTCGTAAGTGGTGCTGGATTTACGATGTGGGACGTGGGCTTTTGTCTCTTCCTTCACCCTCCAGGCTCCTAGAACATTGCCGGAAACATAAATACCTCTCCAGCTCCGGGGAAGTATTCGCGCTCCTGGTCAGCAGCCTCTTAGAGAATCTCTTAGACTACAGAACCATCATCATGCATGACGAAAGCAAAGAGAACCGCATGAGCTGCACCGTTAATGTGCTGGTACGTGCCCCGCCCCCAAGATGGCGGGAGGGCAGGGCCGGGCCACGCCTGTACCCCTCAGCGCAGCACAGAGTAGATCCAGCAGGCACCTCGGGACCACCTTTCTGGAGTCTGTGTCCTGCTGAGTCTAATTAGAATGGCCAACTCAGCTTTGAACTCACAGATACCAGCTGCCTCCGACCTTGAGGATGAATGCAGAAACAGGGATGGAAAATGCAACATCAGGTCTTAACTCTCTTGCTGAAGGCCACCCTCAGCCTGTTTCTCTGTCTTGTTTGTATGTGGTTGCTTTGTTGTTGGAATGACTCAACAAAAATGCAGTAGAAACAGTATAGCTTGAGTAGACAATTTAGTCCATGCAGTCCTCACAATGGTAGAGCTCTGTGGTCTTGCCTTTCCCTAGACAGTTGTACCTGGACCACAGACCTCGGAGGTGTAGGCTGCCACGTGCTCCTCTGCTTAAGATAAATCAAGAACCTACCACCTCTGACCTCCCGAAAAAACAGTCTCGTGTGACATGGGTGTGCCCTGGCTGTCTGTTCACGCAAAACGTTTCCCGCACATTTCTCAGAAGCATGGTCCTAAAGACGTCCTTCCACTTTTCTTCTTTGTAAACTGTCACTTCCATATTTTTGGAGGGAGTATTTGTTAAAAGGGAAAGAGGAGCATCTTTGGAAAAGGGACAGTGTTGAAAAGTGCAAGTCACAGGTTGGCTGTTTTTGTGCCAAGCTCATCAATAACAGATTGAGACTGGTATTTTGTGACTTGTTTGTTTGTTTGTTTTGTAGAATTTTTACAAAGAAAAGAAGAGAGAGGACATCTACATAAGGTAAGATGGAGGGAATTTCTGCTCTTGCGTCCGACTTTATTATTTATTTCTCCAATAAACAAATAATAAGCCCCAATACCATGCTTCCTGCTTTGAGAGACACCAGAAAGTATCTGAAATGCTCCCTGCCTCCTAAAAGGGTGAACTCTTTACACATGTAAGTACAATACAGAGAAGTGCAGAGGGAGGACAGTGCTGGGATTTGGGGGAAAGGGTAGAGGACTCTGGCCGGGCAATCGGGAAAGGGGAGACATGGAAATTCACCTTCTGTTGAGGTCTGTTAGCCTGGGGTCCAGGAAGCCCTGAACATGAAACAAACTTGAACGTAACCAATATGTATCTTCTTGGGGAGAGATTCCATAGCTCTCATTGAACTTCTCATGACTCTGTGACATTAAAAAAATTTTTTTGAACAAATAAAAAATTAAGTATCATTGCCTTAAATGAAGAGTGCAAAATGGAACCAGTAGATTAAGAAAGACACAAAGCCCGGAAGCAGCACAGAGACTTAAAGGAATAGGAACAAACTCTTTTCTGCCTAAGAGTAAGGAAGCGCTCACGTGGAGCAGAGGAGAGAGGATGCTTAGCTGCCGTCAGGCTGGGACGCGGGCTGAACACTCTGTCGGTTCCCCCTGCGGCAAAGCGCCTCCTTTCTCCGCTCCTCACCAGATACCTGTACAAGCTGCGGGACTTGCACCGGGACTGTGAGAACTACACTGAAGCTGCCTACACGCTCCTCCTCCACGCCGAGCTCCTGCAGGTAAGGGGCTCAGGGATGCAGGATGTCAGCTGCCCGGCCCTTTGGGACCACATTATGATTTTGTTGGAAGCCATCCCTGTTCCAGGGGGGACCCTTTCGTCCAAGCATATTTTTATACCTTCTCAAGCGGCACAGCTAATTTTCAGACCAAGGCTGGGAAAATATCTTTTATTTAAGAACCCTTAGGAAGCAGAGCACAGCTTTCAGGTTGCTAGTATTGACACGCTAATTAAAAAACAAAGCACACGCTAATTAAATATATGTTTAAAAAATGTGTGAAACTGCAGAGTTGTACATAAAAATAGAACCGTAGAAGTACTTTCCCATCTATGCTGTCTCACTAAGTAAATTCTACTGTGTCATGGATACAAATGCATTGATACATCATGAATCCCAAATAATTATTTCTAGCTCTAACTAATATCAAATAATTTAATTTAGGGAGAATTTTCCATGTTTATGAAACAGTGCTTTCTTATCCAAAAGCGTGGCGTGACTTTTTATTTGTCACAGTCTGCTTGGGTGCCCTTCGATGGCGTGTTAACGTTTTCTGTGTAGAAGTCTTGGGTGTTCCTGGTTATGTTGATTTCTAGATTTTTTTTTCTTTTTAATTTAATTATGGTACAATACACATAGCATACAGTTGACCATCTGAGGCATTTTGAAGTGGTTCCGTGGCACAGTTCAGTGACACTAAGTATATTCACACTATTGTGCCTGGGAACCAGGTCATTGTGGATTTACTCTTGTTAGCGGCTTTTCTTCTGGTGTCTTCAGCACAGTTATAATTTATATGACGTCTATCCCTAAGTGATTTCTAAACGAGTTACTTGTTTTTTAATCCCACTGCTTCATTCTCTCCTTACTTGTGGCGGTTTTTCAGTCGGCACCCTCTGCGAAGGGATTGATTTTGAAGAAAACAGTCATTGCTATCATGTGACAGTTTTACCCCCTTTTTTTTCATTTTTGTACATCTGATTTCTTCCTTTCACCTGGTTGTATGCATGCTAACCTCCAGCACAGTCACAGTCATGCTGACTGGCAGCCTCACCTTGTTCCTGACCTTAGTGGAAATGATTTGAGGGTGTGTCCATTTGGCATGACGCTCATTTTGAAGCTGGCGTGTGTATGGTGTATGTGTGTATGCAATTTCTGTGTTTAATAAATCGTCAAAAACACACTAGGGGTGAGTCAAAGATACATACAAATATTTTTGTGAATTTTTTTAGCTAAATATTTGTTACATTCATCTCCTTCAATTAATTAAATGAAGTGATGCGTTTCCGTTAATCTCTTTCGTTGCTTTGTGTGTTTTTCAGTGGTCTGACAAGCCCTGTGTACCCCATTTGCTTCAGAGGGACAGTTACTACGTGTACACCCAGCAAGAGCTGAAAGAGAAGCTGTATCAAGAAATCATATCATATTTTGACAAAGGCAAAGTGAGTGTTGGGTGGTTTGTTTTTGTATGGGGGCGAAGACTGCGCTACTGTAGGTCTGACGTTCACCAGCTGAGTTAGTGCCAAGCCCGCAGGTGAAGGGCCTCGTCCCCAACAAGACAGCCCAAACTTCAGACGCCAGCTGCAAGTTCAGGGGGTCCCCAGGCCACCCACACTTCTGACCAATTGACTATAAATTTGGGGAGAGTGCCTATAACCCCCACCCCACCCCCAATTTGATAATATGCTAGAATAACCAACAAAAGTTGGTAAAATGCTGTTCTTAATGATTACAGTTTTAACTTAAAGGACAGAAATCAGGCCCAACCAAATGAAGAAATGCACAGGGCGAGGTCTCGGAAGGTCCCGAATACATGGCGTCTGTGTCCCCTCCCCGTGATTCAGGCCCATCACGCTCCTGGTGAATTGATGTGTTCACCAACCAGGAAGCTCATTTGAGCTCTGAGTGTAGGGCTTTTATTGGGGTGTCATGATGTTGGCTGGATTGACTGAATCATCAGCCACATGAATAAACTCCATCTCCAGCCACCTCCCCCCTCACCTCCCACCCCTCCTGCCTCCCCCTCCATCCCACATCCCCATCTCCTCCCTGGAGGTCTGGCTGATACGATGTCACTCAAGACCTCAGCCCTCCAATCACAAGGGGGGCGGTGGTGCTGGCCAGGCCAGCCCCCATTCTGAGACTAGCTGTGTGTCCACCATGAGTCGCATCATTAGCATGAACTCCCAGGTGGTCTGAGGGTTCACCATGAGGAACAAAGACACTTCTGTCACTGGGGAAATTCCAAGAGTTTAGAAGCTTCCTCCCAGGAATCCAGGATAAAGACCAGACAGATTCTTTGTTATGTAACAATGACTCATGACTTAATCTTTATTATTCTCTTATGTATCTTTGAATTCTGGTATTTTTAATGGGAGAGAAAATGAATAGATAAATTAAGGTAAGAAAGGCAGTAAATAGAGATCAGTATCGTGATCTTTTTTTAAAATTTTTTTCGGGGGAGGTACTTAGGTTTTTACTTACTTACTTGTTTTTGGAGGAAGTACTGGGAATTGAACCCAGGACCCTGTGCATGCTGAGCATGTGCTCTACCTCGTGAGCTATACCTCCCTCCCCACCAACCCCAGTATCTTGATCTTAAGTTAACTGAACCCAGTGGGAGAATACAGTGGGCAGCCCAGGGCCCCACTCCCCATAATCATAATTTTACATTTTAAGTATCACCGAGGGCCAGGAACTAGTACCACCATTTTCAGTGCATTCTCCAGAGGTTGTTGGCTGACACCAGGGGCACATCCCATCCCCAGGTCCCCACCTGTCTCACCCCATAGGCTGCACGTAACCAACAAAGGCCCACAAGGGAGAGAAAGTAAAATAACCAAGTAAACTAGGCCACAAAGTTGTGGAATCTGTGATTAGCTGGAGAAAAGTGTGTCCAACTGGAAGGCTTTTAAATTGAAAATTATGAAAAACAAACAAACAAACAAACAAAACGTAGAAGGGGTGGGGGGACAAAGTAACAATGTGTGTGCTATGGAAACAAAGCAGATTCCACATTTGACTGTTTTCAGAGGCCTGGAGGCTCTGAGGGCTGCCTCTCCTAGCCACCATTCTTGTTTTATTAGTGAAAACTGTTGATTGAATAGATAAGCCACATAATCATCACAATAAAATAACTACCATCTCTTTAGTGCAAGTTACTATTTGGAGCGATTTCCAGACTGTTTCTAAGTTAATTTTCCCCATAACCCTATAACCTTCCCCATAACCTTCATCCGTAAAACAACCTCTGTTTTACGGATGAAGAACTTGAGACCCTGAGAACAAGTATATTTGCTCAGACTTCTTGATCTCTGCATCCCTTTACCCTCTTAAAAATCCTTGAGGACCGCCGAGAGGTTTTTTTTGTTCACATGCATTATGTCTATTGAGGGCTATACACTTAGGAATTAAAACAAAATTTTTAAATAGTTGCTCGTTCTTTTAACAGCAGTAAGAAACTTATTACCTGTTAATAGAAATCAGACCTATTTATGAACAATGACTGTATCCTCCAGAACGTGCGTGATACGTGTCGTTTGCCATTTCTGCAAGCCTCCGTATCATCTGGCTCGTTAGAAACAACGGGATTCAAATGTCTGCTGCTACATCTGACCCGCCGTGACATCACACGTCCCGTAGCCTCTGGGAGACGCCACCTGTAGCCGCATGAGAGAGTGAGCGCTGGAAAAAGGCAGACCTCATTAGTAGTATGGAGAAGATAGTTTTGACCTCATGGACCACCTGAAAGCGTCCTGGGGGCTGTCAGGGACCAGGGACTACACTTTAAGAACCGCTATGCTGGGCTGTCTCCCACATCATTTAGCATTTGGTGAATGAGGAGAGAACTGGGCCCCATTGTACTGTTCCTTTACCAGCTGAGCTGGAGTGGTTTCCATGGGGCACATTTCAGAGCCTTTTCAGCGATCCAGGCCTGGAGATTTCAGAAGGGGCAAGTTTGGCAAACGATAATATTAAAAGATTTAAGTTTAGAATGTTTTCCAGCTGTATGTGGCACATACAGTTGTACGTGTATGGCAGGCACATTTCCTTCAGCAGCCAGAAACAGTGGAACGTAGCACCTGGTTAATAAGACTGAAGTAGGGCGTTTCCAGATGCTGCGTTGTGAATAGCATCCAGCTAAGAGCCGTTTATGAGATACCCAAATGAACAGGCGACCGTCAGTCTGGGACGCCAGCCTCAGACACCAGACACGTGCCATGGGCTGTAATTTACATGGTCATAAATGCTCTTGGGCATTTCCCGAAGCTCTTAATCTTTAACTAAGTAGATAGTTTAGTTAGAAATAGGAAATCAGTGCCCTAAATTGGAGGGAGTTTCCCAAATTCCACACAGCAGTATGATTGGACCTCTCTCTCACACCCTACCTCCTCCCCAGCAACTTAACTCAACACGCACACGCCAGTTGCAGAACGAGAGCCCACACCAACTTCTTCCCTCCAACAAGAATTTCTTGTTCTCAAGACCTAGGCTTTGGAACTGGTTCCCCTCCGCCTTCAGTGGTATTTAGTGCTTTGCCCTTTAAGCTCAGTGTGCCTTTGTTCAGGGACACAAGATACAAACAGAGTTAACAGAAAATGCCCCCCACCCCCACCCCGGCAAAGCCACCAGGGAACAGTAGCTTCATGATGTCAGAGGGCAGGTTTTGTTGATCCAAGAGGTGAGGCATAGCGGTAATTTGCACAGAAACTCAACCTCCTTACCTCCCTCGTCACTGCCAGGGACTCCTGAGTGGCTTCTGTGGCTGGGGCTCTGACTGCTGCGTTCTTTCTCCTTGTAAGACTGCCTTTCTTTTTGTTTTGAAGATGTGGGAGAAGGCAATCCAGCTGAGCAAAGAGTTGGCTGAGACTTACGAGAGCAAAGTGTTCGACTACGAGGGCCTTGGCAATCTCCTGGTGAGTCCTGGTTGGAGATGTCGCGCCTCCGGCAGGGAGGCTGAGCATGGTGATTGTGAAAATGTTTTCGTCAGTTTGAGAAGGTCATCGAGGCTATTCTTTTCAGTGGAGAAGTCCGCCTTGCTTGAAATCAAAATGAAGAAAGATAAGGTCTGAAAGCTGTGATCATGAGTCCCCTGATGACTTGTTCTGTGGTCCACCTCATCAGGGCCCTGAATGTATGAACTGCTCATCTTTGAGCCTTGTTTTACCTTTTCAAAGATGCCCTGGTGCACATTTATAGTAAGCTGTAAAATGCTTCTGCCACATTTTGATTCTCAAAGTTTGCCTTCCTCCAGCTCTGAATGTCACTGGAGTGCTCTACCCTTCCGGTCCCCGAACTTGTGTGTTACGCCTGGTCACCTATTTCAGAACAGTAAAGCAGGCAGAGGGTATAGTTCAAATGGTAGAGCGCATGCTTAGCAAGCATGAGGTCCTGGGTTCAATCCCCAGTACCTCCTCTAAGAATAAATAAATACACCTAATTACCTCCCCACCAAAAACAAAAAGAGTCAAGCGAAATGAAAATCCCCTTTTACATGCCCGATGGGAGGCCCGCACAGTATTTACATGTGGTCATTCTTACTGGGGGAATCACTGGGGGAATCACAAAAGGTCAGGTCACCCATTGTCGTGTAATAATCCGAAGAGGTAGTTGTCAAGATGACTTTGGAAAGAATTTGCTAGTGTGTTGTAGCAGCTCCTGCCAGCATGCAAAACATCACCTGTGAATTTCATGAACTACACTGAGCTGAGCTGTTAGTCACACGTTACCCTTCTAAGAAGACACTGTGATGGAAACCTTCATGGAGAGTCGAGCTATAACTGTTGTGGGAGGAGACAGCTCTCCAAGCTGCCAGGCTGGCTGGCTATTTAGGCTTTCTTTAAGGCTGACCCTCTACATCTCGGCTGGGAAGCCTCTCCCCAGGGGAAGAATTAAAGACAGGAGTGGTACCAGGATACTGGAAAACAGAGCATCACCACCACCTTCTGGGAGCTGAGCCGAGGACTTTAATCCAAACCACCTGCATGAACCAGAAAGTTCTTTAACTTCTTTTCTCGTATGTGCAGCCATCCTCGGGGAATCTCAGAAAGTGCTTCTTAACCTTTAAGGGGTCCTGAACCCCCTTCAGGAAACTGGCCAAAGCTAAGCCCTGCCTCCCTCCAGAGATGACTGCACACGTGTGTTTTTGAACAACTGCAAGGATTCCCAGACCCTCCCAGGCCTACTTGTGGACACAGGTCCAAAACCTCCGAGCCAAGGAAAGGATAACTCTTTGGCCCATGAGATATTTTCCAAGACCTTTCATTTCTGTGTGTTACATGGGAAATAACAAAGCAAATAGCCTGATCTTTTTTTTTTTTAACCACCCTAACGGTGCCCTTGTAACCTCCCTAAGGAATGGCTTGTTTTGTTTTCCAGAAAAAAAGGGCCTCGTTTTATGAGAACATCATTAAGGCGATGCGGCCCCAGCCTGAATACTTTGCTGTTGGATACTACGGACAGGGCTTTCCTTCCTTCCTGCGGGTAAGGAGCCTGAGGGTGGTCCGTTAAACCGCGCATGGTCTCAAGGAGGGAGGCGTTCATCTCTTTCCCAGATGCGCCTGGAGTGCTAGCAGCTGCAGCGCCGTGTTCTCATTGTGGGAGGTCGGGGAGGGACTCCACTTCCTGACCGACCGGTCCCTGAGCAGCCGGTCCCTTCACCCCACACCCCTGCCACCTCTGGTATTCTGGCAGCTCTTTTGTAAAATGACTTTTCCCAGGTGGAATGAAAGAGGGAAAAACAGAACCATCCCCTCTGAGGGTCTGCTGCTGCAGGTCAGGCTTGGGGAAATGTGTGGATGGATGTAGCTGATTGTTTATTTTATTTCCAGACAGAGCTAGTTTGAAAGCAAATAATCTCCGGGACAAGATGGCAAAAGTTTCACAAAAATAAAAATGGTTTTGTTGTAAGACTGAGAAGGACCATGTTTATTTTCCTTCTCAAAATTTTCTATAATGTGATACTGATTTTACGAAAACAAACAAAAAAACCCTTACCTTCTCCCACAGAAAAGAAACCGCTTTCAGTGCTGAGCTATGTTTAAACATGTATTATGCATCTTCCTTCCCCTAATTAAAAAGAGAAAAGAAAAAGTGGAAAGGACTTTGCATTCTTTATAGCACCTAGTAAGGAAGTTTATTCATGCATTCATTCGATAACTGTTTCCTGAGGGCCTACTGTGTGCCACGCACACACTAGGCGTTAGAGATACCATTATGCTTATCATCAGGTATGGTCCTTGCTCTCCTGGATTTTACAACCTAATGGGTGAGATGTTAGTTCAATAATCACACAAACTGACGTGAAAGTCTTCTCTGCTGGATGAGTCGGTTAAGCGAGGAGTATTTACCCAAGCGAAACAAAAACCTACGTTCACATAAAAATTGTATGTGATCGTTTACAGCACTGTTATTCATAATCGCCAAAGACTGGCTATAATTCAGACGTCCCTCAAGGGTGATGACAAGGGGAAATCCTCACGGACGCCTCCATCTCCTTTCCCTTCACCAAACGCCAGGCCCCGTAGCTCCTCCTTCTCCCCCTGGGTCCTGCTTGCATCCCTACTGTTGGGCAGATCAGGTTGTCTGCGCTTCTGTCTTCATCACATTGCTCCCTCCTTCCAGAGCCTCCGGTGAATTCCGGGGCCTTGGGACCATCGACCTACCTTTCAAGACCTCCCGTGACCTGGCTTGTCCAAGCCTGTTTCTTCTGCGCGCACTCTGAGCTTCCTGCCTTGGGTGTTGCCTTTCCTTTCGCTTCCGTGCCAGGTGGTCCTGTCCTCTCCTGACCCTCGCCATCCATCCAGGTCCTCCTTGAAACCCTCTCCGTCGCGATGAGCTGCTTCGTGCCGACCTTCAGCTCATCGGGTTCCTTTCAGTTACTGTCCACATCGTACAGTTAGTGTTTTCTTGTACTCGGGTCCCTTGCCCGCCACAGTTTGGCCTGAATGATGGAATTTCGTAATGCACGAACCAATCACATAAGTCTTCCCCAGCCTGGAAGCATTCTGTCATCTCTTCCAAAGGCTCTGGCAAGTTTCAGTGCCCTCCGCGCTGAGCCTAGTGGGGCGTTACCTTTGCGGTACTTACATTGTCTAAATTATCATCTTTACTTACTTGTTTCCTTGTTTGATTCCTGTTTCTCTCCACTGGAAGGTAAGTTTTGTGAAAGCAGGATCACCATCATACTCGTGGCATCTAGCATTTCTCTGCTTGCTCGGAGAAAGTTCTCAAACTTTCTATCTGCTCGATACGTACTTGTTATATGAATGGACAGGTGATTTTTAAAAACATTTTATGGGACAACGTGGGCCCAGATTTTAGTTCAGAATGGATCACGTATGGGCCTTAAATGATGAGTACCTACTGGAGGGACGGTCAGAGGAGCAGGAACCTTTGAAACGTGACGACACTTGAAGTTACAACCGCTGTGAGGGCAATCCCTCCGACGCTTGGGGCCTAGAAAATTTCTTTTTAAAAAAACCCAATTTGTATTCGTTTTATTCAAGAGAAGAAAACTGCAGTTGGGAACGGAGAGAAAGGTATTTAGAGCAGTTATTTTTCAGGAGATGGAGGTGTTGCTGTCCACGGTGATGTCCAGCATCGGCTGTTTGGATGCTCTCGTACTTCTGAGTTCTCTCCAGCAGTGCCACTCAAAGTGCTGGTTCCCTGACTGTTCGTGGACCATGATGAGAAGGGAGCCTGTACCTTATAAAGCCCTTCCTTCCTTCGTTGAGAATTTCTGGCCATGAAACATCAGCTAAACTAAACTGCATGCCTGGTGATGTCACCGATGCCCCACTAGGGCACAAGCTCCGTGCCTCCTTGTGGACCAGTGTGGACTGCACACCAGCTGTCATTCTGGGGCTGCCCTGTGAGAAGCACTGCACAAAGATTTTTTTCCCCATAGGATTTTTTCCTAACTTTGTTTTAATCTATTTTTTATATAAATGGCTAATATTTGTAAACCTCAAACTCCCAAATTTATCCTTTCCCACCCCCTTTCCCTGGTAACTGTAAGATTGTTTACTAAGTCTGCAAGTCTGTTTCTGTTTTGTAGATGAGTTCATAGTGTCCTTTTTTTTTTTTTAAAGATTCCTCATATGAGTGATATCATGTGGTATTTTTCTTCCTCTTTCTGACTGACTTCACTTAGAATGATGATCTCCAGGTCCCTCCATGTAGCTGCAAATGGCATTATTTTCTTCCTTTTTATGGCTGAGTAGTACTCCATTGTATAAATATACCACAGCTTCTTTATCCAGTCATCTGTCAATGGATATTTAGGTTGTTTTCCTGTCTTGGCTATTGTAAGTAGTGCTGCTATGAACATTGGGGTGCATGTATCTTCGAATTAGAGTTCCCTCTGGATACATGCACAGAAGTGGGATTGCTGGATCATATGGTAGGTCTACTTTTAGTTTTTTGAGGAATCTCCGTACTGTTTTCCATAATGGCTGCACCAAACTACATTCCCACCAGCAGTGTAGGAGGGTTCACTTTTCCCCACACCCTCTCCAGCATTTATTGTTCATGGATTTTTGGATGATGGTCATTCTGGCTGGTGTGAAGTGATACCTCATTGTAGTTTTGATTTGCATTTCTCTGGTAACTAGTGATATTGAGCGTTTTTTCATGTGCCTATTGGCTTAACTTTTTTTTTCAATTGAAGCATAGTTGATTTGCAATGTTGTGTTAGTTTCTGTTGTACAGTGTAGAGACTCATTTATACATACATAGATATATAATATTCTTTTTCTTTATAGGTTATTAGAAGCTATTGAATATAGTTCCCTGTGCTGTACAGTAGGACCTAGAGGTGATCATACTAAGTGAACTAAGTCAGAGAGAGACAGAGAGAGACAAGGGGCATTATATGTGGAATCTAAAAAAATGACACAAATGGAACTTATTTGCACAAAGCATTTTTATTCCTGGGACTTAACTCCCCAAATAAACCGCGAGCTCTTTGGTGATGTGCTCTGGATGGTTGCTGTGGGGCCCGTGGCAGGTGTTCAGTGAGAACGCAGTGGTGGATTGCATCTTGCCTGGGGAGGACAGTGCTGTCCTCAGGACCAGGATCCCTCCGGGCCCCTTCATCTTCATATTGAATTCTTCCCCTTGCTGTCTCTGACCCGCAGAACAAAATCTTCATCTACCGAGGGAAGGAGTACGAGAGGCGGGAAGACTTCAGCCTGCGGCTGCTGACCCAGTTCCCCAACGCCGAGAAGATGACCAGCACCACCCCCCCGGGAGAGGACATCAAGTCCTCCCCCAAGCAGCGTATCCTTGTCCCGCGCCCCTGCAGCCCCAGCCTGGCCCCAGAAGCTGAGGGTTCTGTCCCATCCCTGCCGGCAGACGTGTCCTGTCCATGGACCACTCGCTTAACCATCCTGACTCAGTTGCACATTCTGTGTAAAAGCTTTGGGAACCTAATGTCCTTAGCTCGTGGCTACGGAGTTACTAAAGGAGAGAGAGATGATAATCAAGTCTTGAATATGAAGGGATGTGAGTTATAGCCACACGGGGAGGAGAATACAGACTTCCTGTTCTGAGTTCTGGATAAAGATGCATAGCTTTTTTTTTGGTAACATACAATGTCTTATTGAAAAATCAATAACATCCTTTCTTAAACATAAAACCGAACAGTGTTCTAAAAGAGGTCAGAAGGACAGGGCTAGTGTGGCAGGGTGGATAATAAGAGGGCTGTGGAGCAAACTGCCTCGGTTTGAGTCCCAGTTCTGTCACATGCTGTGTCACTTTAGGCAAAGTACTTAATCCCTCTGTGCCTCCGTTTTCTCATCTATAAAGTGGGAGTGATCATTCTTCCTCTTGGAGTTCTCGTAAAGATTGAGAGAGTGTATGTAAAATACTGAGAGCAGTTCCTGGTACATAATGAAAGTTCAGTATATGTTAATGATTATTGATATAGATTGATTAGCAACTACAGAAAGACGGGAATAATGGTAGATGAATAGACACGCCTTTCAAACAAGAGCCATAGTGGCCTGTTAATACATCGTGGATGCTTGGGAAAGAAAGGTTTTCCGGGATGAATCCTCATTTCCTCCTTCCCATGTGGCTGACCAAAAGATGTCCTGAGATTATGGCTTACTAAGGCATTTTGGTAGTTCCTAACGGAACCCAATTTTCGATGCAGTCCTGGCATTTGGTTCAGAGGAATGATCAGTGCAGGTGCTGTTTCCATCGATAGAGCGAGAGGAACAGGCGGTCCTTTCTGCCTGGCCCCGCCCTTTTCCTTCCTTAATGAGCTCCTCAGACATGCAGTGTTTCACCGTGAAGCCTGTAATGAGCCTGCCTCCCGGCTATAAGGATAAACCAGTTCCGGAGCAGATATTAAAGTAAGTGGGGTTTGAGGTTTCTGTTTTAAACCATTGGCCTCTCTCACACACTTCATGTAGTTCATCAAAACCAAAGCCTCAGTTGGGAAGACCTATTGTCTTCATCCACTTGGTCTGTGGTAACAGGAATCCAAAGACTGGGCGGCTCATAAACAACAAAAATTTATTTCTTACAGTTTGGGAGGCTGGGGAGTGCCAAGTCAGGGCACTGGCGGGTTCAGTGTCTGGCATGGGCCTTCTTCCTGGCTCACAGATGGTCGTGTTCTCACTGTGTCCTCACGTGGTAGGGAGGGTGAGGGAGCTCCGTGGGGTCTCTTTTTCAGTAAGGGCACTAATCCCATTCATGGGGGTTCCACCCTCATGAGCTGATCATCCCCCAAAAGGCCCACCTCCTATCATCATCACACTGGGCATTAGGATTTCAACATACGAATTTGGGGGAGGATGCAAATATTCGGACCGTAGCGACTGCCCATTCCATTTTCAGTATAAGAGCTTGGTAACGCAAAGGAATCGGGGAATTTTGTTTTTCTTAACCAGAAGGAAGGAAATAAGGCATTTCGTTCTTAGGTTTCAACCCCCCTAGCCCTTATTTCCACTCAGAGGCATTTACTGGTCAGCAGCGGCTGACCTCACCTTGCCTGGTGAGTTTCCCCATGATTAAAAACCTAATTCCTTCCCTTGAGAAGCTAAAATGCTGGTAGGATTGATAGAACTATTAGAAAACTACACAAATGAGGGGGGAGGGTATAGCTCAGTTGTAGAACATGTGCTTAGCACGCACAAGGTTCTGAGTTCAATCCCTGGTACCTCCATTAAATAAATAAACCTAATTCTCTCCCCCCTAAAAAAAAAAAAAAGTAAGAGAACTGCGCAATTGGGATCACAAACATGGACATAAATACATACGCCTTTCAAAATTGTGAGCTGTGATGAGCAGCCATCAATAATAAAATCAAGATGTGCAGTGAAATTGAATTGTGCACCACCTCCAGCCTTACGTTGTGGAGACTGAGTTTTGAGATAGTGTTGCGGGCTGGACCGGGTCTGTGTGAGGTGCATCCCAGGCTTTGTTGGAGTCAGGTCAGGGAGTGCTTGTTGCAAGGGGGGAGCGACAGCGTGGTGGTCGTGTCTTTCCCCAGCTACTACAGAGCCAATGAAGTGCAGCAGTTCACGTATTCCCGGCCGTTCCGGAAAGGAGAGAAGGACCCCGACAATGAGTTTGCGGTGAGCGCACCCCGTTTCCCTCTCAGCCGAGACCACATTGACATGCAAAACGGCGGCCTTCCACCGGCCTTCCACCTCCCCGGCGTCTGCAGCAGGGATGATGGCAGCGCTGGGGGTGGAGGTTCCGTGAGCTTAAGACAGCAGCCTGTCCTCTCAGTGGAGACCTCTGGATTAGGGGGCCAGAAATTGGACTCTGAGCCTGCAACCACTGAGATCGTGAGCAAGTCACGTCTCTCTGGACCTCAAATTTCCCATCAAAGAGGGTGAGAGGGCCCCAGTAGATAACTCCTTTCAACTTTAAACACTCAGCGTCCTCAAAGTTTGGGAGAACGCATGCCCCGTTCACTACGGAGGCATTTGAAAATGGAGTCGCATTCCACTAAACCGGTGAGTTCTGCTGTTTCGCCTCGGAGTTAACCAGCATATCCTACTTTCCTTCCTTCCACCAGACCATGTGGATTGAAAGGACCACGTATACCACTGCCTATACCTTCCCTGGGATCCTCAAGTGGTTTGAAGTCAAGCAGATCTCAACAGTAAGTCATTTGAAAATCGGAACTCAGAAAAAAAAATCTGTCTCCAAACATAATAAGAGCCTTTGTTAAATTCCCCCTCCGGTTCTCCCTAGCTTGGTCGGCCAGCCTCCTTCATTTTCCAAAAGAGAAACAGAAGACATGCTTGTGGAATAGAACTCCTTTGTAAAACTGATGTTACAACCACAGCCCTCAAGGTTACCCACAGTGAATGAGTCTTTTATGACCCAATGAGTGTTGTCTCCACATTCATCCCGCCAGCGCCCAAAACCATTTTTGGAATTCCTCCTTCATGTTACTCTCAGTCACACTCTTCTCTCTCAGCACATCTCCTCCTATTTTCAGCTAATCACATCACCATTCAGCCTAGATTATTCTGTCTTCATCACTCCCCGGAGCTGTTCGCTTTACCTTTTTAGTGTTACTATTAAATCCGTTTTGTCTTTTTTTTCCCCTGGGCCCACCTACAATGGTACCCTGTTTCTAGCCCTTCACTCATCTCTGGCTGATGCCATTGGAAGCGCCTCCTGATTGGCCTCCCTGCTTTGGCTTCTCAGGTCCATTTTCCTCACTGCCTCAGAGTGTGAATTCTGTGGTGAAAACCATTCCGTTCTCATGGCTAAAACCTTGCTGTGGATCCCCAGTGCCCAGACTAGAAAGCCCAGACTCCTTAGCGCACATGTACGGGATCCTTGTGACTCATCTCTTCCACTTCATCTCCTGTGAAATCTGTTGGAACTAAATTGCTCATTCCATGCTATTTCAACCCTCCATCACATTGGGTCATTTTCTCTGCCCACAATGCCCTCTCGCCACCACTTCTCAGCCTAACTCCCACTGAGGTTCAGTTTAGGTACCAGCTTCTCCAGGAAGCTGTCGCTGAAACTCCCAAGCTGGGCTAGATACCCTTTCTCTGTACCCTGTCACAACTGGGCTTATTTCTAAAGAGTGACCTACAGTGCTTACATGTCTTGAAACACTGTCCCCCCAACCCTGCCCCACCGCCTTGTAAAACCATAACCTCTTCCCAGCCATGAATTACATTTTCGTCACTTAAAAAAAAACTTAATCACTTTTGTAACAGTGGGGCATAGCATACAACTTGCATAAAATAAGCATTCAAGAAATACGTCTTGAACAGATCTGAAGTTTGATGTGTTCCATACCACTAGTAATAAGCTATTATTCTTCAAGCATGAATATGATTTTGGGCAGAGACTTTTGGAATCAGGTCTGGAGTAGCTCTTGCTGGCTGATAATGGGTAAAACGAAGAAGGAGATTAATTTTTCTTGAAAGCTGGTTTGGAAGACATTTCCACAGGAGGACCTCTCTCTGAATCTGTATTGCATTCTGTTTCATTTTCATCAGTAATTCAGCCCAGTACATCTGTGACACCTAATACATCCCATTATTTCTGACTTCTGTAAACCACAGAACCTATACTGAGGTGACTTAATGTATGGTCTGAAAGTACGTCTTCCAAAATCACTTACCTTTTCTCATGGAAGGGACATCAACTCCGCCTGCCAGTGAATATTTTTGGTTGTGCAGAGGTGTCTTGGATCAGATAATACTGCCACTCTGTTGTCATTGATCCTCTCAAAAATCGCTGAGGAAGATTTACCTAAGAAACAATCATTATTACAGCTCCAATTTTGCCTTCTCAAAATTTCTGTGGCTGCTTTGCCGCGAGAGGTAATCATTACCATAGCCCCAATCTTTAAATCACCCTTGCACTTTCTAACAAGATTTTAAAAAGCTTATTTTGCAGCTTGCCAACACCATTTCAAGTAAGTGTGCTGTCCTAAGTAAGAAGCATGGCCTTGACAAGCAGAACGCCACTCCTCCATAGCTTGGTGGAAATTGTGTGATCTTGTGGGGAACACTTAGGCGTTTTCCGATCTTGGCTGTGGAGCTCACAGTGTCCCTCCTGTCCTGTGCACTCTGTCCCAGGAGGAAATCAGTCCTCTGGAGAATGCCATCGAAACCATGGAGCTCACCAACGAGAGGATCAGCAACTGTGTCCAGCAGCACGCCTGGGACCGGTCCCTCTCCGTGCACCCCCTCTCCATGCTGCTCAGTGGCATCGTGGACCCGGCTGTCATGGGGGGATACTCCAACTACGAGAAGGTAGGCTGTGTGCCGGGAACCCCTCCAGGGCCAGCAGGTCTGGCGTGTCACTCCCGCCTCTTCTGGTGGCATTGTGCAGCATTCGTTTCTTACAACTTCACACTCCCCTATTTATGAATGGGCAAATGAAATTAATGAAAACTTATCCCTGACCTCCCACCCCTTGGAGACCATCAGCCACCCAGCCAGGGTTGATTCACCTGCTCTTCGCTCTCCCACTCCCGCTCTCCCCTGGGAGGTAGAAAGCGTTCGGGTGGACCTCAGACCTGAGGGTGCTCTGGAAGGGGAGCAGCGTCCATGGGAAATGCAGAGCCACGCTCTATTCGGAACCAGATTCTAGGAACCTCTGGGCCGACTTGGTGTGCCATTGGTTGTATGGACAAATGCTGACCTTGGCCCTGCAGTTAAGCTAGTTCAGCTACGTGTTGTGTCTGGTACTCTGGAAAAACAGGACAGGGATGCTCACCACGTGGGAATCCATTGCGTATGGTTTGGATGTTGCGCCATTTAAAGTGGAGGTAATGCACTCAGTAAGTAAAATTCAGTTAAGTATATATAACTAATAGAGACAAGACTTTTCATTGTTAACTGTGTTTCCAGTGGCTAAATAATTTTGGAGTCCTCTTCTTGAATATCAATAAACAAGACACCCCTGCGGAGTAGCGTGGAGAGTGAGTGGAAAGGAAAGGACTTAGATGGGAAGGGCGAGCAGGGGTTAAGTGGGCTGGTTCTTTTATTTCCATCTGTACGCAGTGTCCTGGGAAGACCAGGGGCTTCAGAATCAGCTGCTTCTATGACCGGACCTGGCTTCCTGTTGGCCACGGTGTGCTCCTTGGGCGAGATACTTAACCTCTCTGAGCCCCAGGGTCATATTCAAAAAAAGCAAGGAAAATAAATAACTCACAGGAGTGACGTGGGGCTTAAGGGAGATATCCTAAAATACGGAACATCATACAACGCCTGCCATGTAGTTGAGGCTTGACTGATGCTGGGTTGCTTCCTCCCTCCTTCTGCCTACGTGGAACAGATGTGTGGCTCGAGTGTCCTTCATGACTGGTGCTTACCTCTGCTCTGGCTGCTGCTACAGAGATCTTTCTTCTCTGTTCTCTTCAACCTCTCAGCCTCCTTTAGTCTTATTATTCTCAGCAGCCAGAGAAGTCTCAACACCAGAGAGAAATTCTACTTTGCCAATGTTAGGTTTCAGTAATAATTTCCAGTGTTACAGTGGAATTCAGTACAAAACTAGGACCCAAAATACAATACAGGTTTTATGCTATAATCCTGTCAGTGTGTGTTTTTCACTACAAGCTGTCTGGTACTAATTTTGATGTATCTTTCCAAGTACTCATTTTTTTTCAGAATGCCCCTGAATTCTGATTCACATATGCCAATATCGGTGAATATTACATAATTTTATGTGACCTTTTTTCCAACATGACCGTCTTCTAATTAAAATGGTTGGGGGGAAGGAAAGGAAAAGAAAGATCTAAACAAATACATTTCAGGAACTTTTAAAAAATATAGTTTATACTTTTAATTAATATACATGACTTTGTACATTTCTAAACATAAGAAAGAGGTAAACTCATCGATCACCTTGAACTGTTACGATCAACTGGGGAGCCCATCATTACCTACGTGATACAGGTGACCTATTTTCAGGCAGCTCTTCAACCATTGCCTGCATGAACGGAACCCAGGAGCTGTTTGCTATAATTCATCAGCCCTTTCTGTTGTGAGGCAGGACTCAGCTAGAAAAATTAATTTCAGGGCACTCTGCTCTAATGTTCCCCGACTCCACTGCTGCTTTGGGAATTTCAGTGCATTTATCATAAATCAGACATTTTTAGGGGAGAGGTACAGCTCAGTGGTGGAGTTCATGCCTAGCACGCACAAGGTCCTGAGTTCAATCCCCAGTACCTCCATTAAAAAATAAATTCATTAAACAAAAAAAACTTAAAAAAAATCAAACTTTTTTCAACTTTCAAAAATTTAGAGGGGAGGGTATAGCTCAAGTGGTAGAGCAGCATGCTTAGCATGCATGAGGTCCTGGGTTCAATCCCCAGTCCCTCCATCAAGTAAATAAATAAATCTACTTACCACCTGCCCTTAAAAAAAAAAAAGCAACAAAGAAAAAAGCTTTTTAGAATTTAAACTGTTTGTATTTTGAAAGGTAAAGGTAGATGAAGATTTAATCTAATACGGTGTTTTCTTTTATATTGACAGTCCCTCCAGGTGTGAATGTGCCTCCTTTTTGTGATACTTGGGTTCCATATATCCATATTCTCTGTTAAATTAGTGTTGTAGTAACTAGAAGGGCTGCTAGAACAATAGGAATTGGTCCAGTGGTCTGAAGTCAAGGTGTCTGCAGGTTGATTCCCTCTGAGGACCTTGAGGAAGTCTGTCCCCGGCCTCTCTCCTAGCTTCCGTGGATTGCTGGCTGTCTTCGACATTTCTTGCCTGACAGGCGACTGTCTTCTCCCTGGCTCTTCACTTGGTGTTCTCCCTGTCTACATGTGTCTGTCTCCTCGTGTCCCCTTTTTGTAAGGACAGCCAGTTAGATTGGATTAAGGGTCCTTCCTACTCCAGTGTGACCTCATCTTGGCTAATTACATCTGCAACAAATCTGTGTCCTTCTGAGGTCACATTCTGGGTACCAGGGCTCATTGGGTCTTCAGTCTGTGACTTGGGGGCGGGAGCACAGTTCAACCCATAACATCTTCCCACACAGTAAAGAGTTTATACATATTCTGTTTTCCATGTAAAGTGGGCTGAGCACTTTTATGACCGTATCCTGTAGTTTCAGGAACTCTGGGGTTTCATGTGATGGGGTGGCTTTCATAGCAGTGGAGCGGAAGAGTGAGGGGGAACTTTGAAGACTGGTCTTTGAGATTTTTTTTTAATGGAGTTACTGGGGACTGAACCCAGGACCTCGTGCGTGCTAAGCATGTACTCCACCACTGAGCTATACCTTCCCCCTGAAGACTGGTCTTTGAAAGCACTCTCAGAAATGATGCTTAAGGGAGAAAATAGATAACTCCCATTCTGAACTCTTTGGAGCTCAGATGTTCACTCCAGACTTTAATTTTTCCTCTCCTAATCAATTCTGTCTTTAAAATGGTCTCCTATGTAACCCCTATGTTTATAGTTTGAGTTTGGGTTTTACTTCCCTATTTTAGGGCCTTTCCATAAATGTTTATTGATGATGTTATGGGTGACACGGTCTTGACCTATAAATGCATCCTGCATTTAACATTTTCAGAACACGTTCACATCTATCGCTTTTCTCATGTTGTCCTCAGAATAGCCTTTCGGATAGGTGATTAGTAAAAAAGTGCAGGTTTGAATCTTCAGAAATGGTGAGACAGCCTGGAACCTGTGACAGAGCAGATGAGCTCTCATCCCCATCCTCGGCCTATTAATGTCTTGCTCTTTCCTTTATAATTATTTAGCCCCTTAATCTAATGAAGAACCTTTAGATGTTGTCATTTGGTCTTTCCTTAGTTCTTTGGGGAAGTTATTTTAATGAATGACGTTCTGCTCTGCTGGTGATGCTTTGGTCTGTGCGTGCGTGTGTGCGTGTGTAGCACCTGTTGAGAATGAACTCTTGCTAGGAGTTGCGTGGTTCCAGAAAGACTACACGGTAACCCATACCTTTTTGACTTGTCCACTCTGGTGGCTGCGGGTCTCTCCCAAGAAAGGGATGAGTGTTTACTTAATCATTCCTGGGTGATCAGACAGAACAGAAGACATTTTTCACCCCTCCAGGCTTCCCTCCCCTTCTTTTGCGGGTCAGATAGACAGATAGGAATGTGTTCTAATCACTGCTTGCAAATGCTCTGCTTTTAGGCTTTTTTCACAGAAAAGTACCTGCAGGAGCACCCTGAAGACCAGGAGAAGGTTGAGCTGCTAAAGCGACTGATAGCGCTGCAGGTATGTTCAGGGGAGGTGCGTGGCCGGACGGCTTTCCGCAGTCCATGGGTGGTCACAACGCATGACACCAAGATACTCTAGGGCTCCATTTACAAGCCCATGTTTAGGTTACTTTTTTTTTCTTAGCCCTTGGAATCACAACCTATTTATTTATCTAGTGAAGTGACCTAGGGAGAACATTCCATTAGTGTTGGGAGAGGCCTTCCTAGAGGGGAGATTAAAGACCCCAAACTGGTTTGCTGGCTTGTGTTTCCAGCTGAGAGATGCCGGCCTCTGTTTCTCTCTCTGTCACTATTTCAATGAACAGTGGGAGGAAGTGCAGCCGTCCAGTTCAGTCCAAGGCTGAAACCTGTCCTTTCTCCTGCACAGAAGGGCCCCTGGGCTCACGTGGACTTACCTTGCCCATCAGCCCTTCCCTGGCTACTTGTGTCCTCGGTGTGTGTGTTCCTCTGCGTCACTGCCCCAAGGGCGTCCGGTTCCCAAGCCCTACACTGAGAAGCAGCGTTCTCGTTTGATACAATGCTGTCCACCGCTTTATCTGCCCATCCCCACCCTCCGTCCTTCCCCAGCCTTCCAATCTGAATTCTTCCTAAACCGTATTCCATTCTTTCATGCCCTTTTTCCCAGATGCCTTTGCTGACAGAGGGCATCCGCATCCACGGGGAGAAGCTGACGGAGCAGCTGAAGCCATTGCACGAGCGGCTGTCTTCTTGCTTCCGGGAACTCAAGGAGAAAGTGGAAAAGCTCTATGGGGTTATCACGCTGGTACGCTTTGTCTACATAGCCTATGAGCTTTTTCTGGTGTCTTGTACCATTTATGATATTGATCAGTTTTTCAAATGCCAAATGGGTCAAAGTAGCAAAGGAATGGCATGACAACACTTGGGGGTGCGGATCAGAGAAGGCGGGGTCGGCTCTGGGTGTCCTTCAGCCACTGTTGTGCTGGACAGCGGCTCTCAGACTTGAATGATGGTCGGAGCCACGGGGGAGGCTTGTGAAAACACGCTTCTCTGGGCCACATCCCCAGCGTTCCTGATTCAGTTGGTCTGGGATGGGGCCCAAGAATTTGCATTTCTAACATGCCCCCAGGTGGTGCTACTGCTGGGTCTGGGGACCACCTACTAGAATTTGAGGTTTCCCTAATGCCGGACACTGCTAATCCCTGTCTTGTCTAGCCTTACTCTTAGAGCTTTTCCCTAATCTTTATTTTTATTTTGGTGAAATGTTCATATCCTTCACACTTTTGAAGGGGAGAAAGAATTGTGAATTACATTTTACAATGCATGTAGCTGATTTCATGATTTTTTTTTTTTTGGACGGTTGTAACGTATTTCTCAGAGTTTTCCTTTTTCCTCCCAAGAATTTAGGTGGAGGGGTGCTTTTGCATGCTAACCTTTTCACTCTGACAGCTGTGCTATATGCTTGGTTCCAGCTTCATTTGTCTGCTCTTTGTGAAACAGGAGTTCATCCTGCTCTCTTTAAAAGTCATTTTCTTGAATCTAGGTTTTCAAAAATTCTCCTTCCTCAATCAAACTCTTAAGTTTCTTTTCATGTACTCCTGTCCCCCGTCCCCATGCCTCCATCTCCGCTACATTTTTCTCCCGAGTATCTTTTTGATCGTCTCTCCCACCCATCCAAGTATCGTCATGCCTTCCTGCGAATTCACCTTCTAACCTACTGCTAGTTGAGAGTTTTCTTTTAGGAGCATTTGTCTTTTATACAAGTTCCTAGTTGACAAAGACAAATTTCCTAAAAGAGTAAATCAGTGTTCTTTTACCTCCTAAAAGTCACCAGGTTAAGTGTCAGGTGTGCCATTTCAACCCAAAACCCTTCTATTGGGCCAATTATTGTATTTTTAAAATGGCTGATAGGAGCTAATCTGGAGAAGCAGACAGAGGGTTTTGTGTTCTATTAGTGGGTAATGAAATCTTGGTTTTCTTTTCTCATGGGGCTGGCAGAAAATGAGGGTGAATTTTTCTCTAGTCTTAGAAACAAGGAAGATTTAACCCAAGTTGTGTCTGTAACTAAGGATAGAAGTATTGGCACTATTTAACAACTAATGTGTGTCAGGCAGCAACCCGTCATAAGGGGGTCCCGGTGAAATCAGGAGGCACGCGCCTCAGACAGATGGGGGCTGTGCCAGTTCATACGGGCTGAGTTCCCGGCCAGCTGACCTTGAGGGATCTTGTCTCCCTCAGCCACCCAACTTGACCGAGAGGAAGCAAAGCCGCACGGGGTCCATGGTGCTTCCTTACATCACGCTGTCTACACTGCGGAGACTGTCCGTCACCTCGGTGACTTCCTCTGTGATCTCCACCTCTTCTAACTCATCGGATAATGCCCCCTCCCGACCCGGCTCTGATGGGTAAGGCTTTGGTCTTCAACGGCCAGGAGGGGTGGGGAAACTCCTTGATGTTTGCCTTTGGTCACCGAGTGAGACTTGGTCAGTGTGTGGGTACAGCATCTTCATAAGGGAAATAATTCCAACTACCTGGGTTATTAGCCTTTGGGTCTTTCTCACTATCTCCCTCATGAAGAATATCATTATTTACACGATGGCAACAACAGTTATGAGAAATGGGGGGGAAAATCACTCATAATCCTATCACATCCAGTCACCCCCACCATCACATCCTGACTTTGTTTTTTTTCCACAATAACTTGTAGTTACTGCTTGATTTTTTTTTGCATTATTTCAGTTTTTCAAAAGTAATTTTAAAATTTACATTTTAGGAATAGGTCATATAATCACATATGAAATTTCAAAGGTACAGAAGGATGCATCATGAAAAATCTCCCATCCGTCCCTGACTCGCCGCTTACCTGGACCACGCTCCCGGGGCAAGTGATGCTGGCTTTCAGGCTCTTGTCCTGGGTGCTTTCCCAACAGCTCTGTACTGTTCAGAGCGATTCCTAGATATATAGCCTTCCCTACGTGTTTTTGATACATAAATGGCAGCATATGCTACTCTGTTTACCTTGCTTTTTTTCCACTTACTATATCTTGAAAACCATTCCATTTCAGAACAGAGAGAGCCTGCTCTTTTCTTTGAGCTACAGACATCTTACCATATTTCTGTACCACGGGACATCTCATCAGTGTCTACTGATGGACACTTAGTGGATTTCAGCCTTTTCCTATCACGGCAGTGATGGCCATGAGTAACCTTAAATATATGTATATTATTTTATGAATATTCAAGCATATCAATATGAGAAAAATTCCACAAGTGAAATGGCTCTGTCAAACATGTATAAGTGCAGTTTTCAACATGATTCCTAAACTGACTTCCAGGGAGGTTATACCCATTTACAGTCCTACCAGCAACACACAGGTTGCCTGGTCACCCACACCTTGTCCCTGAATTGTGTATTATCAGTCCTTTTAATTTTTGCCAATCTGAGAGATGGAAAATAATTTCTTGGAATGGGGTTTTTGTTACATTGTGGGGTTTTTTTTGGGGGGGGAGGGTTTTGCTTTCTGAAAACTTTATTTTTTTTCTTTATTGAGTTATAGTCAGTTTACAATGTTGTGTCAGTTTCCAGTGTAGAACACAATTCTTCAGTTATACACGAACATGCATATATTTATTGTCACCTGCTTTTTCACCGAGGTCTTGTATATATTTCTCTGTGCTCTACAGTTACGTTGTGTCTTTGTTTCATTTCTCTTGTGTGAAGTTGTGTGAAGTCTCTTTTCATTCGTTTAATAGCTTGTATGTATTTTATTTTCTGTGAACTGTGGTCAAATATTTTGTACATCCTTCTGTTGGATGTTGGCCCTTTGTCTGTAATATGAGTTGAAATATCCCCCCCCCCATTTTTCCTTTGTCTTTTGACTTCACTTCTAAGTTTTTATTTAGTTGGGCTGATTTTTTTTATGCAGTCAGGTAAGTTGGTATTTGATTTCATGGCTTCTGGGTTTTATATCATAATTAAAGGCCTTCCCCACTATAAGACTACAAAAAACTAATTTTTGAGGTTCACTTTTGACTATAAAAATCTGTGATTCTTTGGAGTTTATTCTCATGTAAAGTGTGAGGTATAGCGCCAATTTTTTCCCCTACAGGCTACCCCAGTTCTCCCTGAAACATTTAGTGAGCAAACTGTCTTTTCTCTACTGATTTGAAATGTCAGGCTTATTAAAAAAAAAAATCAAGTTCCAATATGTTCCAAAAGTCCAATATGGACTTTGTTTTTTCCTGTTTCTTACATCTACCTGTGTAGTTTATGTACGTTGCTAATGCAGTTTTAATTACTACATATTTTAAAGGTCTTTAATTTCTAGGTTTTTTTTTTTCCCCCCAGAACTTGGCTAGTTTTACTCCTTGCTTATTTTCAGCTACCTTGTCTGGGACCGTATTGTTAGTTTTATTGGGATCCTGTTAAGTTTATGGGCTAAACTTATGGCTTCTTGATGTTGAGCTTTCGTTGCCAGAAACATGGAGTGCCTTTCCATATGTTCAAATATTTTAAGAGTCAATTTGTAATTGTGTTCAAGTGGGAAAAGCATGTACCATTTCGTGACCCACTGCCTCATTTAATATACATGATGAGTATTTAGCATCATTGTGTATTTTAGTGTTGAATATATGTTAAATCAGTTGACTGAACATTTATTTATAATTTTGATATTCCATATAATAATAATTATACCACAAAAATTAACCTGTACGAATGGCCTTCTACCTAGAAATCAAATGTTTATTACTTCCTGAATGATTTATCGGTTCTTTTCCCCACTGGCATAGATATGTTTACAGAGTTGTAATTATAGCACAGATACAGTCTGGTATTTGCATTTCCTCTTTATCTTTTTATTATAAGCATTTACCATGTTGCTATATAATTTTTTTTATTATTTGTTGTCATTTTTGGTGGCTGTCTACCATTGCATCATATGAATGGGTCGTAACTAATTCTTCTCCCTGCTATAGGATATTTTAGCTATCATGTCATTATTTCTAAACAGATAATCATAGAAGTTCATTCTAAACTTAATACAAAAACATTTCAGTTGCACCAATGTAACATGCATTTATATTATTAAGAATTGTAGGAAACACATGTGTACATATAGTTTTATGATTATTTCTGATATGTTCCCAGATCACATCTCCACCTTTGGTTAAGGGCAAGTGTAGGGTGCATTTCCAGAAGCATATATTACCTACTCAGAGGGTGAAATTATTTTTTAAATTCTCAATAATCACATAAATACCAACGTGCAATGCCATATGCAATGTCAGAGCGACTATAATTTTTCGTAATAATATTCACCCATATTAAGTATTTGGACTATTTTTAATCTTGTGAATTCTGACGTATTAAGTAATGATTCACTTGTTTATTTTTTTCCTTCAGTGGTTTTTTTCATGCCATAATGTGCTACTATGTACTTTGTGGAAAGCACAGACGTTCTCTTCCGCTCAGTAAGACTCTTTTCTTAAATAAACTCTGTATCATGAAAAAAAAAAAAGGGAAGTTTTCAAGCAGCTGTTGAAAATCAGAGACACCATAATAGCTGTTCCATTAGGGCAGGGAACAGACAGACAGATGCCTGGGGTCCGCTGTGCGCCGTGACCCCAGACAGGTGGGTCGCTGCTCTTGCCCACATCTGCCCAGCGAGTAAGAAGGCATCATTGATACTGTTTCCCAACATTTAATCAGGATGTTTCTTTAGCTCAAACATCCCCACCTAATGACCTTGATTCTCCGACTAGCAGTGTTATGTCACAGTGTTCCTTGAAACTTCCATGGTGGTTGTTGGGTGTGCCATCTAGAAACAGTCACTTCTTTCCCGTTAGGATACACCCGTCCAGTTTGGCGAACGGGAGGCTGAGGCCCCGAAAGAGAATTACTTGCTGAAACAGGGCGTTGTGATAAGGGAACCTGGAAGTGATTACACTGCATGCCCGCTCAGAACGTGCCCAGAGCACCAGCAGAGCAGGGGCCCCAAACTAAAATTTTTTTAGAAAAAGACTAATCTTTGGTATTTCAGGAAAATCACTGAAGTAGTCAGTGTAGGAAAAAAAAAACAAAACACAGACACTGTGAGCCTACACTGTCTTTATCTCATGGCTTGGTTTGGTTGGTAATTGGGCCCTCCTGAAACGCACACCTTTGCCTGTCGAGCTAGTGTCAGCAGTCACTCACCCTCATTCTCAGTCTCTCAAGTAAAGTGATAATAGACCCAGTAGGATCTTGGGTGGTGGTTTTTTTCCCTCCCTGAGCAATTAGCTGTTTGAAGTGATTCTTTCTGGGGGGAGGGTAATTAGATTTCTTTCTTTATTTTAATGGAGGTACTGGGGATTGAACCCAGGGCCTCGTGTGTGCTAGGCATGCGCTGTACCACTGAGCTGTACCCTCCCCTCCTGTACCAATTGAAAATCAAACCAGAGCTTATTAAATACCCATTCAGAAGCTGTTAGCAATATACATCATAAAGATAGATTTCTAACCCTTCTCCCCCCCCCTTTTTTTTTACATTTTGCCACGTTCATTCCTTCTCTCTCTGTCTCTCCCCACTCCCCAACTTGGCCCTTTGAGAGGGGGTTGCATACATCATGGCTGTAGAACAAGTGGATTGTCCTACCGTGACCGCTTACTACATGCAGTGCAGTCTATAAATTCAGGAAGTTTAACGTTGACACAATACTTCAAGCTACAACCCATATTCCAGTTTTGTCAACTGTCCCAGTAATGTCTTCTGTAGCAATTTCTGGTGCAGGATCCAGTCGGGATCACGTATTATAGTTAACCATGTCTCTTCATTCTTCTTTAATCTGAAATCGTTTCCTTAGCCTTTCTGTGTCTTTCATAATATTGACATTTTTGAAGATGGTGGACCAGTTATTTTATAGAATTTTTTTCGCTTGGGTTTGCCTGATGTTTCCTCGTGTTTAGGATTCAAGTTATCCATTTTTGTGCAACGTCGTGTCCTTTTCAAGTATCATATCCAGAGACCCATTATGTCCGTTCATCCCTTACTGGTGATGTTAATGGACCATGAGGGTAAGATTTTGCCCGCTGTCTTTTCTATTTTAAAAATAGTACTTCCTGGTGGGGAGGGTATAGCTCAAGTGGCAGAGCAGCATGCTTAGCATGCTTGAGGTCCTGGGTTCAATCCCCAGCACCTCCTCTAAAAATAAATGAATACATACATAAATATCAATCAGTCAGTCAATCAACCTGATTGATTGACTCCCTCCTCCCCCCAAATAAAAAAATTTAAAATAAAATAGTACTTCCTATTTTTCCCTTTTGTAATTAATAAGTACTTTATGGGGAGATAGTTTGAAACACTCCTGTTTCTCAGCAAACTCTTCCCTTCTGTAGCATTTTTATGATTCTTGAATGAATCAGTTTTCACTGTGGTGCTTGAAAATCTCATTGTCATTAAAAAACATTTGAGGAGTACGCCTAGCTGCTAGGCAGTATGCTAAGCATTTTATAGTCACCCTTTTAGGTAGGTAGTATTATTATCCCCATTTCACAGATAAGAAAACTAAAGCACACAATGGCTATCTGCCCACGGTCACCCAGTAAGTAAGTATTGGCAGGATTTGAACCCAGGCTGTTGGTCTCCAGAGCAGGTGTTCTTATCCACTGCATAAAGCTGCCTATTCATCTTTTACTGTGTGAATTCTGTCTTTACCTCTGAGTTTAACAAGACCATGTCTTCCTGGGATAAGATAAATATCCACTAGTGCTTTCTTTCCCTACTTCGATGGTCTCATTTCTGTACGCACAGACCCTGCGATAGTCACTGGCAGTTGAGAGTTCGGACTTAGAACCTGAGAGGGAAACTATGGGTCGAGGTCAGGCTGAGGAGCATCTCCCCTGGTCTTCTTAGACTCAGCTTTGCCGGTCAGATGATCAGTGTTTTCTGATTTTGTCCTCATTTGTGGCCGACAGGTCCATCCTGGAGCCGCTTCTGGAGCGCAGGGCCTCGTCCGGTGCCCGAGTGGAAGAGCTGGCCCTCCGCGAGGATGGCGAGAGCCGGGTCAGCAAGTTCAAGAGAAAAGACTGGAGCTTGAGCAAGTCCCAGGTCATCGCAGAGAAAGCGCTGGAGCCTGATCTGCTGGTAAACAAAACAAGCCAAAAACAACGCCACGGGTTTACAGGGCTTTCCCTGTAGCTGGGCACCTCACCAACCACTTCACAGCCGTGAGTCACCAGGTGGAAGCCTGGTGTGGTTTCTCAGGACGTGGCAGCCTGTGGGGGTGTCAGATCTCAGGCTGTGCTGAGAAAAGTGCAGACAGAGATCAGAGTCTAAATCAGTAGTGGCGTAAGATTTACCCACAGTGTAACATGTGGGCTGATTCTTGGAATGTGGTTCTCGCCACTGTGTTCCATAAGGCTGTCCAAACATTGTCATTTCTCTTCTTTTTACTTAAAAAAAAAGCCAGACAGGTACTTTTTCTTCCATAAGCCACATCAAGTTGTTAAGTGTGGCAGGACCAGCTCTCTCTGATAGTCAGCGTAGCTTGTTTCCAACCTAAATGACACTATGGTTGAAATCAAGTCCGTGGCCAGCTGGAAAATTGTCTCTGGTCCCCTGGTCCCCTGGTCCCCTGTCATTGTCTTTGCCCTCGTGCCCCCCAACAGCGATAAGCTTAGAAAGGGCTCCTGGAGTTTTGCCCTTTTAACAAGTTTCCGCCCTGTAGCAGGGTTGTTCCGAGCATTGATGAGCTCAGCCTTCCTCACCATGAGAACGTTTTGCTGTGTCTCCCCACCCCACCCCCCGACTAGAGTCCAGCCAGGAAAGCACAAAGGCCGAAGAGTCTCCAGCTGTCGGACAGTCGGCTGACACCGTTTCATGGCTCTTCGCCGCCTCAGGCGACATCCCTGAGCCCACCCCCACTCACTCCTAAAGCTACCAGGACCCTGAGTAAGTTCCGCTATAGAGACCCCTTATCTTCGTGGTTTTAGGGGATGGAGTATGTGTGGGAATCTGGAACATTTTTAACCAAAATAGACACAAGGTATATGAGATTGTTGTGAAGTTGGTTTAATTCAGGGATGGTGGGTAGAATTCAGTTAGAGTCTGGCAAGATGTCCTTAGGATGGTAAGAGTCATTTAACTTTTCTGTACAGAGATCCACAGGGTCTCACTGTCCCTTTTCCAGTTGTGAAGGTATCAGTGAAGTAGATCTGGACAAGGACCAGACAGGAAGCGAGTAACCTGGGAACTGTTGGGTAGATAGCCGTGTACTTTATGTAGCCAAGGGTCCAAAATAAGGAAAAGAAATAGACCCATTCTATATAGTACTTAAGAGCCAAGCTTGGGGAATCAGCAGCACACAACTCCTGAGAAGAATTACAAGGTCCCCTTGGCACAGAGGAACAGCAGAGGGGGAAACCATTGTACCAAACAGGGGACAATGGTCAGCCAAGAGTCAGAGATAATTCAGGCAAGTTTTCCTGGAGCAAGTGGATCTTGCCCCCTTTACATGATAGAACTATGACAGTTCAATTGAACCAGTATTTATTGACTACCTAGTATGTGATGGATGCTTTTTCTAAGCACTGGGATATGCCAGAGAACAGAGTAATACTCTGAATTCTAGAAAATGTTCTCATCTTCAGCTTAATAGTAAAAACCCTGAACCCAAAATGGGATTTTTTACTTAAGAACGTGTTGTGAAGCCTTCTGGTGAGTGAAGGGCACTGCATTTTTCACAAAGGGTAAGGGATCTTTTCCATTCTGTCCACAGAAACGATAGAATGTGACCTTAGTGATGTGATTGACCAGGTTGGAAGTCCCATGAGATTCCTTGATGAATTCTTCTCTCTGCCTTCATCCACTTTGTGTCATTTCCAGGCTCCCCATCTTTGCAGACGGATGAGCAGATGACTCCTACTGTCCCACCGCCCCCGCCCCCCAAAAGCAAGCCCTACGAGAGCAGCCAGAGGAACTCCACAGAGGTAGGGGGGCCACAGCGGTCGTGGGGGCCAGAGCACCTCCCCCCCAACTCATGGGGATGCAGCACTGGATGTCCCAAGGTTTTTAGTAGGCAGGTTTGCTCATCCATTTTTCACTCTAATCGAGTCTTGGTTCAATCCTGAAACCATGAAAGAGAGGGGAGTTTTCAGTGGGAAGGAACCATGTGCAAGTAGACCTTTCACCACATTGAAGGTAGAGCTTTTTTTGTACCTCACCTTGGGTACAGGCAAGTGAAATAAGTGAATTCTGGTTCCCATTTAAAGAGTTTACTTCCTCCGAGTGAACATTCTGGAATGGCCTCTGATGGATTTCCTTCATTCATTCAACACATATTTATTGAGTCCTCAAGTACTGGGGATGCAGCAGTGTTGTTGTGTATCTCATTAACGCAAGGAGAAAGGGGGAGATGGAATCAGTCTTGTTTCCTTTTTCACCTTGCAAAGGCTGTGTAGATAAACTCAGATCAGTTAGAAGCTAACGCAGAAAGTCAGAAATGTGGAGAAGGCAGAATTAGGAAGAAAGGTAAGACTCATTTCTCCTTCCGTGTGTCTGCTCCACCAGATTGCGCCCCCACTGCCTGTCCGAAGAGAAGCCAAAGCCCCACCCCCTCCACCTCCAAAAGCTCGGAAATCTGGCATCCTTTCTTCTGAGCCTGGATCCCAATAAGGATCTCGTCCTCTCTCTGGAACTCTGAGTGCCCTGGACCACTGACGCCTGGGAGCTGGCCTCGGGGAGGCAGTGTCCTCATTGCATGGGGCCCCCACTGGCTGCCTTTCCTGATCTGGGATTGAGGTTCACCAGCTCAGAACTGGTTTCATTCTTTCAAAAGCTTCCCTTTGATTGATGCCTGGGTCCCTGCCACGTCTCCTCCAGTCCATGTGGAATTCTGGAATTGGCCAGATCCTGTGTGTTTCTCAAAGGAGAGATCTCCCTCCCCGTTACTACACTGCAGCCTCTGGTGCAGAGCCACCGGGGGCTCCAAGAACCTGGAGAAGTTCTTCCCACACGGTGGTGGTGGAGGAGCCACCCCCATAACCTACTCCTTGGAGGAATTTCTGGCTTGGTTTCTGAAAAGCTGTGCGTAAGACTTAGTTCTCTCCCGTGGACATACCCTATTCCTCAGAACCTATTGAAAGAGACTGAGACAAGTACTTTGGTAGCCAGAATAGTCTATCTTTCTGAGGTCTACTGTGTCTCCTTGGAGGAAAAGAACATCCTTTTAAGGGAGATGGGCTGCTTTCAAGTAAGAATGGCTATCATCACTGAAAGAACTTAGACTCCATCATGAGCCCTGAGCTCCTGCATCCCTGACCCCCATCCACCTGTGGCTTGGGAAAGCTGCCCCCCACATCCCCCACCAGGGGTCCCCCACACTCCCGACTAATGGCCTTACTGCCCAACAGTCACTCTTCCCTCCCACGGACTCTTGAAGCTCCTGTTTTTGTACACAGTTCCCCGTCACCTCCTCTGAGCTCAAGTCACTGGATCTGAGGGACTTGGCAGCCTGGATTCAACTGCTTCTCTTCCAGATCTCAGTCGGGTGTCTCGGTGACCCCTGGCTGCAACCTGATTTTGCCCTGGAGAATACAGTGCAATATCTCTCTTTGGTTATTTATTCCTCTTGATTGTGGAATTGATTTGATTACATATTTATGGTACCAATGTCAATATTCTTTTCGGAAGGAAAAAATGGGGTAATTGAGAGGATCAAATACTATCGACACACACAGAAACAGCCACACAAAGTTAAAGACATTTTGACCTGGAAAGGACTTAAAGTTCATACAAACACACCCTCACGTTGTAGATAAGGAAACTGAGGCTACGCACAAAAAAAAAAAATTGCAATATTGAGTCTTACTACTAATCCATCCTGCTGACCAGGGTTATCCCCAGGTGACGTCTAGAAGGCAATCCGACAGATTTTTCCATCCCTACCCTGAGTTGAAACAGCAGTGGAAATGTCCCAGCTATTTCTATACCACTTAGGTGTTTATAGCAAAATAGAACACTTGTTCAATGTAGATCCCGGGGGCCACCCTTTGGGTAGGCTCTCTGGGGAACAGCCTGGCCAGGTCACCTTTCCTTTCAGGTGGAGAGAGAAGGAGAGAGTTCACCTCCGAGAATCAGGGCTTGCTGGCCTCCACCTCTTTTAGGAGAGACATGTTAATTCATCACAGGGTCAGAGAAGTCAAAACAGAACAAAACAAAACAAAACAAACAAACAAAAAAACCTCTGAGATGTGTCCAGCCTTACTCAGGAAATTCATATGCGTCTTTAAAAGTGCTACATTCTTGTTTTTGCTCCACCTGAGAGTGAGGTGCTGTACCAGGCAAGAACCTGGACTCTGGAAGTAACCCATTCAGGTTTGAGTCCACCCACCTACGTCATCTCTCAGCTTTGCAAACTCCCGCAAACTATTTGAAATTCTCTTGAGTTTTCATTTCTTCACTTTTCAGAATGGGGCTCATCCCTGCCACACAGGCTGCTTTGGGGCTCAGGTGAGATGGCAGTAGGTACTCATGAAATGGTCCTTTCTGGTGGTCTCTGCTGGGCCTGAGTGAGATCGGGAACTTTCGATACGTGACTGAGATTCTTTTTTGTTTTGTTTTTTTTCCAAGATCATTTGGAACGTGAGTGCAGGTTAGCGCTGCACATAACAGTTCCTCTTCAAAAGGTGGCATCTCATGTAATTATAACTGGAGACAAAGCATTAATAAGACCTGAAGAGGATTTTAAGTGGCAAGAAAAGAGAATGAGAAGGAACGGATGGGCTCTGCAGGGCTTACGTGGAGCTGGGAGCAGCTTCTGAGAAGTTGCCGGGCAGACTGGCTGGCAGGGATTCGTGTACCTCACCCCACTTTCCAGGCTGCCGTTAAAATAGAAGGATGTAGACTAGGTCACAAAGAAACCAGACCAGAAGCACATCCCTTCTGAGCAGTGGGGGTGAGTCCTGCAGCCTGGCTTTGGTCAGAGGCTTGGGACATCGGATACACCAGTGCCCAAATGCCTTCCCTTTTTAAAGATGTTTTTCCATAGGACTCCCTTCCCACAGTTATGGAAATACTAGATCTCTCCTGGCTGAATACAAAGGATTCCAAGTAATGTTGCGAACAGTAGGTCACAGGGAGACACTGGAAGGGTCATCTCCTTGGGAAGCCACTGGGTCAGAAAGAGTCGTATTTAACGAAAGATCCTAAGTAATGTGTGTCCTGAAATCAAAGATGGAGACTGCAAAGAAATGCCTTATGATTACCGTAAATCTAGGAGAGATGAGGGCCAGGGCATGAAAAGAGAAAGACCTGGTCTTTATCTCCCTCGGTAAGCTTTCTGAAATATTGAAAGACATTGGAAGTAGCCCCCAAATTGTCACAACCTTGTGGGTATTGGTTTCTGGGGTTTTTTTTTTTTTAAATCCCTTTTTCCCTCTTTCTCTATCCTGGTGACTTGTATTGATTTGAGATCATTTTTCAAGAATTGTTTTGTTCAGCATATATTAAGCTCTTACTGAAGTGCCAGACACCATCCTAGACCCCCAGGATATGGCAGTTCAGCATGTCCAAAGGAAACAGCCCCGGTGTACGAGGACTGTGGTGTGCCGTGGGATTGGCAAAAGAATGGCTTTCAAGGAAAGTGAAACTCTAAATAAGGCTGCTGGGCTGTGGGCTGCCTCCCCCTCCTCCACCTTCACACCTTGATTCCAGAGTTACAGTCATTGTCTTCAATCAGAGAGACCCATTAAGAACAACTGCCATCCTCAGGTCCCTAAGACAAAACCAGAGATGAAGCCGGGTTTGAAATAACGATCTCCCTTTGCTGACTCTTTCCAAGTTTCGAGAGTCCTTCGCCCAGATTATGGGCTTTGAAACTGAGATATAACTTACATGCAAGTTAGAGGCACAGATCTTAGGTGTACAGATGGATGGGATTCTGTGTTAGCGCACACCCACGTCACCACCTCCCAGACCCACGGACTGCTTCCGGCACCACAGAAGTGTCCCTTGTGTCCGGGTTGTCATCTTATAAAAGGTATTTCAAAGGCCCTTCAATTTCGTACCTACCTTCTCATTTTTCAGGTATAATGAAAAGGGAAGAAAAACCACACCATCAGCACAGAACAAAACTCTAATGAATATACCTTTGGGCAAGTCGATTTGTAGTCAGTCCCTGGACTTCAGTTTCCTCGTGTAAAAAAATACGTGTTTGAGGTTACGTGATTTTTAGAATCCTTCCAGCCCTAGCTCTCTTTTATTATAAGTAAATCAAAGAGAGAGAGAAGGAAAGTTGTTGTTCAAAGGTTTTAGATCTATACACCATGCCTAAGTGGGATTTTAAAATTAAGTTGGAAAAGGTAAGTTCCTCTTTGGGTGGGTGGAGAGTGCAACCATCAGGTCTAATCTACAGAAGATAAAAGTTTTCAGGTTGATGACGTCAGGCTGATTCATATAATCCAGGCAAGCCTCATCTTTTTATGCTGCCCAGACTCATCCATCAGTCACGTTTTCTGAGTTGTTCATCCAAACTTTGTCAAAAGTCTCAGTAGCCATGATTTTGTAAATGAGTTGGGTTTCAAACATGAACCATTAAGAAGATGTGCATTGAACTAGAGAATTTTTGTTCAGATTTGCTGTTATTTATTTTGTAAATTAAAAATGGTAATGTATTTTCAAGTTCATTGTGTACTTAGCTTATTATTAATTACTCTTACGTTCATGAAATGAAATCATCCCTGAACCCTTTCTTACCGTTGCTCCTTCACGACCTCACACCCGCTGTTCCTTCTGGTCTCATTTCATTACAGGTCCTGTTTGTTTCAACTTGTACTGTGGGGTCATTGAGTCATCTTTGCCTGGAAGCAATTAAAACTGCAAACTATTTGGTTCTTCCCCCACCTCCGCCCACACCCCATTCATCCCTTTGGCATCTGATCTGACAGTTTTCTGATAACAATTAGTTTAATACAGAAGTTCTGTTTCTCCACTCATTCACCACAGATAACTAGGCAGAGGGAACGGGAGAAATGCAGAGGTTAAAAGGGATATTTAGGAGTAACTTCCCTGGAAAGGATGGGAACTGACTCTCAAACTAAGTTGTACAAACTAGGTTGAACCTGGGAAGAAGCCACAGCCCAGACCAATTCGATCGGAATATCCAAGGGAAGGGGGTGGGACCCAGGCAGTAGCATTTCTCTTAAGTCTCCCCCTTGTTATTCCAATGTTAGGCCAAGGCTGAGAACCATTGCCTTAGAGGAAAGAGCAGCTTTAGAAAATTGGTGTTCAAGGTGCATTTCTTAAACTCCCTTCCGCTGGTGGGTCAGATTGGAAAGAAGGGGCAGCTGCATTCCAGCTAGCGTAGCACCTCTGGTTTTTGGTTTTGTTTTTTAATTGAAGTATAGTTGATTACAATGTTGTGTTAATTTCTAGTGTACAGCATAGTGATTCAGTTATATATATTCTTTTTCATTACAGGTGACTACAAGCCATTGAATATAGTTCCCTGTGCTATGCAGTAGGACCTTGTTGTTTATCTGTTTTATATATAGTAGTGTGTGTCTGCAAATCCCAAACTCCTAATTTATCCCTCCCCGCCTTCCCCTTGGTAGCCATACGTTTGTTTTCTATGTCTATGAGTGTACCACTGTTCTAAATCCTGGGCTTATGCATAGATTTTTTTTTATTTTGAAGAAGGCATCCCAGTGCTTTAAAACATGTGCAGTTTATTGCTTTTTAGGGCAATAGTGCTCCACTGTCTGTGTACATAAGAATCACCAGAAGGCTTGTTCAAAATGCAGATGGCTTGGGCTCCAAAGACTAAGTCAGTCAACCTGGGTAATCTTAGGATCTAGGGTCCCCACTGAGAAAAGCTACTTGAGAGCATCTTCCACTGTCAAAATGTGTAAGTGCTGTTACTCTATGCAGTGATTCTTAGCTTTTTTCCCCCAGTCACCTCGCTTCTAAAACTTTTGCTAGAAATGGTCTGTCTTCAAGCCATTCTTTCTGTTAGTTGATCACTTAAAGCCGTGTATGTTTGAGAACTTTTTAAGCGTAACATTCAGTATGTTTCCTCATCCTTTATTTTGAGAGGATGCAGACTTCTTTTTGAAGCTACGTTGATGAGTTAGAGACTTCTTCAGATTCAGGAAAATGTTTAAAATTTTAGTAAAGGGCTCATTTTCTCTCCTTCCCCCTAGTAATTTGGGCCATTGGAGAGTCAAACACCTGACGTGTTCACATAAATTGTGAATAACCTGATGCCATCGCCAGCCTCTGACTTCAGCATCAGGGAGCTGGGCTGAGAGCATCTTTTTGGTACCCCAGTCAGGAATGTCCACAGCTGTCTCCAAAGAAGTTGTCCCAAAGACAAGCTTTGGCCAAGGAAACCTGATTTTCCAAACAGGATGCATTAGATAAACAGGTGTGTGGCCTTCTTTTTTGTAATGTGTTAACTCATGTAAAGATTGTAAATTAGATTGTTTTTATATAGTAAAAAAAAGTTCCTGAGTGATTGGCAACGTAAAAGCCTCTCATCCTGTGTCGTATGAGTTGATTAATGAAATAATGCAGTTTTGCCTTTTGTTCCATTAAAAAAACTAAGGTGATTGTGGACCACTTCACTGCCTTATTTTATTAAGGAGGGAGGAGAAATTTTTGGATTCCATTTTAGAGAGTTCTCAAATGGAGGTATTTGGGAAATCTAGCATTGTACAGTAGCAATTATTTGTGTTAAAAGTAGGGGTTTTCTCCCCCATGGGGTGTTTCTGATGCCTGTTTAAAGTCTTTTTGGTGCGGCTAGGGGTATAGCTCAGTGGTAGAGCACGTGCTTGGCATGCACGAGGTCCTGGGTTCAATCCCCAGTACCTCCGTTAAGGAAAAAAAAAATTCTTTTTTTGAAGGGAAGGAAGAAGGTTCCAAATGTCTGATTAAAAGAATTAAAAAGGCCTAGCTAGGTCTTCGCCATGAGAATGTAGGCATAAGTAGTTGCTGTGACATCAGGCAAGTTATCTGAAATTTGAGATTTTCAAATGGTCTCATAGTCACTGGGGACCTGTGAGGATGAAGGAGAACAGGAGTGTCCTAGCGTCTGGGGCCACGTGGAGAAGTGGTCACCAGTGAAACTAGGTTGACACAGGAGCCCCAGGATCCTGTTTCAACTCCAAGTAACCAAAACACTGGGCTTCCAAGTTCAAGTCCATTGGCTGCTCATCGCAGTGCATTACAGGAGCACTGACTTTGGAACCCAACAAAACCGAGTGGGTCTTGTAAACTCTTAGAGCCCCGTTTTCCTCATTTTAAAGGAGAGGCAATAGTATCTATTTTCCAAGGTCACTGTGAAGGTTAATGAAAATACTTCAGCACGTATCTAGCCTGTTCTGGAGGATGTGTGGTGGCGGTGCTGTTTGACCCGGGGACATGGGAACGCCTGAATCCTGTCTTCACTGACTGCAGGCCATAGTGTTACTTAAGAGAAATACCAAAGAGATCAGGCAGGGGCACACTGTGGTTTTTCGGCCTTGGTCCCAAACCTGGTGTGCACGGCTTGCTATGGTGAACTTGGACCCTGTGGAGCCAGAAGGAGCATCAGACCAGGTGCCTAGTGGAGCCTCTTCTTCCCCGAGGCCTCTCTCGGGTTCCAGTTGACTTTCTTTCTTTTTTCTTTTTTTTTGAATGATTTTTATTTGTTTATTTTTGTTTGTTTTGTTTTGGGGGGGTAATTAGATTTACTTATTCATTTATTTTTTAATGGAAGTACTGGGGATTGAACCCAGGACCTCACGCATGCTAAGCTCAACCTATACCACTGAGCGATACCCTCCCCCTCCATTGGCTTTCAAAGGGATTGGAGACAATCTGGGGAGGAAGCTTTGGCCGTGGCGCTATCTTGCTTCTGAAGGGTATGGTCAAAGATAAAGCTACAACCACAGAGAAAATTGTAGCTGAATCAGTTTGGGGCCCAGACCGATATGTGACCATTGTCCTTGTGGGTGCAGGGTGTTGGTGGTGGAGGTGAGCCTTGAGATACCTGTAGCCAATAATGACATTGACTCTGTTACCCCACCTTCCATCGCCCACTGTAGACAGACTTGGGGGCCCCTGTGTGGGCTTACAATGTCCCTTCCCCACCAGAGTTCTGAGTTAGAGGAAGACTTCACATTTATGCTACTTTATTCACAACACAGCACTTGATTATGAAACATGCAACCTGGTGTTAAGAATTTCTGAAGTTCACACAATTAACAGACATTAAGTGAGTCACACGTTTCAGTCAGAATTGTACTTGTCAAATTTTCTGGCCCAGTGGATTTAAATCTTCTTCTGCTCAGTTTCCTCTTCAATCAGACTTTCCTGAAAAATACGTGAGTAACAAATATATCAAGGTTGATTTTATGAGCTGAATTTCATTATGTTTGTGACATTTTAATTTCTAATGTACTGATACAGAAAGAATAGATCCATTTGTCTACACATTGTTTAGTAAACATAAGGTCTACAGTTTTAAGGGTGTGAAGACAGGTAAAAGAAAGGGTCTGATTTACCCATCTGTTACTAACTGAGCTTTCTCCTCAATTCCTTCCTTCCAGCGTCATGTTTGGAAATTTTCACTATTTGCTATCATTTTTCTCATGAAGTCAGCAGGATTAGAAAGGGGAAGTAAAGATGTCTGTCCACTTTTTCCTTTGTCCTATGGGCGTAGAAGTTGAAGTCAGTGGAGAAAATAAAAACTCGCTCATCTTCATATATGATTTATTCAGACTTTCTCTGTTCCTGGGTGTAATTGAAAATTGTAATGCCTTCTAACTGCTGCAAATAAGTGGACCACAGAGCTCAGAGAACACTAACATTGAATTCAAGATTCAGTTTCTATATTCAATTCTCTTTATATATATATATATATATATATATTTAATTTTTTAATCAAAAACTTACATTGGGTTAGAAGATTTCCATCTTTGGTGGGAATTTGGAAAATTGTTGTAGTCCAGTCAGCAAACTGGAAGTCAAGCCTGTGGCTCTGAATTATGAGTGTACTAGTTTGGAAATGCTTATTGCAAAGGGCAAAAAGTTAGAACACCTTTTCTGATCTCTACATTTCTAGGCAAAACCATGTCATATCAAGAACTACTGAGGTGTCCGGTGGGAAGGTGTGAATTAGCCTAGGGAGGAACAGCCTAGGGGGTTTGATGAACATACCTGAAGAACTGACATGGGAAGAAATTGGTTTTTGTTAGTCATCCCAAAGGTGAGAGCCGAGATTAGGAGATACGGGTTGCAAAAAGATTTGAATTTTTTAAATATAAGAAAGAAAAAGTAGGTTCCAACCATTAGTACTGTCTAACCACTGAGAAAGAGTGTTTTGAAATGACGAGGGCCCAGTGCAGGAGGAATTCAGGCAATCAGGAAGGTAAGCATCGCAGTGGCTGTGAGGTGGTTGTCCCAAGTGGATGACCCAAAAGGTGGTACCCAAGGCCCATCCGTCTCTAAAGCTCCGTGTTATTAACACTGTAACTCACCAGAGCTCCTTTCAGGTCCCTGAGGGGAGAGCGGGGCTGGTGAATGGTACATTCGAAGCGCTGAGGTTCTGCTAGTCGATCGACCTCTTTGGCTATCTGCAGAAAAAGGACGTGATTCTTGGAGATGGAGATAAAGAAGTGAAATGGTATTTTCCGTTTCCACCAAAAATTGTGTCTGGAAAGTGAAGTCATGGGGACTGTGGGGCTGAGAAGGCGGCGAAATGGGATGGGGACTTCAAAAGAAGGTCGGTTTGCTGTCAGGAATTTTTATAAAAGGTTGGTATGCAGTTCTGGAGGAAATGGGTAAGGGTAAGGAGGGATAAATTTTCTCTCTGGAGATGATGAGAATGAAGCACTTGGAGCCTCAGGAGGGGCTGGTATACAAAAAATACAAGAATTTATAGTTATTAATAGGGTTGGTTTTCTAGTTTTTACTAAATATGTCATAGTTAAGAGAGTTGCTCACATATAGTCTGTGGGAAGGAGACTTTTTCAAATTCTGGGCTGCTTTAGTTCCTATTGAATTATCTTGACTATTTCTCATAAAAAGAGAGATTTCTTTTTAATGAAAATTAAATAGTTTTAAGTCTCTTCTAGCTTATGTTTGCCGTTCTCCAACATGTACTGAGTGTCTAGCCCTGAATCATTCATCCTTGAAAGCCTAGTTTGTTTCCCATTAACTAAAAAAAAAAATTTGCAAATGTTTTTCATTAATCCACTAACATTTTTTGGATTAACCAGCCAAGATACATGGCCTTTCTTCTGTAATCCTCACAGGGCCCCAAGAAGTCACATTTTCTAGATAAAAAAATCAAGTACTCTGTGCTGGTGTTGGTACTAGTACTGAAATCTGATTTATAGGAAGTCAGACTCAGCATATTTTCCAGTATATATTTTGTCTCCTTGAGCTTGCTAACTCCTCTTTTCTAGGGGCTTCAACTTCTTTGCTTGAGAGCTCATATCATTAAAAATATTATAGCGCATGCCCCCTTAATAAGGATATTTATTTATGTTCTAAAAATGTATTGCTGACCTAATATAGATTTTTTTAAAAGATTATATAGAAATTTTAAAAAATAAGCAGAAATTCTGAGATTCTCTTTCCAAATCCCAAAGAATCATCTTGCACCAGAGACCTTGGCTGCATCCCATGGTTCCTAATTCCTTTGGCAATTCTGTATCCTCAGAGAATGGCACACTCCCTTGCGTTTGCTCCTCTTGGAATTCTTCCTGCTCTTTGTCTCATTGGTCCCTGTCTGCATTACAGCAGGAATGGGACCTTATAAGTGCCTTATCTCCCCCGGAATCCCTAGGTTAGAGCCTAGAGTACAGTTGAAGGCACACAGGATGTTAGTTCAATGGAATCCCATAAGCCACGTTTCATTTTGAAGCTGAGACACACTTACCTCTTGGAAAGAATCAATCACGTTTTCAGCATTTCTCTTTCCTCCAGGGCGCAATCCGTAGGACCAGTGCTGGCTGGAGCAGCCCACCACACAGACAGTCAGCAGAATAAGTCCAGCTAGAAGTTTGGAAATCGGCTCCATTCTAAGGAACATCAATGCAACCATCAAAAATTGATCCAGACCGGGTTGAGCAAAGACCTCTGGTTTGTGTCACTAACCCTGCAGAAGACAGAAGTGGGAGGCATCTCGAGTCAGTCCTTTAAACTCACATGTTGAGTAGTTTTTAGAACTGAACTGTCTTAATGTTTCTTATTTATTTGGTTGTCCAAATCCCAGGATTCCTCCTTTATCAAGTTTGCTTTTTTGCCTTAATATTCCACTCCCCACCCCCCACTCTGTGACTGGCTTTCATTCCAGGAATAAGAGGCTTGAGCCATCTGCTCGGAAAATGGCTCCTCCCAGGAATCTCTGGCTAATGTAAGTTGCTTGACATTAAATGACTGCACTGCGGTGCTAATTACATTTTGCTGAGTATCTGTCCTGGTCTTGCACACGTTATTGCTTTATTGCTGGCTGGACTATCTGTGAAAGTAAGAGAGGACTCAACACTTTTCAAAGCACGGGGTCCCAGACCAGCTGCCTCCCTGGCCAAGGCAGCCTTGAATTATCTGATGACATGGGGAGTTTTCACAAATGAATTTTCACTGGTGGGGAAGAGGCTAAAGACAAAATCCAACACTGGTTGATGAGCTGTTGCAATTTCCCAAAGGCTGGATCTCTGTGGCTGGGGTGGCAAGGACCCTGAAGTTCAAGATTTCTTTAGACACCTTTCCTGGCCTTAGCCCTTAGGGCGTAAAATGTGCTATGGACAGACAGTGGCATGCAGTCTGAAAAAAGTGCTAGAAATACAAAGCATTTTACCTGTTTGAGAGTAGAGAGCCAAAAACGTCTCAAGCTTCCTTTGGAGTGTGTTGAATCTGACTTTTCATTTTTCTAGCGTCCTTTTTATATGGAACTTTTCCAGGACACTGAAAATCTCCCCTGCTGGTAAATTGCACTGCACATGGACTGTGTTGTTGTTGTTTTAATAGTAAATGTTTTTTAATCCTCACATAAAACCCTTTAATGGTGTATGTAATTGGAGCACCCACTGCTGTATCTGGTAAATTTATTTAAATCTTGGCCATTAAAACCAGGGCTAAGGCTTTTACAATTCAGAGAGATTAATATCTAGCCAGGTAGGATTCCCTTGAGAAAACTGACAGACACATCAAGAGTTCGAGGAAGATAGCCGTCTCAGAATAAGTGATGTTAAATGCTCACGTAGACACTTTCACAGACGAGGCCATGTAATAATTAAAAATGTCGAGTCAGGATGTCTGGAAGATGCTTATTGAGTTAAAACATGTGAATCCCTGTACTGAAGGCGGTGGGAGTACAAAGATGAGAAATAATAGTTACCTGGCATGTGAGTGAGACTAGCCTCGCTCATTATTATAGTCCTGCAAAGGGGGGGTCATTATCCAAATTTTGCGGGTAGATGTCCCATGCCAGCAGTGAGCCCTTGGACTTTTTATTTACATAGCACAAGCATTTGAAAAAGCGAGCGACATTACTCTTTATTACATTTACTTGAACACATGATTGTCTTCCCCTAATTTACCCCTGGGCTATAACTCAGGATGTTCAAGGATCCCATTTTATTTAAGTATCTGTTAACAAATCCATAGCACAGTCAGCATTCAGTAAGTATAGATTTGAACGAATAAGTGAATGAATGAGTAAATGAATACAAAGTAAGGGCTTTTTTAAAAAAAAGGAATAATTTGCTCTTCCTCTTTACTTATTTTGGGGGGAGAGATAATTAGGCTTATATATTTAGTTTTTAAAAACATTTTAAAATTTATTCATTTTATAATATCATATTTTTTAATTGAAGTATAGTTGATGTACCATATATGTTACAGGTATACAATATAGTGATTCACAAAGTTTTAAAGGTGATATTCCCATTTATAGTAATTATAAAATATTGGCTATATTCCCCATCATTGTAGCTTATTTTACACCTAATGATTTGTACCTCTTAATTCTCCATGTTTACTTATTTTTTAATGGAGGTACTGGGGATTGAACCCAGGACCTTGTGTATGCTAAGCATGCGCCCTACCACTCAGCTGTCCCACCCCCCGGCAAAGTAAGCTTTTAACCGGGTTAGAGCTATCCTCTACTTCTGCATCAGAGCTGTGTTTTATCTGACACAGAATTAAACCTTCATGTACAATTGGATGTCAGGCCTATTACATTAACCAAGCAATAGAACATTTAAAAATAACTGGATGTTTGTTCATTTCTGAGCTGGAATTTGCCATTTCTCCTTGAGTAGGATGCTGAATGAGTCAGTTGTTGACCAGTGTCTTTGGAATGATTACAGTTGCCAGGATTTCAGCATAAAGAGCAATATTTATACTGCCCAAAGAAACTCCTACTTTGCCCAGACACCTCTGTGGAGGTTGTCAGCTCCGTGGTAGGGTAAAGAAGAGGATAAACTTTAAAGTATAAATGCAAATAGAGGAGGAATTAAAAAATAGAGCATAAGTGATTTACTTTATCTCACTTAAATTATTTTAATTATTTCATTTAGAAACTTCAAATAATTTAGGTGCCATTCTTTCTTTTTTTTTAATTGACGTATAGTTGATTTACAGTGACGTTAGCTTCTAGTGTACAGCATAGTGATTCAGTGATACATATATACATATTATTTTTTTTTGCAAGTTTTGAAGAATTTTTACTTTTTTATTGAAGTGTAGTCAATTTTAAATGTAGTTTTTACTATTGACTCTAAGTAAATTTGAATCATCTACATGTGACATGCATCCAGTTTTCACTGGGGTGTCTGTTTTTTTTTAACATCTTTTTATTGAGTTATAGTCATTTTACAATGTTGTGTCAAATTCCAGTGTAGAGAACAACTTTTCAGTTATATATGAACATACATATATTCATTGTCACATTTTTTTTCGCTGTGAGCTATCACAAGATCTTGTATATATTTCCCAGTGCTATACAGTATAATCTTGTTTATCTATTCTGCGTATGCATGTCAGTATCTATAAATTTTGAACTCCCAGTCTGTCCCTTCCCACCCTCCGCTCACTTGGCAACCACAAGTTTGTATCTATGTCTATGAATCTGTTTCTGTTTTGTATTTTATGTTCTTTTTTTTTTTTTTTTTAGATTCCACATATGAGCAATCTCATATGGTATTTTTCTCTCTCTTTTGAATGACATTCTCCAGGGACATCCATGTTGCTGCAAATGGTGTTATATTGTAATCCCATTCCTAGGCATATATCCGGAAGGAACCCTACTTCACAAAAGACACCTGCACACCAATGTTCATAGCAGCACTATTTACAATAGCCAAGACATGGAAACAGCCTAAATATCCATCAACAGATGACTGGATAAAGAAAATGTGGTATATTTATACAGTGGAATACTATTCAGCCATAAAAATGACTACATATTCTTTTCCATTATATGTTATTACAAGAATTTGAATACAGTTCCCTGTGCTATATAGTAGGTCCTTGTTGTTTGTCTATTTTATATATAGCAGTTGTATCTGCTAATCCCAAACTCCTAATTTATCCCTCCCCCTCACTTTACCCTTTTGGTAACCATAGTTTGTTTTCTATGTGTGTGAGTCTGTTTCTGTTTTGTAAATAAGTTCATTTGTATCATGTTTTTAGATTCCACATGTAAGTGATATCACGTGATGTTTTTGTGTGACGTACTTTACCTAGTATGATAATCTGAGTCCATTCTTGTTGATGCAAATGGCACTATTTCGTTCTTTTTTATGGCTTTTGTATTCTGTTGTGTATATGTACCACAACTTCTTTATCCAGTCATCTGTCAGTGGACATTTAGGTTGCTTCCCTGTCTTGGCTGTTGTAAATAGTGCCGCTGTGAATGTTGGGATGCAGGTATCTTTTCAAATTGGAGTTTCCCCTGGATATATGCCCGGAGTGGGATTGCTGATCATATGGCAAGTCTATTTTTAGTTTTTTCAGGAACCTCCTTACCATTTTCCATAGTGGCTGCACCAAATTACATTTCCACCAATGGTGTAGGAGGGTTCCCTGTTCTCCACAGCCTCTCCAGCATTTCTTGTTTGGTGGACTTTTAAATGATGGCCATTCTGACTGGTGTGAGGCGATACTTCATTGTAGTTTGGATTTGCATTTCTCTGATAATGAGTGATACTGAGCATTTTTGCATGTGCCTGTTGGCCATTTGTATGTCTTCCCTGGAGAAATGTGTAGTGCCATTCTGACATGAAGTGGTAGACTCCCATCTCACTATGATAAAGGCAGTGAGAGGTTGGTTTTCAACAAGAGTCCATTATGTTTGAATGGGTGTTTGTTTATAAACGGTCCAGCTGATTTCCTGTTTGCTGGAAGAGATGTGCTTCTGACAGTGACTGCTGCTCAAGCAGATATGGTCTTTGCTTAGGGCTCCTGAACAGGGAGGTGAGACTGCTGATCCTTATTGTCACGTTAATCACTTATCTCTGGTTAAGCATCACTGGATTTCTTGTAGGTTATTTCTATCAGTTGGTATTCAATTTTTGAAAAATGCTTTGAAATTTTTAGATGAACACAGCCACATGGTCTATGAATTCGTTTGATACGCTTCATGCCTGCAAAGTCTGCCTTAGCATGGCCATAGATCTCAAGGGCAAAGCCCAACTTGTCTTATTTTCTACAGCACACAAATAGGGTATCAAACAAATATGCAATGAATGGAACTTGGATGTTTAGTGACAAACTTAGATCATTTTCATAGCTCCAAGGATAGAGCAATTGACCATGAAGCTGAATTTAGTAAATTGGGTTTAAATAATTGGATGTCTATAATTATACATTTTCCCCCTAAATTTAGAAATTTCCCAAATTTTAAAGTATGGCTTTAGAGAGAAGATGGCTTTTCAGCATCAAGGGATGCACCTCAAAAATAGTAAAATGGAACAAAAATGATTTAGTAATCTTGCTGAATGACAGATGAAAACCTTTTTTGTCCTGATGTAAAATCTCAGCAGGATGGACTCATGAACTCCTGCTGACATATCCAAGGTTGTAAAAAGGTTTTAGAGAATTAATCCTTGCATAAGATGCTTCATACGGAAAGTACGTTAACTGCTTTTCTTCGTAGAGTGGTACCTTTTAAAGATAGTACTTCCTTGGAGAGTTAATAAAATTCTAGGGCTTTTCGTATATTAAAGATGATTTAAAGTTGACTTGGGGTAGATTTACTTGCAATTCATAAAATGAACAGTTGGAGAAAATATTCCAAGTCTGGATTTATGACAGTAAACTTCTTAAGAAAATGGATTTACAGTATTTCCTACTAAAATGTCAAACTGTAGTTGAAAGACTGGATTACAGCATAATATGCATTGCTTTAAACAAATGCATGAGTACTGAATTTTCTGTGTGGATACTTAGCTAATTTAGGTTAAACCATTTTCTAGCCCTTTCCCATCCCTCCCCAAACAACTCTGTTTTTACGTAAACTAAACTGCATGTAGTAACGTGTCTCATTGCTAGGGTTAATGGAAGTTCTACTGTTTTGAAATGTTCCCTCCCTCCCTCCTTAAACTCCTTTCTCCTAGTTGTCAGCTGAGAACATTTTAGGGGCAATGTGTTTAACCAACCTAATAAAGCTAACTGGCCCTGTTCATCAAAGAGTAACACAAATTAAATGAATTACGGGAAGACAGTCTTTTGTTCAGCATTGATAAAACGTCTCTGTCTTGTTAGCTTGGCGGACTCTCAGAAAAGGATCATAAAATAATCCCGCATAGAGAAATAACTAAAGGCACCGTCACCTCCACGGTACGTGTTACACTGTGCTTCCTTTTCCTCCCAGCCCCTCAGGCTTGGTCTTCAACACAAATTGAAGAAATGTAAGCAAAATCTGGAAGGTGCTGATTTTCAAAAGCAAGACAAGAAACTCCTTTTCAACATTTCACATCATTTATTAATGCAGTACACATTAGATCCAAAATCTGCATTTTCTAAGCATACCGTGTTTGGATCCTTCAGATTCGTCTGCAGTTTTAGGTTATGTCTACAGAGGTACCCTTAAGTGGATGGACAACACATTATATAATTATTGAAAATATAGTACAGAGTGAAATGATTTAAATATAATTTAGGCACATATTGATTATGAAAATAGATCTCTCTCAATACAATTCTTCTCTGTCTTGGTAAAAATGATAAAGCAAAGAAAATAATTCATTTCTGAAGTTGCTTTCCTTCACCTGTAAAGGTCTGCTGCCCTCCCGCTCTGCACACGTACCCTTTACTGTTCAGGAAAGCGTTGCATATGTATGTATAGGATAAGCTACGTAAATATTGAAGACATGTCGTTCTCCCAAAGGAGACGAAGTGGTTTTTAACAATTCCTTGCCTCAAACTGGTAAGTCTGTAGAATTCAGAACCCATTTGGACACAGCTTACATCCCTGCTCTTGTGGTAGACATAGGGACACAGGTCACGAGTAAACGCAGGCCCTAACCCTGCTTCTGCAGAGATGATGATGCAAGAAAACCAGGCTAAAATTCGCTTAAATCAGAAATGTAAGAACCACAGGCGCTGAATGATTGGTTTTACATCTTGGACCAGCCCAATGCCTTTAAGTTTTTTGATAACTGTAATGCAACTGTCAGTTTAGAAGCCCTCGTTCTCCATTGTAGAGTTTGAGCTACAACTCTAGTATGTTGACTCCTGAAAGATGGATTTGCCATGGTCATTCACATTTTATAGCTTTGACTGCAGTGGATTGGGATTTGATACCTACGTCCAGGCTGGCCCCGTTTCAACTATAAATGAATGTTATTCACGCACCTTGGCTTTTTGGTTTTCAACTATCTTCCTACGCTTGTTTTGACTGTTCAGGAGGAAACTAGCCAGTAGTGTAAGTTGATAAAATTGCCTGGTCTGGTAGTGGAACTTGCTTAGAATGAAATCCTCAAGAATGTGCATTGAAAAGCTGCAGCTACAGGTAAATCCTTCCTCCATCCGGAGAGGTCCACTGTAACTTCAGCTGACAGTGATGTATAATGATGTCTTTCCTTCCACTCTGTCTCAATCAGTAACAGAGGATTTCTTTAATTTAGCTACTGTTTTGTTCTTTAAAAAAAAAACTAACCTGAAAAGAGAGCCTTGGGGAGTCTGATCTCACCATATGCACATGGCGTGGCAGGTATTTAAAGTACGGGAGGCGTCACTAAAGCTATTTGTAAACCTGAACGACCTTTTCAAAATTTTCATAAAGTTTAACAATTTAAATATCCATACTGCATCTAGAGAGTCAATAAATATAATTGCATATGTTGTGCTTTTCATAAATTAAAATCCTCAAATGCGTCTCAAACCAGGATGGTATTTCCACAGCATGCCTATGTAAAAGCAAATAAAAGAGATACTATATTCCTGGTCCCAAAGCCAGGCAAATCCCCCTACTCCACTCAAAAGGCAGCACGCTAATCTAGCTTCCCTACATCAGTTAAATGAGTGCTTCTCTGTTAAAATCAGAATGTGGGGGGGAAAGTGACTTCTTCCCCCTTATGCACCGCTGAGAACAAGCGTAATCCTCTAAATGTTTTTTTTTTTTTATTCCCTCACAGTGTTATTTCTTCTAGACAACTGAGTGGGTGGAGAAAGAAAAGTGGTAAGGAACACGTTTTTCACCGTGAGCGTCTTCCTCCAGCCCTAAGTCTCATCTGACGCTCTGTGACATGTGTAGTGGGGTCAGCATCTCTTCAAAGATGGCGCCCTTCACGTTGGAACCCCTCAGGTTGGCTTCTTGAAGGTCACACCCAGACAGGTCACAATTCTGCAGGACAAAAACAATATGCACCATTTAAGAGGTCAAATTGATTCCTGGGCACACAGGAAAATGTTCCTACGTAGTAACTCAGTTATTTCAGGGAAACTTCCAGAAGCTTTGGAAGAAAGTCAGGTTTTCTCCTCTCCAGTTGATGCTCAGGCTGACCACCACAGACGTGTACAAACAAAGGTTGACAACGAAGCATGTCCCTTTTGTTCACGTATTTTAGCATCAGGCATTTAAAATCCAGATGGGCTCCAACGCAGTCAACAGTATCTAAACAATTTCACCACAGTCCATGAACAACGGGCATGGGGGGTGGGGAGATGGCTTAAAAGAATCTGAGAGAAAGGGATTTTGCTTAATGATTAAATTATGTAACAGATTTTTTCCATTCCCCAGCCCTGACATTCTTAGAGCAGGGAACTGCCTTATTTTAAACCCCAGAATTACTTGTACAGTTCACTGGGTTTGAACAAATGTATGCAACGGCAACCCGCACCATGACTGGGAGCTGCTTTCAGATTTCCCTTGAGATCAGGGAGTGAACAGATGAGACAGGGGTTTTGGCCAAGTCCCCGGGGATGACGGAGACAATGGTTAGAGATGCGGGTGACTGCACATGATCTTTTAGGGTAAAACATCAGCGGCTGCGCCTCAACAGCCCCTGGTTGGTTAGTCTGCGCCACCAGTGAGATTAGAGGGAGGCTTTTTGCTACTGAACCACATTGACTACATGGTAACTAAAGCCAAGGGGAAAAACCATCATCTTAGGTGACAGTAACAAATCATAAACATTTAAATAATTGTGCTTAGAATAGGTTTATACCTTTGGCCTCAGGCTGGTTCTTTTTGCCTTTAAGTTTACGGGGGGGGGGGCTGCTACTATGCTAAGAGCTATCAAGAGAACAAGGAGAAAACATTAAAAAAAAATTCAGCAGCACACTAGATGTTGACATACTGTTCTCTACAACCCAATCTGTGCCAGACTTTATTGTATAGGGCTGTACTGTTCAATATGATAGTCCCAGCCACATACGGCTGTTTATCTTTAAATGAATTAAAATTAAATAAAATTTGCAATTTGCAGCAACATGGATGGACCTTGAGATTATTATATTAAGTCAGACAGAGAAAGACAAGTATCATATGGTATCACTTATATGTGGAACTGAAAAATAAAAAGGGGATACAAATTTTATTTACAAACCAAAAAGAGACTTACAGACATAGAAAACTATGGTTACCAAAGGGGGAAGGGCTGGGGGAGGGATAAATTAGGAGTTTGGGATTAACAGATACACATTACTATATATACAATGGGTAAACAACAAGGACCTACTATATAGCACAGGGAATTGTATTCAAATTCTCGTAATAACATAATGGAAAAGAATCTGAAAAAGCAATGTATATGTGTAACTGAATTGCTTTGCTGTGCGGCTGAAACTAACACTGTAGATCAGCTACACTTCAAATAACAAAATTTTTTTTTAAAATTAAAATTTAAAAATCCATCCCTCAGTTGCACTACCCACGTTTTAAGAGCTCAGCAGCCATGTGTGGTTGGGGCTGCTGGACTGAACAGCACAGGCATAGAACATGCCCGTCTTTGCAGAAAGTGCTGCCGGACACTGATGACGTTGGCCTAGTAACAACTACTGAGTCCACTAGCTGAGCCTGCAAATCAAGATGGCAGACAGAAGACAATGATGACAAAGATGACTGGACAAAATTATAATCTCAGGTTGAGATTCTAAAAGAATATGATGCCAGTTTAGAACAGGCTTTCCCTTAAACCTGATTTCAAATTCAGATCTCATTTAAATTTCTCAAGTAGCTCAAGAAATAATCCGGCCCCATCTAATTCTGTTTGGAATTAAAACTTAAGAAAAATACAATTGACTGGATTAAAAAAGCATCTATCAAACTCACCTACTTGAGGGAGACCCAAGGAAAAGAGGAGAAATGAAATCAACTCAGACTGAATGCCAGATGAATCTTCAAATCTGAAACTGGTACCTGTTAACTGAGGTAACCCAATCCTGCCCTGGAATTCAAATTTGTTTAAACAAGCAATTGAAAGCATCAGCTGGGCTGGCATGTTTCCTGGCAGTTGTGATCAGCCAACCACTTTGTTTATGATTTCAATACATTCTGTAGGAGCTACTCAGAAATTCTAGATGAACAAAAACTCCACGTGGTAACTCACCTCTAAGTCAGTTCCTGCCAGAGTCGCTCCTCTGAGGTTACAGTTCTTCAACTTCGCATTTTTCAAGGTAGCAACTCTCAGGTTAATTCCTGTCATTTGACTTCCTTCCATATCCACACCTTTCAGATTAGCACCTACAGGGAATATTTGTAGGCGTCGTTGAACGTAAAAGCATTTAAAGTCATCTACCTTCAAAAGATGCAAGATGGCTTAATGGGAGGTGAAGAACCTTTGGAACCTTTGGAAATGACTGAACGATAAATCTCAGTCTCTCAACCAACATACATATACAAGGAGTTCTTTGTTAACAGTCTGTTTGCTTATACTATGAATTAAGAATGTTTTAGTCTGTATTTTTGAGGGAGGAATTCAATTCAGTCTTAGGATAATTAGCAGTTTTATAATATGGCTCTGAAAGTTCATGGCAGTGGAGGTTAAATACTGTCTTCTAATTATGCAAATAAACAAAGTGACCAGTTCAAGAACACAACAGAGCAACAAAACAGTACATTCAGAAGTGACAAAAAACTGCCTGGCTTTATGTAAACCGAAGTTCTTAATTTTGGTCCATAAAAGTTTGCTGTTGTCTGAAAGTTTAAGATGTTGATACTTAATTCTCCGACTGAAGCCTCCTTAAGTATTGGAGGCCAGATTTCCCAAGTTCTCCTTGTTGGTTAGCATGACGGAGACCAAGCAACGTCTTAGCTTTTTGCAGATTCTCTAAGTGTGATGACAGGATGGAAGTAATCTGCCTCCCTTCCCTGCGGTTACCATGTTTTCACCAGTAACAGTTATCCTGCTGGCTTTCCTCTTACTGGTGTGTTTTCACCTTAGAGATGGTAATTACAGATGCAGTCTCACCTTCTAAATTGGCTTTGAGACCAGAGGGATCTTCAAAATTGCACAGTTTCAGGGATGCTCCCTCTGCATTAGAACAGAGCATCTTGACTCCCTGGAGATTGGCACACTGGCAAGGGGGAGAGAAAAGTCCATGCATTAAGGTTCAGGGTTTTGTTTGGAATAGAAAAAACTGGCTCAAACAGTAAAAGAAAAAATTAAAAAGGGAGAAAAAAAAAGCTCAGTTCGATACATTCACCATCAATTATTTTCTACTCACAATAAAGACTTTTCCAGTTGAACCCGGTAAGAACTGAGAAGTGTTCTTTAAAAATCGTTGTTTTAAAAAAGAAACAGAAGCCAAATAAACAGCAGTCCTTTACATGAAATCTAAAAGAGTGCAGAGAAAGAAGCTGGGGAGTCAGAAGCATGACAGCCCTCTTTCTATTTTTACCAACAGCCCTGGGCACATAAACAGCCCAGCCTATGACAATGTGACCGTTGAAAAGTCTGCGTGAGAAAGCATAAGCTTGTCAGGCTCATGGATTTTCCTTTCTTTATTACTGTACGAATCAATCAGTGGAATTCCTGATTCTCAGTGTTACTATTACCTTCCTATCAAAGGTCAGACTGCGAAGGCCAGCAGTTGAAGGAGTCAGTTAGCTACCAGCACTAGCAAGTTGTTTGCAGGGCCTTTCTGTACCAACCCGGAGCACCCAAGCCACAGTACAAGGTGCAAAAAAGCTAGAAAATACATGTTCGAATTTTAAGTTACACTAATTCATCTCAAAGGATTCAATACCATCAGACCTGAACTCAAACAACTACTAGATGAGGCAGGAAGCTATCTAGAAAGTTGGCATTCACATCACATCTTCACAATTGTGGCCATCAAAGTAGATGATGAAGGTAAGAAGTGTTTTAAAAACCGCAGGGCACAACATAAATGATGACTGCAGATCAGTGAAGAAATCTCAGATCCTAAGTCTGACCGTGTGATGTCACAGCCACACCCATCAAGAAAAATCCTTGTTTCCTAAGTGCAATTTCCTTCACTTACAGTCAATTCTAGTGATAGCGAAGATAAGCTACAGACCATTTCGGATCACAGGTAGCTGACGAACACGTGTGCACTTCCGTGTCTGCGCGTTTAACACGAGGTAGCAGAGCCCTCAGACTAACGGGGAGGATAACGAGGACGTGGGAGGCCCAACGTAACGAAGAGATGGCTGGACTTTATGTACTTGAAGATATGACAGGACAGGAAGCTGGTGCCTGAAAATAAATGTCTCTGGTTCTCTATGGGATGCTCCCAGGTAAAGCAGACTGTAAATATCATCCAAAGTTCCTAAGGATTATGTAAGTACCGCCCTAGACTCTAGGCGCTACTGCGGAATCTCACCGAGAAGTAAACCTGGAAGAAATTCAGTGAAGTTTTCTGTCTTCAACCACAGAAGCCATTTCACCCTCTATTCATCCAATGGTAAAGCAGGTCACTGACAGCGAGATCTCAGAACCCAGCTGCTGAGTGAAGCAGCACCGCACCTGTAAGAGTTGTGCTGTTCACTGTATCAAGGGGCAGTGGGTTTTGATGGAAGCAGTTAGGTTATTACTGTTTTTTTTAAAGTATGATAATGATATTACGATTATGTTTTTAAAATGTTACTTATCTCTGAGAGAGAAAAAATATTTATAGGTGAAAAAAACGAGGTGATTCAAAATAATCTGTGGAAAGGGAAAGACAATACACAATTGTTTATATACGGATATTGTTGAAGCTGAGTAATGGAAGCACAAAGCGGGTTCATTATACTAGCTCGTTTTTGTGTATGTTTGCTATTTTCGAAAGGAAAAAGTCACTAATAAAAAGGACACAAGGGAAAGAAAACACGTGCCTTAGAGTCTAGTTCCAGCTTTGCTGACAAACTGGCCTTCGGGGCTTGGTCATTCTCCAGGTTTCAGTTTCTTTGTAAGACAAGGTCATACTCATCACAGTCCCTTCCAGCTCTCACCATTCTGTAAGTCTGGCACAGGGAACGTGCAGTGGTTTTGTAACAGCTGCATTATTACATCAGCTCCTCTACAGCAAGAGAAAGTCAATGAGGGCAGGTGGAGGGTGTGGAGAAACACCCTAAAGGATGCTGCAGGTTAAAGGGCGCGGCTCAGATATGGGCTGCGAACTGGGACAGCCACAGGGGTCATCTTGGTCGACAGCAGAGCTGGATGGTTTCACAGCCAGTGAGCCCGCAGGGAGGAGTTTAACAGGAGTGGAGGGGCCATGCGGTGCATCTTGTGCTTAGTGCACACCGTGTTCCGTGGACACCGCAACATCTTCAAGTGCCCAAGAATGAGCAGTCAGTTTTGACGTTCACAGCCCGCACACTCTGGGCAATGAGTCTTCAACGTGAGCCATTTTTATCATTAATAAGTTAAATTTCCCGTTTGATAGCACTTCAGTAAATATCAGTTAAAAAATAAGTATTTTGGCCTTCACATCAATTATATGTAGAACAAGTATGTACAGATAAGAAAGTGATGGTTCCGGCTCACAGTTAATACTAAAATTAAAGAGAACTCAAAACGAGTTGTACTGAAAGAGTGGCTGTCTTTTTTTTTTTTTTCCTTTCCCTAACAAAAAGACCGACCAAGCTGCCTCTCGGCATTTCACTGTTTAAAAACTAGGTCTTTCAAGCCTTTCCTTTGTACTGTGAGTCTTTCGCTTACTTCGCTATCAATTTGATCCTTCAAGATGGAACAAGGAGTGAAAATGACGGAAATGTATGTTGGCAGATTTTGTTATTAAGATCTAAGTTTCGTGGGAAAAATACACTGCAACTAAGGAATAAAGCCAAAATCATGAAATTCAGTGAACACGTATTCAAGGAATACTAAAAGCAAGGTACTATAATAGATGTTGTGAATTCAAAAGACGGAGACAAGAAGCCTTGGTGTTCAGGCGCTTACAGCTGTTAGAAGTTAGTAGATTTCACTGTCGGTTTCACATATATCCTCTAACCCCAGATTAACACGGGCAACTGTTATGTAAGTACGTACATACACATACATACATGCAAACACATACATACATGCGTGTACAGGGGGAGAGCCGCTGAGATGCTAACATACACCAACCGATGGACACGTTTATTTCAAAATCTCTCTGCCAAACACCCACCAGAGCAATAACATTCTCCCACTCTAGAAATGATGTTGAATAGAAAATTTCAAAGGTCCTTTCCAGTTTTACCTTAATAACTCACTGAAAATAGAAGTCTGAATAAATAAAGTGAACTAGGTTGAGGAGGTAAGAATCTAATTTCAAGATTTAATTCCTTGTTATTTGCTAAACGTTTCAGGTCTCTGTTTAATAAAGGATATCAGAGTTGCAAAACCAACCCACTTCACCTTCAGGGACTTCCTTTTTATCAACTTAGGAAATTAATCTGTTTTCAATAAAAGCTCCCATTAAGAGACAGAATTTCTGCTCTTTGAGACTTGTTCAATAGGCTAAAAATTTAATTTTCTCTTGGAATCGAAAGGATTCTTACGTCAAGCACAGATCCAGAGAGATCAGCTCGTTCAAGATTGGCACAGCAGAGATTAGCGTGGGCAAGATTGCAGCGGCTTAAATTGGCCATTTTGAAGTTAATGTATCGAAGGTCCAAACGAGAAAGATCAGCACCACTGAAGTTTAAGCCCTAAAATTAAAAAACACAAATTGTCACAATATTTAAACCATTTGCTGTATTAAATTTAATTACTATAGTAATTAAACCACCATTTTTTTTTAGAAGCAATTGGCAGTTGAGTCATTCAAATGAAACTTAGACATATAAAATCAGTGTTCTGAATGGGTTCTCAAACTCTATTTACACATAATATTTAGAACGCTTCCTGGCTTTACCTCATTTATGTGCAGAAGTTTCTAAAGGGTGATCTCTGTTAGCCACATACCTGTTGATAAGTATTTTTATTAAAGCTGACTGTATTTGAATTATTTTATTAATTCAGTAATTCAAGATTATTTTATTTTTAAAAAGTGAGTATTGTGGTTTTTAAAATTGTTAGTGCTATAATGCATACAAGTTATCTCCCACTGACTAGCCACATGTAACAACTGTACAGACAACTTTTTATTTTAATTGCTGAAATTCTATGTTACTCAAAAAACTGCTGCATGAGGCATAAACAATAAAAAAAGCCATTATGACTTTTTTTTTTGCTAACCATTTTAAGACTAAATCACTGCTGTGACCATCATTAATTGTATCTTGCATGAAAAAAGAAAATCAGGCAAGAAAGAAATTCCCAGAAGAATATTAAACTTCACTCACAGATTTGCTGACACAAGTAAGTCACGTCAAAGTCTCCTTTAATTACCTGGCAACGCAGTTCTGATTTGGTTGGAGTGGCTAGCAGAAATCGGACAAATTCCTTCCGAGATATTGGTGAATGATCTTCTGGTGGTTGAGAATTCTTGAAAAACATATTGATCAATTTAGTGGAGCATTCTTGGGAGATAGCTACAGTAAATGGAATATTTGCCTAATGTCAGAAGAGCCTTACCTTTATCGCTACTTCTAGGTGTTCAATCAGTGAGTCGATCCCAAAAAACCTGGCTTCTTCTAACACACCTATCATAATAAAAACGATCTGACTTTATAGAATGCTCTTCATTTTAATATTTATAGAATTCTTTGTTAAATTCTCACGATAGAAATGAAATTCAAAAAGTAGGCTATCCATCAACATAGGAGAAAGTAACTAAGGTTTAGAACATATATAGAGAACATTTTAAAATAAACAAGTATTTACATATAGCAAAACAAAACTAATGAATTAGAATGAAAAATTTCAACATTTCAAAATTATTTCTGAAAACTACTTTAAATAGGTCACAGGCAAAAAAGTCCTAATATCAGATGTTCCTAAAATAATTGATACAGTGATTGGTGAACCCAGCAATCAACATTGCATTGACTTTTTCAATGAAGCACATCTGAATAGGTTTGTCACAAATCTCTTTTACTTACTGATTTGGAAAATTACAGAAATGAATAAAAGTAAGCCAGCCTTCAAAGCAAAAATTAAACGTATAATTCAGAAACTTTTTTTAATAGGAGAATCAATTTTAAAAAATGATTTCTATGTGATAAAAGGGATTTTATGTATCATTTACTTTTCTTAATTTGTAAATACAAAAATAAAAACAAAAACAAACTGTACATTCTCCTGGTGGCTTGATACATATACTTTCTCACAGCTGTTAGTAAACATCTTCATCAGAGTATGTGGGAATAAATCTGGAATCCACTCTCCTTCAAATGAGGACCTCAGTCACTCAGCAGGCTGAGTCCACTTGAAAACTACTAAGATCTCAGAAATCAGAGAAATAAGAGATCTAATCCTTCCCTTCAGATGGTTCCAAGCTAGTAAGGGTGTAGGAAGAGAAAATCACAACAGTTATTTGGGAAGGTTATGATCTTCTCTGGAAAGACCCAACTCCACCTTCAGTATTCCAACTGCAAAGCAAAGGTCACGCGATGGACAGCACACCATTCAGGGGGCCACCCAGGCCCAACACCGTCCACCCGCACCAGAGTGGCGCCACCCTGGGTTCCTCACTGTCTGTTCCTGGCAAACAGATCACAAGAGGGGTTCCGCTGGGCCCCGTGCTCAGTGGGCCAAGATCTTCTGAGTAAGTCAGGACCTCCCAGCAAATGCAGTAGAGATTTTTTTCCCCCTCATCTTAGGTTCAGAACTAAATCTTAAAAACTTCCAGAAAAGCCTTAACACAGAAGGCACCCATGAGAGACAGTTGAGGAAGAGAAGGAATATTTAGTGTTTTTTTTTTGTTAGCACCGGCACACCTTGGACTTGAATCCCAGTGCTCCAGTTTTTCGTCTAACAGAAGCTACTTCATTTCTCCCTTAAGCTCATCTGCACATTTGTGAAATGGGGATATTATGACCTTCCTTGTGAAGTTGTCAAAGTGTTAAAAGAGATAACCTGTATGTATTGTCTGGTATAATGCCTGGGCCCCTGGTAGGTCCTCAGTAAATGATCACCATGATTATTACTAGTATATTAGTATATGATGATATGTGTTAATATATAAATTAATAATTATTAAATTATATGTTTTCTGACACTTGGGAATGTTCTCTTTTTACTTTATCAAATTAGGTTCAGAAAATTCATGTTAACTTAACAGAAATAAATACTGAAATGCTAGAAAAGTTCTTGAGTTAGGAGAACACTTGGATTAAGGTGAGATTTAGGGAGGAGATAGGGAAAAGCTGATTTAAATCAGGGAAAGAGGATTTTGAAGACAAATGCAAGAAAAGGAAGACATGCGTCACTGGAAAAAGACAGTCATTAGGGGTCGGGGACAAAGGGGGATCATGAAGGTGAAAACATATTCACCAATGAAAACACAAATTAGGAAGGATAAGAAACGAGGTGGGGGGAAGAGAAATGAGTTACTATAGATTATTTCAAAGCACGTGATTGCTTGGGGCAGCTTGTAGCCCATGTAAAGTGTTTGGATGGAAACTGTTCTAATTAAAAACAACGCTTTATAAAATGAATCCAGGAGATGCTCTGCCTGCTGAATGGCTGAATAAGGAAGAACAATGGCTGGCAAACGTGACAAGGGAAAACAAGGGAGGCTGGTAAGAGCCCGCCTTGCTGAGGTCTGACGTTACTTCCTAGGCAGGGAGGCCCTGAGATGCTATCTGTGACACAAGAAAAATTAAAATGCGGTGCCTTCAAAGAACCCACTGGCCATCTAAAGGTGAGGCGTGAATGTCCTCAGAAGAGGGTGGGCTATGGGAGTGAAAGGCAGCAGACTGCTACAGGTGCTGAAAGGAAAGGCTCTGAGCAAGCGTGCATCGCTGGTTATTTTTATAACAATCGCTGCAGAATGGCTAAAGTGAAAAATCGGCTGTAGAGGGTTTAAAGCAACGGTTGGTAGAAGGTGAAGAAGAAAAGCAACAAGAATGCAGTTATGGACAGTTATGGCGCTAGAGGAAAGGGTCAAACCTTATCATTATTTTTGCAGTGGGTAAGCTCTAAAGGCAATATAAAGTCTAATAGAACAATAACGCCAGTTACTGAGCGTTTCACATTTCACTACAGAGATATAAACTAGCAGCCCCCAGGCTGATTCTGATGTGTTTGCACGTAGTGTTTTGAAAATCAGAAGATTTCATATAAAATTTTAGATTTCCAGTTTTTCTTTTAAAATCAAGTTTTTGTTTTTTTTTTTTAAATCAATCTTTTAAAACCCTGAGTGCACATACCCCCGTGACAAAATCTGTGGAGGGTGCACTCAAGATCACCACGTTCCCACCACTCCTGAGGTCAGACCAGATTCAGGCACGGGGAGGCCTGTGAGCTGACCATGCAACCACTGCTTTGTAAGGGCTGTCGTCCACCTTGTCTCCACTGACCTTCACAAAAATCTGTGATATGGTCAGGGATCAGGGTATTTTTAATGCTCAAGTTTCAAAGGGGACTCAGAGAGACTTCCCCCAAGTTAACCTTCTAATAAGTGGTAGAATCAAGATTCTAATTCAGTCTTATGACTCTGAAGTATAATTTCCTCTTCTGAATGGGAAGGTCCATAACTGAACCCAAGTGACAGTCACCATTCAATTGAAAATACAACAAAAAATACATAAACAAGTTAATACTGTATAGCACAGGGAAATATATTCAATATCTTGCAGTAGCTCATGGTGAAAAAGAAAAAGAAAATGAATATATGTATATTGATGTATGACTGAAGAATTGTGCTGTACACAAGAAACTGACACAACATTGTAAATTGACTATAACTCAATAAAAAAAGTACAATGACAAAATCCTTTAGAGTCTTCACTGATACAATCTAAATCTTTTAGAGTCCTTACTGATAAATCTAAATCTATTTAGAATGTAAAAATCAGAATTTATGGGTTAGAGATATACCTGGAAGACTATCTGTGCCTACATATTCCTATACAAGTAAAAACATTCAATTTTATTTGTTTTTAAGCTTTTGGGGGGGGTGATAAACAGGTTTGTTTGTTTATTTAAACAGAGGCACTGGGGATTGAACCAAGGACCTCGCGCATGCTAAGCTCACAGTCCACCACTGAGTTATACCCTCCCCCCCCCAAACTGTTTCTAAAATGGAAAAGATACTTTCACTATATGAAAATACACTATATGACTAAGCAAGTGAAAAGAAAATAAAAATCCTAAACTTATAAAACTGTGAGAAATCATACTGACAACTCACCCAACAAATTAATACCATCATTTACGATGAGCTGTCCGTGACGCAGGTAGTTCAAAATGGGTTCAAAGTACTCAGGACTTCGGTCAATTAAGAAGGCTCCTCTATGATCTTGCTTATTTCCCCAGACGCCTGTGGGACCATGAAAATGAAGACAGCCCCCCCATAAACAAAAGACAAAGTTAGAAACTTATGGAAGGGAAATTATGCAATATGCCAGTAACTTTCTACTCTTGTAAAAATCACTGACAGCATTAAAAAGCACAGGACGACAGGGGTTATTACAGCTACAAAAAAGAGACCAAGTGTGAGAACCAGATGCTTGCCGTACTCACCTCTGTCCTTGAACATGTGGGCCAGCATACTGTCGGGCTCTTTGTTCACTAAAGTGCTCCTAAGAAGTCAGGGGGAAAAAAATGGGTTTCTTCATTTGTCTTTATAAACAAACATATTTAAGTCAAGCGTCTATTTGATGCCAGCTGCTTTCTCAAAAAGAGGCATGCTATAACCTGGGAGGAATGATGCCGGGAGACAAAAAATGTCCCCTACGTTACAATTTATCAAAATCCCACCTAATCTGGCACTTCCTTTGACCCAAATAGTGGCTTGGTTTCCTTTCACTGAAGCGCTAATCTGTCCTATAGCAAGCTACATGAAACAATTTTCTTGATCTAAACTTACATTTTCCTTATCCCTTAGTATAAGCAGTTGTAGTCTCTGCAGATTTCAGTGTTGTTAATTTTTCTCTTGTGTTGCATGTATGTTACTCAGTATTGAAAAAGCATATTCTAAAACACTAAATTCATGCTTTTCCTCCTTTCTCTGGAATGATGAGTGAACTACTTTTTTACTCTTTTCTTTAAAAAAAAAAACTTTCTAAAAATTGGTTTCAAATCACACAGGATGTTTAGGTAGCACTGAAATATCTAAGGAAATCAGCCAATTAAAGGGAAGAACCAACAGGACACGGTGTCCTCTCGGCACCCACGTGCACCTACCGTGTCGTTGTAAAGTACCGCCCTCCAACGTTTAACGTCAGCCAGTCTGTGTGGGCTCCTGACAATCCTTCAGGTGGTTTAGAATCTGTCTGAGGATCTAGAGATGACATACAGGAAAAAAAACAAAAACAAAAACATCAAGATTGGGGGTCTGGGGAAGATGGCAATAGCATCATTTTCTAAACTAATAGCACACGTTAAGAGCATGACAGAGCTACTTGGACGCAAGCCCCACAGCCACCGACAGCATCTAAAACACAGCCAGGGGACAGGTATTCCCACCAGCACCGACAGCCAGAAGACAGCGTGGTGTCAGCATCCCTGACAGAAGAAGCCGGGAGAAACAATGGAGTATGTGATGAACGTACGAACTCCACATTAATCTGTAAATACTCACTGCAAAACTCAGCTACTTGAGAAAAGAGGACTGAAAGTGGGAGGGGCAGGCCCAGTCCAGCCACAGGTGATTCAAGTAGTTTGTAGTAAGATTTGAAGAAGCTGGAAATGGACTCTCAACACCCACCAGCCAAAAACCCGCATCCAGGACAAAGCCCCAGACTAAGGATACGAGGTTGGGAAAAGAATCCAAGTTGAACAGATCAGAGGTGAAAGAAAAAGAAGCTGAGGTAAAAGTCAAAAAGGTCTAACAGAACCAAAATACATCAGAAGGTGATTTCCATATTTTTAACACTTCACAGGAACAACAGAAAAGGGAAATCTAGAGCCATGAAATCAGAAAAACTTTCCTAGGTCAGCCCTCCCTTCTCCAAGTTAAGGAAAGCTAATTTCATGTAAAAATGAACAGAAAATGCCATACAAAATTATTAAAAGAACAGGAAGAATTACACCCCGGTAGCCAATGAAAATATGCCAGAAAGAAATGCCCACCAAACAGATAAACTATAATCTAATATTCTGAAGATGCTAAAAGAAGTACATCATCCAAGGTATGAAAGAACATAAACAGAATCACAAAATTCAGAGAAGAGGCACGAGAACTCAGGAGAGATTAGAAATAAAAAGGAACACCATTTTGGAAATGAAGGTTAAATTCGAAGAAGCAGAGGAATGAAAGAACACACAGAAAGTGCCTTAAGGAAAAATGACGAAAAAGAGGAAAACTTCAAAAATCAAAAAGAAATGAAGAAAGAGAGTAAAAGAATTTAATAGATTGCAAATACAGAAGAAAGTGCAGGAGATCCAACATATATACAATAGCAGCCCTTAAAGAAGAAAACCAAAGCATGGTGACAAAATGCACGAAGTTCAAGAAAACGTTCCTTAAAAAAAAAAAAAAAGTGAACTACACATGGAAAGGGCCCACCACATACCTGAGAGAATCAACCCAGAACGCCCAGAAATAGTTTACTAAAATTACTGTACTTTAAAGAAAGGGAATAATCCTTTGGGTAACTTAGGAAAAATATTCACTTATGAAAGATCAAATTTTTTTTTAACACCAACACTCTACGCCAGAATAAAATAGAGTAACATATTTATGATATTTAAAGAAAAATAATGTGAACCAAGGATTTTTTTAGCAACTTAATTGAGGTATAACTGATATACAACAAACTACGCATATTAAAGTTTGCAACTTGTTCAGGTTTGACATATGGTTTTAGACTAGACAGGCTGACTTTTAACTACAGAAGCCACATGCAAGATGTCAGAGAACACAGTTCTCACAAGTTCTTTGTCAAGAATCTACCAGAGAACAAGTTGCAGACAACTACTGGAGGCATCAGCCTAAGGGCTGGAGAAGTAAAGTTAAGTAGTTGTTTTAAGGGAGACAGTAGAGTATATAATGTTGCATATATATGTATGTGTGTGTGTGTGTGTGTATATATATATACACAGATATATATACACACATACATACATGTGCACCACTGTATATGGTATACAGTAATAACATTCTGACAATGGAGAGACAATACAATTATTTTTTAAGTAAAGAAAGAAAGGAATGACCATATTAAAAAATGTTTACCTGTCTTTAGTAGTCTTATTGGTACTTGAAGTATTGGGACTGTTACTGAAACTTTAATGTTTTTTGTGTAGGATGAAGTATTTATGTGACATTATAGCTGCATCATGCCCTGTGTCCCTGAAAATCAGGATTACTGATATGCAAGAAAGGAGATCTAGATGTAAGACAGAAGCAGTTAAATAAAAAACCCTATAATCCTAGTTATTAACCAAAGTATTAGTGTGAACCCATGAGATATTTTATCTACGTGTTATATATGATATAGAACTTTATATTTCTTATATGTTAATTTTATCTGTAGCTAGCTATGTATTTCCAACTCTGTCCACCAAAAAGCCCAATGATGAGGATAAAATCAGTAGCAATGGGCCTCCCTAGCACCAGGATTGTGTCTTGAAATGACATTTCCCACTAAAAGAAACCAAGGCTTCTTGGAAAACACACTGATCTGGGTTTAGAATAAGAGAAGTTTAAGACAAACACTTTGCTATTACAGGTAGTAAGGGAACTGTGAAAGATTAGTGGGGTTGTGTGAAAAGGACAAGGACTGAAGGGATTTCCACTGGCCCAAAGGAAAATAATCTGGGTATCAATAAACCCGGAGGATGAAAACATACCAAGGATTTTTAAATCCAAAAGTTCATAATGATAAAACTAAAATACGCACTAGTTAGTACTTTTTATTTTGTGGTTTGTTTGTACGCATGCAATGAACCAATTAAGTGACCACTGCCTGCTAACCACTCTGTTGGGCTAATGGGTAAAAAAGACGAGAGAAAAGTTTTGCTCACAGTTTTAAGGCAGAGATAGAGAAGACTATGCACTTACTTCTAAGTTGGCAACTGCCTGTGTGATGATCCAGAGAACTACCTCCATTCACCAAATACCATTATTGTGATGGCTTAAAAAAATACTTAAATATTCAGGATGTGATTGTCTGGAACTAAATACACCAAATATTCATTAAAGAGTATTTACCTTTTTTAAGCCTCGGGCTGTATTTTTTGAGGTATACACTGGATAAGCTTTCTTCCAAAGGAAAGGGTATATAGTACCTGTATGTGTGGATGTGAGCGTGGTTGACACCAAGTCATTTTTGACTGATTTGACTGCTATGAATGATTGGCAAACATTAATTCTGCAAGCAATGCATGCTTAAAAGTATGTAACAACATTTTGATTACTATCAAAGAGAAAATTTCAAAACAAAACAGCTATCTAAAATCAAAACTACTCTATCATGACATGTTTAATGAATATGTGCACATCCATAGCATTTTAAAGGCACGCAGAAGATGGGGTCTCCACATTAAAATATGATCATATAATTCAAGTCAAAGATTTACTTTCACAGCCCCCTCCCCCACCCCGATGCAGAATCAGGAAAAGTATGAAGAGCTGAATACGGCCACAAGATACTTTTAAGTGTTACGCTTAGTAAACCTATGAAAAATATTTGCCATTTCATCTTTTTTATTTCAGCAGACAAAACTGGCTTTTAAGGATGTCACTTACCAATAAACGGTTCTCCTTCACACACAAACAAAACATCATCATCCCTGGGGAAATCAAAATTTAAAAAGCCACCATCAAAATCCAGAAATCACATTAATTATCTGTTGACTAGAGGAACTTTTCCTTAGAGTAAATGCAGAAGACGGCAGAACCTATGAATCTATATTGCAAAGAAGCTAACTGAATTTCCAGTGCTTTTTGTTTAAACCCAGGTCTTTTACGCCTCTTCCTTTCCAAAATTCTACGATGCTATGAGGATGGAATGAGCTAAACTAGACACTCGTTTTAAAGAGATAAATTTGCCTAGGATATTTGAGAAACAAAAACAAAACCCAAACAAACCAAAAACCACTATTGTGGTAACTCACTAGTGAGTTAACACTACCTGACATTCTATTTTATTTAGCAAATTTTCACCAAAGCAGGTCTCTGTGATGTTTATAAAATTCAGACAAGATCCCGCACATGAAGGTACTTCTGAAATGCAACAAAACAAAACCCACTATACAAATTATGTGAATTCAGTTTCTTATCAATTGAAGAATATACTATTATGCTCAAAGGATAGGATTAAAGCTACAGACAACTCTTGTCTTTTTTTTTTTTTACTTTAGTTCTGTAACTCTAAATAAATTATTGGGGTTCTCTCCCAAATTATCAGCTGCTTTGTGCTTTGGAAAGGGAAATACGTTTCCGTACTAAATCTAGGAAGAATATAACTGGAAGTAACTGCTGTAAACACTCACCCACTATGCCCACCACACTCCCAAATGTAAATAACTGCCCATAATCTGAAAATCTGGATTATCAGTGTATATCCTCCTCCCCGGCCCACCTCACCTCGCCCTGCCATTAGTATAAATAAATGATCAGGTTGTACCGTGAACCACAAATTATTAAACAGGTAGATGAAGGTATGATATGATACAATATAATATATATTATGTTTATTTCTTGTCCTAGCTCTTTTTTTAATTGAAGTATAGTTGACACACAATATTATGTTAGTTTCAAGTGTACTACATTGTGATTTGACAAATACGTGGAATGATCACCACGATAAGTCTAGTAACCATCTGTCACCATTCAAAATTATTACAGTGTTACTGAGTATATTTCTTGTACTGCATATTACATTCTTGCGCTTTCTCTATTTTATAACTAGAAGTTTGTACCTCTTAATCCCCTTTACCTATTTCACCCAGTCCCCCTGCTTCCTCCCCTCTGGCAAACACCGGTTTGCTCTCTAAACAGATAGATACTTTACAGCTCAGAAAGCTTCAGCTATGGCCTTCTTCAATTATGACCTATGTTGTAGAAATTTTTATTTCTGTAAGTATATAAATTATTCTATAAGACATCACAGGAACACACAGAATCTTTTTGGAAGCAGACTCTGTGTCAAGAAGAAATTTAGGTTGATATAAATCATTCAACAATGTGACCATTATCCATAGAAACTGAAAGAAGCTGGGCAATAGATACTGAAAAACTAAGAAACTCTCCTAATTTATTTGGATTTTAAATCTCTGTCTTTTAAGTCTACAATCTTTTTCTACTTGTTCACCATGCCAGTTAACTTTTTAAGACTAGTATCAAAATCTGTTTTCCTCTCATTACCAAAAATCAGCTGTTAAACCATACGACCTGGGTAGGTCATTTAACCTCTCAGATGTTTAGTTTCCTCATTTATAAAATAAAGGGACTAGAAGTGGTTAACTTCAGAGGCAGTATTGTTACATTGAAAGGTCTTTCTGACCTGGGTTTAAATGAAAATTAAACTTTGTAAACTACCATCATTTACACCACTGTCTTCACACCATCAATTTCAGAAAGTCCATGCTTTGCCAATTGAGTGAGGTAGCTTGTGGGCAAAGCAAAGACAACGTAATCGGTGTGGGCAGTACTTAATTTGTGTTCCATCTTCGTTGTTAAGCCTCTTCCTGCTCCAAAATTCTACAGTGTTCCCACAAGGATGGAATGAGGTGAACCATACACTGGTTTTAAAATATGCCCAGGATATTTAAAACCAAAACCCCAACAAACCAAAACCACTATTGTGGTGGAACACTGGTGAGTTAACTCTATTTAAAACTCTGCCTTATTTAGCATGTTTTCACAAAAGTAGTGTTTATAAAGTTCAAAGCATTCTTAGGAAATGAATTGAATAATAAGCAGGAGCGTATCCAATTAAAGGCAGCGATTAGATTTCTAGCATTAAAAACTCATGTCTTATTAATTCCATCTCAAGTAACATAAAGCTTCCTCATAGCCACACATGCAAAAAGACTATCAGTGTATTGGAAGGTACTCAGGGTTTTCTATCTGATCAACGAACCAGAAGTCCAAGTTACTTAAATTCCAAAGAGCAAACTGTAGGCAATTCATTTGCCAAAAATCCTGCACTGTTAACACTGACTGAGCTACTGCTTAAAGGAAAGAGCACAGCACTGAGAGGTTGAGGGCACGGTGTAGACAGCTTATAAAAAGGTGAAGGTTACCTGATTAAAGCAATGTCATCAATCAGTCCACCTTTCCCATTATACACACTGGTGGCTTTTATGCCGAGTTTATTGCTGGCCACAGAAAGCAAATCAGATAAAGTTCCATAGACAGCGACCACCTGTGAACACACCAGATTAAGTTGAACAACGTATGTAGTGAATTTCGTCACTCACAAATTTGCAAACCACCACATGATAATAAACAAGACTAAAAATTCAGATTATCATAGAAAAGGAAATTTTGAGAAGTTTTTAACGGTGTCTCTGCTCCTTTTATGACTCAGATTATTTACTTAGCACCTAACACTGCTGAAATTCAAAACTAGAGAAACTGTCTCTAACTAAAAGACAATCTACAATCTTAAGGTACAGTAAATACGGCTCCTCTTCTGAGATTCTGCACCGGAATTTAGAGTCTGACACTTTCTAGCTGTCAACTGCAGACCATTTAACCTCCTTGTGCTTCTGTGGCTTTAACTAGAAAGGACGAAAACAGTCACACCTGTACCAGAAGGTGGTCACGAGGAAGAACCGAGTTAACGCGTGGTAAGAGCTTAGCGAAGTTCTGAGACCTATTAAGTCTTTATGATGTTGCTTTCACATTATTCCTTTGTTGAAGGAATGGCGGCTTATTTTTTAAACAGGAGAGATTTACTGTTTATTGTAACATTTACTACATCAACTACCATGTGAACGGTTAACAACTTCCCACCTCGTTTAACTTCAGTAATTATTTATATTATTTTATAAAAGCCAGATTTTGGCTAACATTCTAAATACAGCACAGAGCTGGGTTACAATGAGCTGCTCTGTCCTGCTTTAAATCAGGCACAGTGTGACACTCGTGCAAGATACCTGCAATTGCTCAGGCAAGGGGCTGAGACACTCCACAGGTAGTGACTTCTTTTTGCTCCAATCATAACTGTAACTAAGGGTTCCTAGTGGCTTTGTTGTATAATTGTACCATCATCAGTGAGGATCTCCGAAAGTTATGAATAAAAAGCAGCTGAGGAGCTGAACCTGCATCTGAGGCATCAACAGCCAACTGACTTGCCACAGGATACTGGATAAACGTGCCATATGTGATGAGAACCGGGGCTGGTCCTTTGTTCACTGGTGATGACTGGACTATTGTAGACACAGAATTTTTCATTAAGTAAGTGAAGTGAATTAGAGTATGGAGGGGGTTGTTTGCCAATATAGGAGTCTGCAATCTTTTAATAGCTGAGTATGCAGATTCAGCTCTTTTCTCTTAGATCATCACCTATGAGACGTGTTGCAAGCTGGGACATTTTGGGGAAGGACTGCAGGCGAGCACGATTTGAAGGGAACCAGGTGGGTTATTAAATGCATAGCCCAAATGCTCATAAACAGACAAATTGTGGTGTATACACACAATGGAATATTATTCAGCCATTAAAAAGGAATACAATTCTGATACATGCTACCACATGGATGACTCCTGAAAACATTCTGATAAGTGAAATAACCCAGACATATAAAAGGACAAATGTTGTGTGATTCCACTTACGTGAGGTACTTAGAAAAGACTAATTCATAGAGACAGAAAGTAGAATAAAGGATATTGGGGCAGAAGGGGCAGTGGAGAGTTATTGCTTAATGGGTGCAGTTTCTGTTTGGGATGATGAAAAAGCTTTGAAAATACGTAGTGGTGAGGTTAAACACATTGCAAATGTACCTAATGCCAATTAACTGTACACTTAAAATTGGCTAGCACAGTAAATTTGATGTTATGTATATTTTACCACGATAAAAAAAAAATTAACACACAGTACTTGGCCGTGTCTTGCACGCAGCAGACATGCCAGAAATGACTGAAGCCTGAAGAAAACGTGTCCCTCATATTTCCTGTCATTTTTACCTCTGTAACAGAGCCTGGAATTCTAACTATTATTGCAGACCCAAGTTCCTGGGAGAAAAGGAAGAGAAAGTATGCAAGGCGTTACACATAGCAAACCTGGTTGTGCTAAGGCAGAGGGCCTGAGAAGAGAAAACACAGAAAAGAATGTACCCAAAATGCCAAGGAGCCAACAGACTGACCAAAGCAAATGCAAAACAACTTCTGCAGTCTGGAAACTGACAGGGGAGGGTAAGAAAAATCCTCCTTTCCAACGTCAGCATTCTTGTCATAGTTGCTATCACACTAAGAATTCTCTAGATCTTTCTCTTTCTCCTCTTCCTTATCTTTGCTTGTTTATCTTTACATGGTTTTATTACTTTTCACTTCTCTCTCTCAAGCAAACATATCATAAAATGGATAGAAATTTAATATATCTCTATATATTATGCTCCCAGGTTTAAATATTAGAGCATAACACTTTCTATGACTTATTTTAAAAAAAAATACATCAAATTAAATTGTTTTCTACTTCTTTACGTTGACTGGATTTTTCCTGTGGGTCAGGTGTCTCCTGGGGAAAGTAAAAGCCCCCCTGCCATGTTTGAAAGCTAGCTACAAGCAGCTAAACTTCGTTACAATTAATTAAAATAAGTCAGTCTTTGGTTACACCAACCACACTTCAAGTGCTCAACAGCCACACTGGCTGGTGGTTACATATTGAACGATGTAGATATGGAATATTTCCATCATCACAGAAAGTTCTGTTGGACACTGCTGTGTATTAAAGAGCAGATTAAAGTGAAGAACAAAGACACAACTATTTTAGTTGTTTAAGTCGTCAGGCTTGACCATGCCATAGCAACCCACAGTAACAAAGTGACAGAGTCCAACTCAAACCCCATTTATCGTTGTGTATGGAGGGCTGACTGGTTGCCATCTTCCTCTTCTTCCCCAGTGAATTCAAATTTGATTGTAAGATTTAAAGAAAATACTCAACCCACACATCACACATACGGTTTGGCAAATTCAGGGCAGTCAAAGCACCCCAGGTGTTTCTTTGTAGGCTGCAAACTTTTAAGGAGCACATTCTAGATACAAACAGAGTTCACCTTTATTTTGTTACCACTTACATTAGCCCTAACGGTATCGAACAAAATGTATCATTTCACCAGTATTTTCTAATCTGATCTTCAATCCAGACTGTAAAGGTTTAATAAAAAATGTTAATCTGTAAATAGTTGTTATTCATTCTGTGAATTTAGGTAACCAACTATCCCTTATAATGGTAATGAGCAGCACTGAAGAAGTCCATCCCTGCGGACTCCTCAAATCTCTGACATGCAGAAAATGACCACAGCCAATTTAAAAAGGACCCCCTTAATTAAGCGCCTTAATATCTGCTTTATAGTAGGTCTCTGATAAATGTTTCTTGAACGCTAGATGAAATTTTCATTGCGTTCAGTGTTGAACAAGGACACGTGTTTTATGTGTGTCACTTATATTTAAATCCTTGCCACTGACATTAAGTTAAAAAACAAAGTACACAGTAGAAATGCAATTCTAAAGTGATGCTCATGTAACAATGCAAAGTGGCTATCTTTGGATAGTAGAATTAAGGTTCACTTATCTTCTTGTGAGTTTTTTGTTCTCAAGGGTTTGTACAGTGCATTGGTATTATTTATGCAGGAAGGGGGAAAAGTTGTAATTTAAGATCTCTATTGCTCTACATACTATATTGTAAAACATAGAATTATTTTAGCAGTTGAGAAGTAATCTAGTAATTGACACTCGTCTTTAAATGAAATAATCAAGGGGCCATCAATTTGATAAAAAAGCAGTGAAATTATAGCAAAAAAATCTTATAGTACTGCAAATTTGAAAATTTTCCCTTAAGCTGGGCAAACATACTTCTTTCTCATTTGAAAGGCATTTTTGGCATTTGTATTTCAACAAGATCACTTTAGCTTGACTCTCTCGAGCATAGTAAAACAAATAACACACAAATAAGATGGAAGTTTACTGCAGACGTAATACTCAAAATCTGTCTTTGATATAAACCAATCAGAATATCAGATTTTAAAATGTGATACACATGGAAAAGACTTTAAGTTGGTGAGAACGTTTCAAACAGACTGGCACATTTACCTTTCATTTTATATCAACTCTTTTGGGGGAAAAAAAGCAATGGAAATTTTGCATATCACAGACATGAGCTCTAATTGGTATTTACTAAGGTCACTTCAGTCCTCAGAGAGGCTGAGCATTTATAAAACGATCATGCTTACAGTCGGTATTTGCTTCATGTGAGTTACACTCCCTAGTGTGGACATGCGGTTTCCATGCCACTGTGATTATCCATCTTAATAACCTAGGCACTGTACTTAGAATGGAAGCATCCTATGGAGTAAATTGAGAAGCACGTCTATTAAAGTTGATGACCACTGTATTACACCACTATCTAACTTAATTCTTTCTAAATTTCAGGTCCCACTGAAATTTAGCTATCCACCAGTTAGGAAAGTAAATGGTATATACTGTGCCAAGCAGGACATGCCCGTTTAATGAAGTTTTAATTTGCCTTTAAACACTGTTTTCAAATTATAACTTATGTTATTCAACTTTAAAAGTAAAACCTGCACATGTATTTAAAACATGTTTTTCTTATATGCCCACAATTATCTATTATATAATGCAAAATGAATAAATACTCAGACTTATGCCAGCTGATTTATCCAACTAACCTACCAATCAGTTAATAACTAAATATAGAATCAATTTACTCTACGTACACTTTCAGTCTTAACATATTTAAAAATTAAAATTATTTCATTCCTAAAAAAGATGACCCTAGGTCAAAAAGACAAATATTAAAATAGTCCAAAAATTTTAAAGTCAGACAACAGCAAATGTGGACGAGTATATGGATCAATGAGAAGGTTTATGCAATGCTGGTGGGGTATAAAGTTAATGCAGTGACTCTGGAAAACAATTTGGCATTATTTAAAAAAATGAAACATTCAAACATCCAATAATTACAACTTACATATGTACCCTAGCCCAGTGGTCCTCAAAAGTGTGGTCCCTAGACCAGCGGCATTAGGATCACCTGGAAATAGGTTAGAAATTCCATTTCCTAGCCTTACCCCAGAACTAGCGAATCTAATGCTCCGGGGCTGGGGCCCAGCTCAGCCCCTCCAGGTGATTTCAGCTCGTGGTAAAACCTGCCAACCACTGCCCTCGAAAGATGCTTACACGTGTGCACCAGGATATAGAGGAACATTCATGGCCACAGTGTCAATTTCATAGCAAAATAAAATACAACCCAACTGTCCACGGACCTGAGAATGGATAAACTGTGATAGTACCTGTATACAATGGAATACTGTTATAAAGCAATGAAAGTGACTAAACTTTCACTAGGTGGGATATTACGGATGAAATCTTGGAAATATTACAGTGAATGAAAAATGCAAGTCCAAAAAGACTTTATATGATGCCAACTTAGGATATGATATGCCCAAAGCTGACAAGACAAAGAAATATACAGTTTAGTTATAGACACATATGTGGCAAAACTGTTTATTGAAAAAGAAAAAAAAGGCAAAGAGAAATACAAAATTCATGAAATTGGCTGTCTTTAAGGGAGAAGCAGGGAGACAGGAAAGTGATGAGCACATTAAGTTTTTAGTAACGAGCTATTTCTTGTTTTGTGTGCTAGGTTTACTGATATTTGTTACATTACTTTCCTTTTAATTTCTATGCATATTAATATTCTTTACTGTATTCTCTGATATGTATCAAATACATTTTTAAACCATTTGAATTTGAACAAGTTTCTTAATGATGTTTAGATTTCAATAGGCAAAGCTTCACATAGACTTTTCACCTTTCTTCAACTCAACACAATGAATTCAAATCTGGATACTGAATACCAACCACACATTTCTCACCTAATATCAAAGCCAGAAGAACACAGTGATGTTCTGGACCAAGACTGTAAACATCAGTACAGAATTAAGATAGATTTCATATCCCACTATGTCTGCAGTGTTCTTCATACAAAGATGGTACTCACTAAGTGTTGCCTGGATGAATAAGACTTGTACAGCTCATTGCTGAATAGTCTGAAGTTAAAAAAAAAAAAGCAACTTATGTCCAAGATGCACTGAAACTTTGAATTGTCATCAGGTTGCTCAGAAGCCACTCACTGCGTTCAGAGGTCTGAGTCCTCATTTCAAATTCCTGAATGCCAACCATTAACAGAGAATATTAAAAAGAGATCAGGAATTCTGAGGCATATAGAGAAAGGATGAAAAGGTCAAACCTGACTGACTCTTTTAGAGCAATTTTTAAAAATTGACATTTAAAGATCCCAATTTTTAGGTATGGCCTTCAGATTTTTTTTTACAATGTAACCCAAGTGTGACACATTTTTGGGTGTGTGCTCAAACATTTGTACGCTTATTTACTTATTTATAAAGTACACACTGCTGTCAGGAAGAATGTTTCCCAAATGATATGAGGACTTTCATTGACTTAAGACTATAAATCAACCAGTCAAAATCCCTTAAAATGTTTATCATCAAATTTAGTGAAATTTTGGAAAATACAAGATTGACTTTAAACATTTAAAAAAAAAAGGAAAAAAATCTGACGGTCTTTGTGTGCTGGAAAATACTTATAAGTGTTCGCTAATTGGGATGACATCCTATCATGGGCTAATATTTCAAAGAAGAATATACACTTAACTGCTCCTAACAGTAAATCGTTAATAGCAGTTATTAAGTAGGACTTCACGTAGTCTTCTTTAAAAAGAGGGCATTTTTGGCCCTTTTCTCAGATCCAGAGATCCACTGTGTTTTAAAAAATCTGATAGTTTATATTAATTAGAAGTGGCATCTCTGCTATTTCCTGGTGGCTTTCTTGTGCCTGCAAAATTAACATTGTCTTCAATCTGCATCTTTTTTTTGCAGGAATCTTGTAATGCCACTCGGCATTTTGATGAGGGTTAATTTATTTAAAACAGGATACATACAAGTCTTAACCCGGCACTTGTAAGCTTCAGTACAATATGCCAAAGGGAACCAACCAGTGAAGAAGTCGCTATCAACTTTTTCACAGGTGAACCCACTCCTTTCTCTCCGAAGACTTGAGGCCAGCTCACCTAGGCAGTGATCGAACGCACCTGCGTCTTTCCAGATTGGAACAATCAAGCCTCGATACTGTTTTATATCTTTAAGTAAAATAGATACATAAGAGGTATAATATTTCTTCTTAAACTCTACTGAATCCTCTTGCACACCCTCTGGGTGTACCATCTCACTCTGGAAAACGCTGTTTTAGAGAATGCATGGCCCTCTCTTCCACATGATAGCACTCACTAGGTCACATTTATGTTCATTCAGTGTATGGAAAAGTCGTGGTGAGCATGTGATGTCCCCTTCGGTGACTCTGTGCCACCCCAGGCATCAGGGCCCAGTCTGGCAACCACTGAACAGGCTTTAAATGAAGGAAACTTACTTGAAAAAAACAGGCATTACTCTGACAGCCAGGAAACAAAAACAGAATCTACGTAAATAAGGAGACAATGAAATGACACATATTCCAACTGGTGGATAGGAAACCAAACTCAGTCTCTAAGTAGTGCTTTGTTTCAGCTTCACGAAGATCATGTCAAGATCATGCCAATCCTGGCTTAAACAGTCACTATTTATATAAAAATGCAGGCTGTTATGTATTATTCTGCTCTCTTTCGTCACTATAATGTTATTTTTTTAATTAGCTGAAGGGAGAGGAGAGGAAACACTGACAATTTTGGCAGAGAACATGTTTTTCAGTTAAGAGTAAGGATTATGGCATGACTTATTTTTAATACTGAATCACACCAGTATTTTCCAGTTTGGGTTTTTATGATCTTTGTAACATAAACATCTTTAGTTACTTGAGTCTTTTCCCCAATCTTCTGAGATTCTCGAACAAAATGTTTTTCAAGGAAATAATTTTAAATCCAAAAACATAACCCAATCAAAACTAGACAGCTTAAAAAAAACTTATTAAAAAAGACTGACCCTGCCAATTTTTGACAAGAACAAAATTCAGTAGTTTCAGAAGAGATTTAGAGCAGTTAAATATTTACACCTGGGTCCAAACAGCTTATCTTTCATAGAATAACACAGCAGAAATGTCGAATACAGGGTTCAACCAGAGGTCTGTTTTCAAGAATATATTACAGTTTTAACACTGGATATACTAAATCTTTCTTCAAGTAACACTATACGTTTTGGATTACCAGTAGTAGTTATTAACAGACAAAAACAAGTTTGGAAGAAGTTAGCAAATGGCCAGAAATAATGTGACTCTCATGAAGCCTATTTTGAAGTGGCATTTATGAAAACTCGAGAATCTGAATTTATGCCAGCTGTTTTTATATGAGGATTAAATCTCAAAGACCAGAAGACTGCAAAATTCTAGTCAACAAACTACGGTGTGGTTTAAATTTTTAGAGCACGTTTACTCAAAATTGCTGGGTAGCTGGAAAGCCTTTTTTTTTTTTTAATACCGTGGCACAATTACACTATTTAAAATATTACAATGTTTCCAAAATATGCAGGAAACAAAATATTCTGTCCAATAAGACAGTAAAGGCCAATCTGCCTCCACCTCAGACTCTAAGGTTTATTTATTTCTAGGTGTCTTTTAGCCACACTATAAATGTCTGCCATGAACAAATTTTCCAAAGAAGCCGAACAACTTTCCTGGGTGGGGCGAGCGGCTGAGAAGGAACAGGACTCATTTTGGCTTGCTTCAGCGTTGGAAAAATATTTATCACCACACCCTCCAGAGGAGCCTGACAGAGCAAAGAGTCATAGCAAATCAAGCAACTTGAGTCTGTTGTCCCCAGTCCTCTAAGCAACTAAAATAAGGCGAAATAATAAAGCGAGTACATAAGTTTGGCAGCGGCGGGACTTGGGGCTCCTAAAAAGGGGTGGGGGGGAACCACGAAGGAAATGTCACTAATTTTCAATCCTTTTAATCGACCTAGGATAGCAGAGTATTGTATTTATCCACTGAAAGTTTAGTTCTGTTCACCTGATCGACCTTACGTGCCTTAGCTGTTACCACCACTTTCCGGAGCAGACCATTACTCAGCAGGAAGGTGGAAACCAGCGGCTTCTCCAGCCAAGGGTAGGGGGCAGCGGGGTCCTGGGGGAGGCGGGAAGAGGCGCATCCAGCGCACAGGTGACAGCGGCCCTCCCCACGCCCTCCCAGTCCTCGGCTCTCCAGGACCCACACCTGGGCTTGGGGACGATTAAGCACAAGCCGACCTGCGCCGGTCCCGAGGACAGCCGGGGAGTCCAAGGGCAGGCTCGGGAAGAGGCCTCGGGGACCCGGCGGCCGCCGCCTCCCGGACGCCCTTTCCCCACGCCGGCGCACGCCCACCTCCCGGCTCCCAGCCCCTCTGCCCAACTTCAGCCCTCTGCCCCGCGAGCCCGCTCCGCACTCCGCTGCCCCGGCCCCCGCAGCCCGGCCCGCCTCGCCTCCTCCCGACCCCCTTACCTTTCCATTCTTGGGGCTGCCGTTAAGGAACAGGGTCACCCGCCTCATCGCGCTGCCCTCACTGGGTCCTGAGTGAGTCGCCACCCTCCCACCTGGCTCTCCTCCCACCTTTTTCTCTCCCGCCCTTCCCCTCCCTCCCTCCACCCGGACTCTCCTCCCTTCGCCACCTTCCTTCCCTTGCAGACACACACCCACAGGCACGCACTCTCCGTCCCACACCCCGGGGTTGGCCGGTCCTCCTTCCCACCCCGCCCCTGGGCTCCTCAGTCAGCCTGGGGCCCTTCCCCCACCTCCCCCAGACTGACTCTAAGATTCGCCAATCATCCGGCAGTGCTGGCCAGAACTCAGCCAATCATCGCCTGCGCTGGGTGGGCTCTTCCTAATCCAGCCCAGGTGGAAGGAGGGAAGAGCGGCTGCAGTCTAGCCGACGGGAAGGGTTATCAGCCAATCAGAGCTGAACCTGGAGCCGAACGGCGGCTCAAAGCGTTACTGAGCAGGCGCAAAGCCAACACCAGGTAGAGCTTATCTGCATACGAAGGCGGAGTTTGAGGGAGGGAGGTGGAGCACTGGGAAGTGATCCAAACCAGTCAGCGCCTCCCAACTTTAACCCCTCCCACCCGGCTCAGCCCACAGAGGAAACGGCTGCCGTCGGGACTGTCTGATTGGGCAAGAGCTATCCAGTCGTTCTGTCACGATTGGTCCAATGATTCTTTTCGAAGTTTACAGCATCCAATCGAAAAGCGGAAGGCGGGGCTAAACCAACCGAAGGGTTCCTCCGCGAGAGTCGCACACAAAATAGTCCGCGCGGACACAGGACAGCAGCTGGTGTCTCTGGTCAGTGTGTCACCTGCGGCCAGCGGTAGTTTCTCTCGGAGCCCACGAAGCCACTCCTGTTCCTGGGACAGCGAGGTACAGGCCGGGAGGGTTCCGGGAGCGCGCGCCCACGTGCGGCGGCGGCGGCGTATTGATTCGCTGAGTAACGACGGGACGCCGAGGAGGCGGGGCTGGCGATTTGAATCCGGCGGCGGGCAGCGGCCGAGGAGCGGACGGTGTCGGCAGCGCCGGGCTCGGGGTCCGGGTGTCGTCGGCCGGGGACCAGGCAGCCCCCGGCGGCCTGCTTGGCAGCCAACAGTCGGTTTCTCGAGCGAACCTTCGGGATCAAAGAGCCGAGGTCTGAGAAGGCACGAAGGCCACTCCGCTCCCCGGCGGAGCGTTCACCCGAGCGGGAGGAGAGCCCAGCTGTGGGAGCGAGAGGTGGGGCGAGCGGCCTGCTTGGGGTTTCAGATCCAGCAGGACCGCAGGGCTGGTTCGTTGTGTTGCATCACCCGCGTGCTTTTTAAAATGCAGATTTGTGGGGCCCAGCCAGACCTCCTGGATTGGAATTTGGGGGGACACTTAAAGCCGCATCATTAACAGGGTGCCCAGGTGATTCAGATGTTCACCAAGCTGGAAAGGCCTTGGCTTACAGTGTGGGATCTGCTGCTTTGTTTCATCCCGAACAGCAGTTTCCTCCGTTTCTCTTAAATTTGAGCTCCAAAAGCACACTCTTGACATCTGTTTTCGTGCCAGCATAGATTTAGAATTTAGTCTTGAAAGAGAATCTTCTGTATATCCTAGAGAAAGTACATCTTAGGGGGAGGGTATAGCTCAGTGGTAGAGAGCGTGCTTAGCATGCACAAGGTCCTGGGGTTCAATCCCCAGTACTTCCATTAAAAAATAATAAAAATTTTTAAAAAAGGGGATCTTGGTCAAATAACATTAATCTTGGAGAGGTGGGGTTATTTTTCTTTTTTTCTCTCTCTTTTTTAGATGGATACTAGTTCAAAAGACAGCGAGCCCCTGGAAACCAAAGAGTCTGCTGTTAATAATGCTGGTAAGTAGGGATCTGTTTTCTCTTTGAAATTTAAGGTTTAGATATTTATCTTGATAATGATGTTTAGCTCTTAAAATATGCTGTCTGTTTCAGAAAATACCTCTTTCATTCTGGGCAATGGGGAGTGTGTAACCCCTCACAAGTATGCAGCTGAAGTGACCCCTCTTCGTTGCACATCAGATACTTTTAAATCACCCTTGAACTTTTCCACAGTAACTGTGGAGCAGCTGGGGATTACACCTGAAAGCTTTGTAAAGAACTCTTCAGGTAAGAGAAGTTATCATTCTATTGCCATGCTTTCAAAACTTTTTAAACTAAACTGTTTTGTTCACCTACCCTGTCTCTCTTAGGACTGTAGTACTTAGTACTCTCAGATTTGCTGGATTAGGGAGACCAGAGCCCCAGGGCACCCAGCATAATTCCCTAAGTCACAGTTGTGCTCTGTGCCAAAACTGGAGAATATGTGTGTGAATCACTTTTTCACCTGACACATGGGATACAGGGGTGTGTATGCTGTCAATGGTGGTACATTTTCTGGTCCTCTATGGCAAAAATAAGAAAGTTATAGAGCAATTAAGAAAATGTGACATTGAAAGACTAGGGTGTGCCTCTTTCAAGATCACAGAGAAAATTGACTTGGGCTAGTTAGTTTCCTTTAAGGAGTAGAAATGAAAATCACCTGTGAAGTCTGACTTAGCTGGAGAAGAAAGAAATGAAGGGAATGGAATGAGAGAAGAGCATTTAGTAATGGAGGGTAAGGGGGGACTCGAAAGTCACAGGGCACTAGACTAGATACATGATGCAGATGGAAGCAAGAGGCGTGCCGTTCTGTGTTCTCTCCTCAAGAGTGTCCCTCTTGGACCTTCATAAGGCTAAATTTAGCTTGTGTGTTCAGGCTTGTGCCTGGAATTTCAAGGTAGTGTGCTGAAGGGAGATGGGAATCTGAGAGAAACTTGAACGATTGTGGACATGAGAGTATGTGCCCAAGGGTAGATCATCGCTGGGGATATGACTGATGCAGAAAAAGAGAAAGTCTTAGTCCAAAGCAAGCCATTGCCCAACCCTGTGCAAACAGAAACGGGACTTATTAATTCAAGTGTGTTCATTCACTTCTTCCACCACTTTTTGATAAACACCGTCTATGTGCCAGACACTACTCCAGGAGCATGGAATAAGCAGTAGACAAAACAGGTACCTCCCCAACCGATCGTGTGCGAACAGTTCTGCCTCTGGTTTTCATTTCAGGTTTCTGTACCATGTGTCTGTCATGTTCTCAGGCTGATATATCACGGGTATTTAGGGCACGGGTACTGATGATGGCCTTGTTTTGTTCCAATTTAAAAGAAAGTTCTCATTCCAGGAGAGTCATCATCCTACCTTAAGAAATCCAGACGACGCTCTACAGTTGGCGTGCGGGGCTCTCCTGAAACAAACCATCTAATTCGTTTCATTGCTCAGCAGCGGAATTTAAAGAATGCGTCTTTGACCAAGAACTCCCCTTTTCAGGTATGATCTTCTAAGTTCCGCCGTGAATTCTTCTAGGAGAATATTTTGCTCTGTTAGAAAGCTCTTATACAGCATGGCTACTGTCCAGGGCACCTCGTCTGTTTTGGATCTGGAGAGAGAATATTTTCTCTTGTGTCTCGCAGAGATTGTGCAGTTAGCATAAATGCTAATGTTGAGTGTGGATCTGTTAAGAGTTCTGAGGTCTTGGATAGAAATGGCTTTGTGGAGGTGTTTTTCTGTTTTATTTTGCAAATTTTTTTCTAATTCACATCTATAATGAGGTGAGACAGTGCTTTCCAACTTTTTTCTTTTCATATCTTGTCTATGTCTTAATTTTTTTGTGACTTCTGTGTGTTGGCTTGGAGGGGCAAGAGATGCCTCCCCAAATGTCTTTGGGATAACCTAGTGGAAAGGAGCAAATTATTTGTCTGTTGATGAGGAAGTATTTAGATATTTTTGCAGATTTTTATCCAAATAGTGTAATACATGCTTCTAAAAAGTCAAATAGTACTCGGCTTACTATGAAAGACGGTCTCTGGCTTGCCCTCCTTTGACTCTTAGTATTGATTCACCTTCTTGTTTTAAAAGCTATTTTTATTGCCACTTCTTTATGTTTAGGTTTTACGCAGTGTGTTGCATGAAGCTGTAGAGTGCAGTGCAGGGCTTCTCAGATTATCTGCAGATCCCTGGGAATCCCTGAGTCCCATCCAAGACGACCACGAGGTGAAAACTATTTTTTGAAACAGCACTAAGATATAATGTGCCGTTTTTCACTGAGTTGATGTTTGCATTCCTGGTGTAAAAGCAATGGTGGGTGAAACTGAAGACACCAGACTGTCATTTTAGCTTCATTCCTGTCCATCACTCACAGGAAATAATAATAAGGGCAGTTTCACATAACATCCTTGATGAAGTAATACAAATTGTACATTTGATTAATTTCCAACCCTGGAGTCCTATGTGTGATGAAGTGGGAAGCAGGCATCAGGCACGTCCCAAGTACATACAGAAGTATGCTGGATGTTTCCAGAAAAAATCGTGGGTGTGCCTGAGCTGTGAGTTGAATTAGCTACTTTTTTCATGGAACATCATATTTATTTGAAAGGGTGACTGATGGACACTTTCAGGTGGACTCAGGAATGTGGCTGGTGTTTTCTCAAAAGTGAGCAGTGAACCTGCCACTTCAAGGAAAGACTGATATTTCTTACCAGTGAAAAAATCTGATTGATAAGATTTTGTATTTGACATCACAACTAACCTTTAAGAAATTTTTGTTGAACTGCATCTTTTGTGTTGCACTGGAAGTGTCTACAGTTCTGAAAAAGCTAGTAAAATCCTCTTGACAACCAACATGAACTAAGTCTTCGGTGTGCTCAATTTTCTAGACTTACTGAGAACTGTGCTGGAGTAGATAGGAGCATGGCATGTGCTGGGGGTTGATTCTTGAGTTTAGTATTAGTTAATGTGACTTTTGACAAGTTACTTGAATTCTCTGTCTCAGTTTCCTCATGCATAAAGTGGGGATAATAGTATAGCAAGGGTTTATGAGGATGAATAAATTAGTAAATACACAAGACTTACTACAACTATGCCTGGAACATGGTGTATTTCAATTTGCTGTCATTGTTATTTCTGTGAAAAACGAGGATTTTGCTCTCTCACATCTCAGCCGTAGCTATCCTGACACTTTCCCCTTCCCCGTCCTTCCAATATAGCCAATTATAATTTTTGTTTAAATTAGGGTTTAGTTTGCATCATTTAATTGTATAGATGTTTTTCACAAGTTGCTGTGTAGTGTGTTATGGTCATATTTCTTTTCATGCACGGCTTTTGTTTTTCCTGTAGTTAATAAG